TTCTTTCTTTCTATTTCTTCTTTTACTTCTTGCTCTTCCTGTTGGAAACAGACACAATTATCTAAGCTACATTCAAAATGGGTAAAGAAAAGGCTCACGTTAACGTCGTTGTTATTGGTCACGTCGATTCTGGTAAATCTACTACTACCGGTCACTTGATTTACAAGTGTGGTGGTATCGACAAGAGAACCATCGAAAAGTTCGAAAAGGAAGCCGCCGAATTAGGTAAGGGTTCTTTCAAGTACGCTTGGGTCTTGGATAAGTTAAAGGCCGAAAGAGAAAGAGGTATCACCATCGATATCGCTTTGTGGAAGTTCGAAACTCCAAAATACCAAGTCACCGTTATCGATGCTCCAGGTCACAGAGATTTCATCAAGAACATGATCACTGGTACTTCCCAAGCTGATTGTGCTATCTTGATTATCGCTGGTGGTGTCGGTGAATTTGAAGCCGGTATCTCCAAGGATGGTCAAACCAGAGAACACGCTTTGTTGGCTTACACCTTGGGTGTTAAGCAATTGATCGTTGCTGTCAACAAGATGGACTCCGTTAACTGGGACGAATCCAGATTCCAAGAAATCTGTAAGGAAACCGCCAACTTTATCAAGAAGGTTGGTTACAACCCAAAGACTGTTCCATTCGTTCCAATCTCCGGTTGGAATGGTGACAACATGATCGAACCAACTACTAACGCTCCATGGTACAAGGGTTGGGAAAAGGAAACCAAGGCCGGTGTCGTCAAGGGTAAGACCTTATTGGAAGCCATTGACGCTATTGTCCAACCATCCAGACCAACTGACAAGCCATTGAGATTGCCATTGCAAGATGTCTACAAGATCGGTGGTATTGGTACTGTGCCAGTCGGTAGAGTCGAAACCGGTGTCATCAAGCCAGGTATGGTTGTTACCTTCGCCCCAGCTGGTGTTACCACTGAAGTCAAGTCCGTCGAAATGCACCACGAACAATTGACTGAAGGTTTGCCAGGTGACAACGTTGGTTTCAACGTCAAGAACGTTTCCGTTAAGGAAATCAGAAGAGGTAACGTCTGTGGTGACTCCAAGAACGATCCACCAAAGGCTACTGAATCTTTCAACGCTACCGTCATTGTCTTGAACCATCCAGGTCAAATCTCTGCCGGTTACTCTCCAGTCTTGGATTGTCACACTGCTCACATTGCTTGTAGATTCGACGAATTATTGGAAAAGAACGACAGAAGATCCGGTAAGAAATTGGAAGACTCTCCAAAATTCTTGAAATCTGGTGACGCTGCTTTGGTCAAATTCGTTCCATCTAAGCCAATGTGTGTTGAAGCTTTCACTGACTACCCACCATTAGGTAGATTCGCTGTCAGAGATATGAGACAAACCGTTGCTGTTGGTGTCATCAAGTCTGTTGTCAAGACTGACAAGGCTGGTAAGGTCACCAAGGCTGCTCAAAAGGCTACTAAATAAGAATTTCATTGATCTGGTCTTTCATAAATTTAATTTTTTATTAAAAACTTATTTCTTTGTATTCTATATGTATTTAATTTAGTTATTAGTCTTTATATCTAGTGTGGTTAATCAACATCATTATATTATTTCTTCGTGTTAAATAGTTTTTTTGCATAGCATTCACATATTACAAGTATAATAATAGTATAACTCCCACATGTTTTTTATTTTATAATAGCGATATCGAATTTGATTATTTAAAAAGTGATAATAACTTGATGTTTAGAAAAGTCTTGTCATATAACTATTAATAAAGGAGAAGACACTAACAACCCTTCCAATATAAGCCACTAGCTAATCAACCAAGCATGGAAGAAACTAGCATAAGGACGCATGTATTATTTTATTAAGGTTCGTTGCATTCAGCAACATTGGCATTTCTCAAAGTATTTTTACTAACAGTTAATTTTATTCATCTAATTTATATATACAGACTACACCTATGGAATACACCAGCAAGACCCGAAAGTAAGGATCAGTATGCAAGGATGATACTTAAGCATATCAACCCAAATAATAAATATGTGTTAAATACCTCTCTTCCATTTCCATTAATATCTATAAATATACCCAACAAGATAGAACCTATCGATGAATCATTAGGTATAGTAGCAATTTCAGTTTCTAGTAAAAAAGATATAAAGAATCAATGTTTTATAACCTTTGACAGCAACGATAGTGCCAAAGCATTTTTAGATGGATATGGTGAAAAGTGGAAAGTGGGTGGTAGAGTAGTTAAAATGGATTTTGCCAAAAAGGATTCTTTAATTGGCTTACATTTAAGAAGCAATACCATATTGAAAAAGGCTTTAAAATCCAGACGGTTAAGCAAAATCTTACAATATGATGAGAATCTTAAACACGAAAAGAAATTGAACAGAAAATTGAGGAGATTAAGACAAATATTAAGAAAGAAAGGGTTAGAAGAAGCAGAAATATCTAAGATTGTTGAAAACGTGAAAGAAGAACAAATAAAGTTGAAGGGAGAAGTTGAATCCAAACCAGCTTCAACAGCGGAATTAGATTTTGAGACAAAGATTACTAAGAAGGAACTTATTGATTTAAGTGTCAACCCAGCTAATAACATCCTATTAGTACAGAATTTACCCAATGGTACAACTGAAGTACAGTTGAAAGAGTTATTTGCACAAACTGGCCTGAAAGAAGTAAGATTAGTGAGTGTACGTAACTTAGCATTCATAGAATATTCGAACATACAGAATGCAACTGAAATTAAGAATAAACTGGGAACTAGTTATAACTGGCATGACAAAACCATATCAATTGCATTTGCAAAATAAGAACATATATAGATTTATCTTTATCTTGCATAACTTTAATGAACCATAAATATTTAATATAAAATATAAAACTGTATTGTTGTAATCGTTAAATTGAATTATATAACCCAGAGATCTATTTAAATAATACACTTAAACGTAAAATTGAGAAAATAGCTTATAAAGATATCTTATTATTTAATTATGTTATGAATAATTTTGATTTAATCAAAAGTAACTTATTCGTTATCAGTTTGAGAAACAAATGGAACCAAATTCTTTGTACCTTCTTCCCAGGCGACATTGTTGTATGTGATATCACGAATAGCCTTTATCACATCTTCAACAGAACCTCTAACTTGCTTAGTGGAGTCTCTTTCTCTTAAAGTGACAGAACCATCTTTGGTAGAGTCAAAATCAATGGTAACACCGAATGGAGTACCCAATTCATCATTACGGGCGTATCTCTTACCAATAGAGACACCAGAGTCATCAACCTTGAATGGAATCTTTTCCTTTCTCAATATCTTAGAGACTTGAGAGGTAATTGGGGCCAAGTCCTTGTGGTTAGATAATGGAACCAGTAAAACCTTAGTTGGAGCAACTAATGGTGGGAATGATAATACAGATCTAGCAGTATCTTCTGGTCTGTTCCAGTAAGAGTGTTCAAAAACAGAGTAGATGATACGGCCAATACCGAAGGATGGTTCAATAACATTTGGAACAAATTCTCTGACATGTTCAACCTTAGTTCTCTTTTCAATAGTAACGAAGTTGCTATCTAATTCAACATCGCCTTCAACACCATCTACCTTCAATACAATCTTGTTATCAGCCTTTAATTTTTCAGCGTTGTCAGCCAATTCTTCTTGGGACATACCCAACAAGAAAGCTTCAACCTTTGGAGCATCTTTTCTGAATTTTGGACCGAATAATTTCTTGGTCAAATCAATTTCCCACTGAGTGACTTCAACTGGAGTTTCCAACTTTTGTCTAACAACCATCTTTTCCTTGGTCTTGATAGAGTGGACAGTTAAATCATAAGCAGATCTATCAGCACAACCAACACATTCAATCCAACCGTAAGAGGTCTTCAATTCAGCATCCCAACAATCAGCAGCGTAGTGAGCCATTTCATTAGCCATGTGTTGACGGAATCTCATTTTACTTTCGTCGACACCGATAGTAACCAAGAACTTGTAGATTCTAGCTATGAAGTAACCTAAAGTTTGGTTATCAACCATTTTAGATTCAACAGCTTCACCAATAGTCTTCACAATTGGTTCAGTTGAACCAGATTCTTGAACTTCACGTGGTAAGAAAGACAACTTAATATCTTTAACTTCTTCGAACTTTGGATGGGATTTGTCTTCTGGGTCCAAGAAATGTTCAATTTCAGCCATTAAGAATTCACGAACTCTTAATAAACCAGCTCTTGGAGAAATTTCGTTCCTGAAAGATTTACCAATAGAAGCAGATGCAAATGGAGTTTTACCATTGTTAAATTCCAATAACTTGTTAAAGTTTAAGAATTGACCTTGGGCAGTTTCTGGTCTCAAGTAACCCTTTAGTTGACCGGATGGACCAATAGCAGTTTCAAACATCAAGTTAAATGCTCTTGGTGGTTCCAAAGTATCACCAGTTACAGGGTTACCGATGTTATATTTAACCATCAATTCACCCAATTGTTCACCAGAATAACCATCAATTTTAGCCAAAACTTCTTCGTATTCCTTAGCAACTTCATCTTCTAACTTAACAGCTTTAATTTGCTTGACCTTCTTCTTTCTCTTCTTCTTGTCGGCATCTTCTTTAGCTTCAGCATTGGCATCTTCAACCAAACCTCTAGCTTCTTTATCACCCTTCAAACGGGCTTCCAATACTTCTTCAACTAAATGATCAGCTCTGAAAATTTCACCAGTCTTAGGATCTTTACACATCCAATCAGAGAACTTATCAACATGGCCAGAAGTCTTCAAAACTTCATGAGGAGTCAACATAGTACAATCAACTTCTAACATATCTTCTTCTAAGATGAAGTGCTTTCTCCAGATATCAACGACATTTGCTTGGAAAGCACAACCTGGTGGACCATAATCGTACAAACCAGAAACACCACCATACAAATCAAAAGCTGGAGCGTAGAAGAACCTACCTCTTAGAACACTTTCTAATTGCTCTCTGTTGAATTCAACAGCAGATCTAGCCTTATTTATTTCTTCAACAGTCATAGGTGAGATCTTTACCGATTTCTTAGCAAAAGTAGAACAAAAACGTCTCGTAAGCCTAGAGAGCCACAACGTGAAATGATTAAGTATATAAGTAGGTGACCTAAAATACGATTCGTACCCGCTTAACTGATTTGTAAAACTTATCTTAAAGGTAACAAGTTTCTATCATCTTGTTGGCCATCGCTGCAATTTTTCATCAAAAATTTTTTCACTCATACGATCATGTGATCACATTTTTCTTTTTGAAATATAACGAGATGCCCAATACCAATCAATGACTTCAAACTAACGCCAAGGTTAAAAGAATGGTAATATCTCAATGAGATGTTGTTATATTATACTTAATTCTTGCCTAAATATTTATTCAGATGAGCTTTAATTGAAAATTCCCTGTTTGGTATGTCGAATATAGTCCCAGGGGAACGTTGTGAATAACAATTAACACTCAAAAGTAAATAATAGTTATTTGTTGATCCTTTAAGTTCAATCTACACGTTTATAATTATAATCATATGGGGAAATTACCAAACCTTTATTCTTTCTTGCACCTCTGAATATCGTTTCAATAATGTCTATCAGTTCTTGCTCATCATCAACTGTGAAATTCATCTTGTTGTTATTACCAGTTCCAAAATCACACATCATGTGTTTGTTCTTATAAAAGAACATTAAGGTCATTGGGTCTTGCAATTCATACATTTCATTAAAATCAGGTACTTCATCAATATCACATACATAAATTGCAGCAAAATTTCTTACCTTTTCTGCAATCGAATATAACATCTCATCCATTAACATACAATCTTTATCCCAATCGTGACCAAACCTAATAATGACCAACCTTTCTTCCTCAGTGACAATAGATTGGTCAACGTGCCATCCTGTGTGCAAATGTGGTAAGAAAACACTACCCATAGTGTACTGTTACTAATGTGTTTGGTTAGTTCTCTTTCAACTTTGGGTTGCTTGAATAAGTGTTATGTTAGACTTTAAATATCAAATTTTTTTGAAATTCTTATAAGGAACTTATGAATCGATATAGCAAGATGACAAAGATATAAAAGATGAAGAGTAAACAATGAATACTATTATCAAAATTTAAATATATACAGGAAATAAAGAGGTTTTTATATGTGTCCAGGAAATTACTGGAATTAGGGAAATGGGAATTAACGTTTCTAACAATTTTACGTTATGATAATTTTTTTTATGTCATTAAACTTATCATTTTTTAGATCTTTTCTTTACCGCTAGATTACCAGTCTTGATTTGACTTTCATCGTCGTTAAGCAGTGACAAATAATCGTCAACACCAAATTCATCTTCTTGTGCACTGACTTCCTTAACTTCGATTTTTTTAGGACTTTTAGATACATCTTTCTTAGTCTCCACTGGTGCTTCTGTACTTTCCACTGTAAAGATAGAACTATATTTCTTTTTAAATCTATCCAAACTACCACCAGAGTTAGCATCCACAATTACTAAATCATCTCTACTCTTATTCCATAATGGATTATTTCTTTGATCTTGGATCAATCTGTATTCATCTTTTGGGAATTGCGATCTTCTTTTTATAACACTACCATCACTCAATTCAACCAACACATCAAATTGATGATAGATAGCAGGTCTAGATTTACCTAATCTAATCTTTTTCATTGGTCTTCTTGGTAATGAAACAGAAGGTGCATTAAATGCAGCAGCTACGTTTGAAGAAAACCTTACACTTATCAAATTTCTTAGCATATTTGCTTATTCTTTTTTCCCCCTTTTTTTCTTGTTGGAATACTATTGGTATTACAATAAGTATATTTCTGAACCCAGTTTATTGCTTTTACTACTTTGTTGGCTCACAATGCAATAAAAAGCTCTTCTTATCCATCAGTTCTTTTGTCTTTATGAGCTTTGCCAATTTTAATAAATTCCATCTTTAATTGAAATTTCATCATTTACGTGTAGAATGATTGTAAATATGAGATCACGTGATATTTTGAACTTTGGTAATTCAAAGGTCATAGCAGGGTAACATTAAACAGCAATGAAGCAATAAAATAGAAGTGAAGCTGGCGACTAGTGGAGGAATGCTACCTCATCTCATTTATATCTCTATCTCTATTTAGATTCTCATGCCTATCCTTGTTATCCCCCCTTAAGACTAGAAACTGAATTGCAAATCAAAAAACTGCGGTATATAAAGGAAGGGAAGTCATTGTTCCAGGACTGTTTTTACTCATCTCACATTGTATGGTATCTAAAGTTTAAATTAAATTAAATCAAATCAAATCCAGTTATAAAAATTGGGAAGCCAAGTTGAAAAGCTATGTAATTGGTTGTATCAGCGTTCTTTTATGTGTATAGTCATCGTATTTCTACTTGGTTAGCGGTTAGAGATAGACTGCAATTTTGGACTGTTGTTTACCCTACCTTTTCTGGCTGAAACGACTTTTGTGAGTAGGAGAGGTAGAGAGAAATAGTCACATGATCGATATGGTCACATGGTTGCAATTCCCACAGCTAAGGCATAAATGATTGAAGTATCTAAATTGATGAAATGTATTGAAATTAACCAGGATTTCATAGACAAATCATTGCTGTATCTTTTCAACGTTACCATCAAAATAAGTTTATATTGACTTATCCTCAGAGTCACACACAATTGAGGGCAATAACACATATATCAGCCAACTTTATGAGATCACATACTCCGAAATCCATTGTCATTTCTCTCTCTTAGAGGATAATTTGAAATGCCATTTGAAAACACCCCCCATTTAAATTACCCAAATAAAATACAACTACGAATAATCATAAGAATTAGCGTCATTATTTTGTCAATTGTCAACCAATTATTCTTTGTTTGAACAGGTTAATAAAAAAAAACACAGGAACTGCCCAAAGAGAACAAAACAAAATATAATTATAAATCAAAATGGTTGATATCCCTAGTTCATGATTAGAAATGAATATAATAACTAGTTTTAATTTTAATTGTAATTGTTGTTTTATATCCATATAGGTTTCCTTCTGTTCGTTTGGTATTAATGTCACAATTTGCATAATGGTCGGACGGGTAACCGCTACATCTGACCAATTTCGGCAAAATTCATCTAGTATTTATGAAATCGAGTATAAAATTTTACCTCATCGCAAGATTCTGTAGCTTATAAAAAGGTATAAAATATCGAACAGAAGTGTGAATCTTACCATGGCTAGACATTCTGGGACTTCAGAAGGTCCAAAAAAAAGAGGTAGAACCGAGTTAAGGTCGATTAGACGTCCTAATCGTTCCCAACATTCCAAACACGATCAACAAGTGGTTCACGAATCTGAAAATGAAGATTCTTTAGAGAGTTCTTCTGATGATGATGAAGATATCGCTCAAGCTGAGGCTGAAAATTCTGATAGAAAGGAAAAAGTTTATGGTGCTCTTCTTACTATTTTGAATTCTGAGCACCCTGAAAGAAAGAAACATAAATCTCACTCTACAGATTTTGTAAAAGAAATCGATGAGCAAGAAGAAATAGAACAAGGTATGGCTTCTGAAAGTGAAGAAGAGGACGAGGAAAATGATGAAGAAGAAAGTAATGAGGGTGATGAAGAAGAGGAGGAGGAACCAACTGATCAATTGGATACTTTTGAGTCACATTTCAACGATGTTTCACAAGATCTAGTAGATGATATATCAGCTGGTTTTAAAGACAAGCAGATTAAATATAAATCTATGAAATATTCTTTGGACAAAAAAGAATCAGCTATTTTTGGTAAACCTCTTCTCCTGACCCAACAAGACGAAACAATAGACAATCCGGTTTTGACTTCATCATATGATTCATATTTTATCAAGCAAAGATTAAAGATCCAGAACGACTTGTTGGATTCTTCCAAAGAGAACTTGACTCCATTGAAAAAAAAATTATTAGATCCAATGTTTCAGTATAAAGATGTTCTATGTGAATATACAAATTACGAAAATGATGAAAAAGAATACAGAGAATTATATTCTTTGCATGTTTTAAATCATATCTATAAAACAAGAGATAAAATTTTGAAGGATAATCAACGGTTACAGGAAAATGACGACTTAGAATGTTTGGATCAAGGTTTCACTAGGCCGAAAGTTTTAATTGTTGTCCCTACTAGAGATACCGCCTATCAAGTTGTCGAAACAATAATTGAAAAATCAGGTTTAGACCAAATTGATAAAAAAGGTAAATTTAAAGATCAGTTCTTTGATGATTCTTTACCTCCTACATCTAAACCTAAATCATTCCGCCATGTTTTCAAGGGTAACACAAATGATTTCTTCGTTTTAGGTATGAAGTTTACTAGAAAAGCTATTAAACTTTATAGTAATTTTTACCAATCTGACATTATAATTTGCTCTCCATTGGGTATCCAAATGATATTAGAAAACACAGATAAGAAAAAAAGACAAGATGATTTCTTGTCATCAATCGAAGTCATGATCGTCGACCAATTGCATAGTATTGAATACCAAAACATATCTCACGTTTACACAATTTTGGAACACATAAATAAAATTCCTCAACAACAACGTGAAGCTGATTTCAGTAGAATTAGGATGTGGTATATCAATGACCAAGCTAAATTTTTAAGACAAACAATGTTATTTACTAGGTATATTTCTCCAACTGCCAATGCAATTATCAATGGTAAGTGCCATAACATGGCAGGTAGATGGAAAAATAACCAGATTATTTCTTCTGAGGATTCCAGCATTGGTCAATTAGGAATAAAAATAAAGCAGATCTTTCAGAGATTTGATTTAGTTGGAGGTACCGTAGTGGATGAATCAGATTACAGATTTAAATATTTCACTAGTGTGGTAATGCAAAATATCGTTAAATCAACTGGTTATGAAGATGGTATACTTGTCTATATCCCAGAATACACAGATTATATGAGATTAAGAAACTACATGAAGGAAAAAACAACTATTTTATTTAGTGAAATTAATGAATATTCTACCCAAAAACAATTAGATTCAAATAGATCTATGTTCCAACAGGGTAGAACAAAAGTTTTGTTGTATACTGAGAGATTACACCATTATAGACGTTATGAATTGAAAGGTATTAAAAGTGTAATATTTTACAAGCCACCAACTAATCCTGAATTTTACAACGAGGTGATTAGATTTACTGCTAAGAACGCATTCTTAGGCAAATCTGACATAAATATTTCAACGATAAGAACAGTTTACAGCAAGTTAGATGGTTTGGCTTTACAACGTATTGTAGGTTCCAAAAGAGCTGCGATCTTGTGTCATGGCCAAAATGAATCTTACGACTTCAAATAATATGTCGGGAGATCAATTTTTTTGTAATTTATTGTCAAGTTCTATAGACAGAGTAAGTCTTTCCCATTTAAATAATATTTTAGCAGGATATTTAATATAGATAATGCATTTTTTAACTTTACAGATATATAATATTAAACTTATTAATTAAAAATCCGTCTCTATAAAAAACTCTAGGTTTAGGCTTAGACTGTAGTAGTTTCTTCGCTAGGTTCTGCTGATTCAGTTTGTAATATATCTGTTATATTACACATTTCTACACTCTCACCCAACATTGCTTCCTTTGTCATATAATCAAAATGACCAGCCAATGATTCAATGTCCCTTTCGACATTTTCTGATATGGTCAGATAATCCTTTGGGTAAACAATAGCCGACTTACCATCAGGCAATATTGAATACTGGGCATCCTTAATTAAGGTGGGTTTCAAATGAACACCAAAGAGTGTATTGAGATCATCTGTTGTTGTCCCAAAGGTGATCCCTTTAATCAAAAAGCCATTATATTTAACATCAGGTGTCAATGACCTTTCTGGTGGTTGGTAGTTTAAATATGTGACATTCTTCTTTGATTCAAAACTTTGTACCTTTCTTTCCTTCTCTATTTTTTTATAAGATTGATATAGAGGCAACGCTTCTTCTAAAGAAATGTTAGGAATTCTGGTATATTTGTTCTTTTTTAAGTAAACTGATCTCTTTGGTTCTCTATCTTGTGATTCAGAATACATTTCGTAGGCTTCAACTAATGCGTGTATAAAATTCCTCTGAGGTGCAGGCATTGGTTTAAAATGTAAGCTCGGCTTATTCTTATCATTTACAAACTTGTTAATAAGTTCTTCTATTTGATTACACCAGTTAGTTTGCTTAGAATATACCGATAATACGGTTTCACTAAACGGCAATTCAAGTTCTTCATATGAGGTTACCTTCTCAACAATTTTTTTAAGTCTCTCCAATTCTGATTCTGGATCTTCTGAGGAAGATTTCATACCAAATGCATTTCTTAATTCTTCTAATCTTTGGTATTTTAAACATGCATCATCACATGGTAAAACCTTTGTTAGTTCAACCGATTGAGTTGTCGATGTAGCCCCACATAATAGTAATTCTTTTCTTCTACCACATCCACAATATACTTCACATTTAACCTTACAAGGAATATCTGGACAGTTACTATCGCCATGACATTTCTGGTCACATGTATGCGAACAATTTACCCTTCGCTTATTACAGATTTGCGTACATTTTTTCTGACATTCACCTGGCAAATGACATTTTAATTGACAATAGTGATGACATCCATCAAGCTTCTTCTCACATAATTTCCCACATGAAGCAGTTTCCTGGAAACATAATGCCTTTGCCTTTTGTTCTTTTCCACATTTACATGGTTTGAATACAACTTCGGTACATGGTGGACAAGGTATATCGGCAGGATGACAGTAATGATTACCTGGTTTATGACCACAAGGATAAGAACCTTCTATATATTTGATGCATGGGAAGATACATTCTGGCAGTTTTGTACCACATCTAACAGGTGCTTCAACAACAGTTTTCCCACACGGACATACCAAATCTGATGAATCACTTTCTAAACATGGTGGGCATTTGCCAGCATGACATTTCCTTGTACAGTTATGAATACCACATGATAATTTCAAATTACAGTCTTTCAAACAAATATGTTCGGCTTCCACTAATGATTCATCCAGTAGGTCAGCTTGCGAAAACAGCATTTTTTTACGTTTATCTGCCATCGGTTTCCCGGAACAACATCTTCTAGTACATCTATGCCTGCGACAGGACATCAGCGATTCACATTTCATATTACAACGTGGTTTCTCATGAAATTGACAAGGCACTGAGAACTCTTTATAATTGCAACTACATTTTCTTAACTCAATTTGAGTACACGGATCCATGCATGGGCCATTATGACAAGTAAATGGACATTTATGCTTTCCACATTTCAAAGGTTTATCACATCTATTCTCACATGTCGAAATCGGATCTGTACACTTCTGTCTCTTATTTTCAAAATCATCTAAATTTGTTTTACCACAAGGACATGTCTTTAGTAACTTTGGAGAATAAGGGCAAATTTTAGTACCAGAAATAGTTGGCGGTGACGTACAAGTTTCAAAGAAACTATGGTTTTTACAAGCATATTCAACAGTTCTGATCTTATTACATTTAAATACACCAATCCATGTATTTCCTTCTTGATCCTTTGACTTTTTACCAGAATCATGTATCTTAACGTTGGAACAACGTATTTTATCCATTGTAGTTGAACCACAGTAACAGTTGACTTTTTTAGTAATTAATTCAGGGCATGGACCACATGAGCCGGAATGACATACTCTAGAACATTTATGAATACCACATGAAAGTGTCATATTACATTTTTCTCCACAGTTAAATTTCTTATTCCTATTTTTTCCATGGTCTAAAAGATAGCAAAATACATCCTTTGTATGCTTACCACATTCACAATGGATAGTTGTAGTCCTATGACATTGAGGATGAGGACCTAAATGACAGAAGTGGGAACACCTATGAATACAACTTTTTGCATTACAAGTTTGACCACATGAATTTGGATAGAACGGATTTGGATCAGGATTAACAGTTTTACCACACCAACAAGTTGGCCTATTTTGCAGAGGTATTTTATTAGAGGTATGATTACAATTGGGACATTTCCAAACCTTATCTAAAGATTTTTGAGATGATTTCACAGCCCATTCTCGTATACAATCGTAGTCAAAAACTCTATAACAATGGGAACAAGCATACATTTTACTAGTAGAGTCTAGTTCAATTGTGCAAATCATACAGGTATAGAAATCACCTTTGGCAATATCTTTTATAGCTCTCTCATAATGCATGAGGTCCTCATTATCACTGCTTTCATATTCAGAATCGTCAGAATCAGACTCAGAATTATCATCATCACAATCATCGGATGATGATGTATAAACTGATCCAGAGTTCGATGTTTCAGAAGCTGTTACTAAATGATCAGTACCCTTCAAATGGGATGTTTCATCCACAGAGGAAGCTTCCACTGAAGTATTTTCAGTCATGACAATAAATAGCAACTAGTACAGTCTTATTTGGATCCTTTTATGATACCTTTATGACTAATGTAAGGTGATAATTTAGCACTCTTTTTAAAGGCTCATCGATTTGATTAATTTAGTATTTATATCCATATCGAAGAAGTGAAAATCATGTCACGTGCCTAACAGTATATCTGAATAGTTACAACTAAGAATCACATCCCCATCACGAGTTGGATCTTTGGATTTACCATTGTATGGGTATAGTTGACTCCTAAATATGATATCATTGTGTGATTGATTAGCTTTAGGTTTTGTTATCCTTACTAGTCATCACTTGTTTCTATTACCACTCAGTTGATAGAAGGAAGAAGTAAAAGGTGAATAATAATGCTACACAAGTCGCAAAGACAACTTTCCACCAATTTCTTGTTCTAGTAGAGAGACTTGTTTTAAATAATTAGTTAGTTGGTTATATTTCATAATGCCTTTATTGGGACACATCCTATTTGCATCTCTTAAAATGACTCCAAATGAAGGCGAATAGTAGAGAAATTTCACATTTCCTTCCATCAAGAATACCAAATACTTAAAAACCCAAAGCCATTTGATATTCTATAGTATAACTTGTTGAATCACTGAGAACCATAGTTCTAGTTAAAATATAAATGCCCTGTCATAATCTGGTAAAGACATTAAATGGTGTCACATATCCTTAAATTGACGAATTTTCATGGAGTTTTTCATCACCTATAAGTTAGACATATTGCCAATCAATAGGAATCAACTTCAGGTCCATCAGGATTAGTACAATTGCATCATCTTGAGAAACTTTATATTAGTTCCTTTGATGTCATTCTAATTGATGGGTGCCATGCAAAAAATTGTCACATGCAACGAGGTTGATAACCTCCCAAAAACGGAAATTCGTCAACAAATCAATAAGAACTTCAAGATCTCTTTAATGATCAATTAACGAACTTAACTAATAAGGCACTTATAAGTTTGGATATTTGTTTAATCTGTGATGTATCAGAGTACTATTTATACTGCATCATTACTTTTGTAAGTTATTGTTGATCCACGATCGCTATTGAGCTATTGATTAAAAGAGAATATGTCCTTTCTTCAGAACTTCCACCTAAGTCCAGGACAAACTATACGTTCCACCAGGGGATTTAAATGGAATACCAACTCTGGTGTTAACAATAGTGGCACTAACACACCAAAAGATGGTAGTAGTGCTAATTTAAATGGAATGCAAGGCAACTATAAACCACCTTTTCAAATTCAGGTGGATTATACAGTGATAATTTACAGAATTCTAGTTTGCAAAGTTTTACTACTCCTACAAAAAGTTTACAAACTCCTGGGAAATCTCAACAACCTGTGGTGACAGATTTTAATTATACTCCATCTCATCAAAAACCATTCCTACAACCTCCAGTTGGAACTACCGTTTCTTCACATCAAGATTTGAAACAAATTGTAGAGATAACGTTAGGTTCTGAAGGTGTTTTAAATCAAGCTGTTAAATTACCAAAAGGTGAAGATGAAAATGAATGGTTAGCTGTCCACTGTGTTGATTTCTACAACCAGATAAACATGCTTTATGGTACTATCACAGAATTCTGTTCCCCACAAACATGTCCAAGAATGATTGCAACTAATGAATACGAATATCTATGGAGTTTCCAAAAGGGACAACCACCAGTCTCAGTTTCAGCTCCTAAATATGTAGAGTCACTAATGAAATGGTGCCAAGATCAATTCGATGATGAAAATATCTTCCCTTCAAGTACATCTGCACAATTCCCACCAAAATTTATAGAAAGAAACGCAATCTCAATTCTAAGAAGACTGTTCAGAGTTTATGCACACATCTATTGTCACCATTTTAACGAAATATTAGAGTTGAATTTACAAACAGTCTTGAACACAAGTTTTAGACATTTTTGTTTATTTGTCCAGGAATTTCAACTATTAAGACCAGCAGATTTTGGTCCACTATTAGAATTAGTCACTGAACTAAGGGATAGGTAATATTTACCGCTGACTATCGAAATTAACGTTTTCTTTATTAGATAATTTTTCAATACTTATTATGTACTTTAAGGATTTGGTTTGCATGTTTATCATATTTTAGAATTCTCTTGGATTAACCAATGGACAAAAAATAGTATTCAATTAAATCTTTAATTGATAATTTACTTATCCAAGAGTATTAATATATCAAATGAACTACATAGAAGCTAATCAATTAAAGGTCCATGTCCTATATTCTTTGCTTTAAGGTACCAACGATGGTTAAGTAATTTACTGATGCTATTTACCCGCACATCCAATATTTCATGATATATTAAAATATTGATTACTGATATAAATTGTACCTACTAGATGGAACCTAAATTCGTTGGCAATTGTTCCATGGATACATGTATACAGCAATATATCAATCGAGCATCTCAATTTAGACTTTAAGTTGTGGTATATTTTCAATTTCCTGTTAAATTTAAAGCAATGTTGCCGATTCCAATTACAATAATTTTGGTGCTGTTAGGCATTATCATATTTGCACTACGATGGATTCCTAAACATTTTAGGTTGATAAAACACAGATATATGTCTGATTTGAAAAATGATTTAGAGTTTAATGATCGTAAAAAGTTAAACCATGTGAGCTTTCTTTCCATTGGTACAATTAGAAATATTTTAATTGCAAATAGTACTAATCCAAGTGATTACTGTACTGATATTGAGCCAGAGTTGAAAATATCACAGAATGATATTGATAATAAATATGATTTTATGTTAAATTTGAAGTATTCGCAGGAGAAGAATGGTGATAGAAAAATCTTATATGGATTTTTCCATCCTTATTGTAATGCAGGTGGTGGTGGTGAAAAAGTATTATGGAAAGCTGTTGAAACTACTTTAAATAGAAATGACAATAACGTTGTAGTAATATACACTGGTGATCTTGGCGTTACTGGTAAAAAGATATTGGCAGATGTGAAGAAGAAATTTGATTATAGATTAGATGAATCAAGAATTGCATTCGTATATTTGAAATATCGTTATTTGGTAGATGGAAAAACTTGGCCACACCTTACACTAATTGGTCAAGCTTTAGGCTCAATTATTTTAAGTTTAGAAGCAATTTACAGATGCCAACCCGATATTTGGTGTGATACAATGGGTTATCCATTTGGATATCCCGCTGTAAGTATTCTAACCGAGGTTCCAATCGTGACATACACACATTACCCTGTAATTTCAACTGATATGTTAAACAAATTAAGACTGACTCCTGGTGGTTTATCATTAAAACAATGCGTGAAATATGTTTATTGGAAACTCTTCATGCTTATGTATCAATTTACAGGAACCTATGTTAAAATTGCAATCACAAATTCAACATGGACTAATAATCATATTACTAAAATATGGAAACATTCTAAGTCAAGGGTAATATTTCCACCCTGTTCAACAGAAAAATTGATTTTCAATGAAGCTGAATGGAAAAGAGAAAATAATGCTATTGTACTAGCTCAATATAGACCAGAAAAGAGACATGATTTAATAATAAAATCATTTTCAGAATATTTGAAGAGGCTAGATAATGTCACTGGAAATGACACAATCCCTAAACTTATTTTCATCGGTTCTACTAGGTCTCAAGCTGATAAAGATTACGTCGAAGCTCTTAGTAAAGAAGCTTATGAAAAATGGGAAATACCTAAATCATTACTTGAAATTCATACCGATTGCCCTTATGAAGATATTATAAAATATTTGCATACTTCTTCATTTGGTATCAATGCAATGTGGAATGAACATTTTGGTATTGCAGTAGTAGAATATGTAGCGGCTGGGTTGATTCCATTAGTTCACGCTTCTGCAGGCCCATTATTAGATATTGTGGTACCTTGGGACCTAAAGCTAGATCAACAAGCAAAGACAAGTTCTCTGGATACTTTAACAGGTTTTTTCTTTAAAGATCCAGAGGATCCTGACTACGAAACATTTAAAACTCATAATACATATCCAAGATTATCGGATTTATTCGATACGGTATCTAAATTAACAAATGAAGAGAAATTTAATATCTCAAAAAGAGCTAAAGCTTGTGCTATAATTAAATTTTCTGATTCTAAATTTGACAAGGATTGGGTTAGATATGTATTAGAAGTATTAGAGGAAGATATCTAACTTCCTCTTTGATGTCTAGTGTTACAAAATGTATATAAAATTAAACAAACTCCCGATAACATTGAGAGTCTTACACACATTAAATTCCACATTTAGGATGTGTGAATTTAACATTCTTTAAGGAAAGAATGATGAATAATGTGATGATTGGAGAATTGTTTCATGAAATGACCAAATTATATGTAAGTAATTTAATCTAAATTTTAATATTAATTATTTTCCTCTATTTTGGCTTTTGATACTTCAAGGGACTTTCCTTATGACTTGTTTGCAAATAAATATCTGTAGATATAATATCAAAACTTCTCTTACTTATGATCGACTAGCTCTAGGACTAGATATAGTGATTCCCGGAATCACACCTGAGTCATCCATATTTTCATCATTCAATTTATCTTGGTTATTTTCAAATGTGACATTTGAAGATATTCTAGATAATGGTCTTCCACTTGAATCTAATTTCAATTTTGTAGTAATATATTTAACTTTTGTATTTATATCAGGCATTGAAGTTAATTCCTTTATGGCTGTAAACCAAAGCATCATAGATTCATAAGAATCAGATTTGAATACCCAATTATGACCACGACTGATTAAACCGTTTTGTTTTGAATGTAAAATAAATTTAAAATCTGACGAACCCTTCTTTGAATGTTCTGCCACTGCACAATCACTCAATGATAATGACATTATTGGCACTATATCTTTTTTTCTATCAGCAGTTTTAAATTCATGCAAGAAGCTTGGTGTTAATACATAATAACCCTTTGAATAGGATTTCAAAAACTTTGACCTTTTTTCTAAATAACCAGTTTTTACTTCATGAGTTAATGGATCGAACTGATTTTTATAAACAATTGAACTTACTTTCCTTGTTGGAATGTTTGGTGGAATGAAATTTGGATCTCTCGCGATGAAACTATCCCATTCGAAACGAGGGTCTTTACTGAAGAATCCCATATCTAATTTTGATATCAATACATCAAATACAATTTGAGATTGTTGTCCTATTAATCTTGCATAAATGGTTAACGCATTTTGAATTTCCATTACAACAACTCTTTCCAGTTCGGCTGCTGAATTTTCCAAATTATCATAAGCTTCATGTAAAAAGTTTTCTTCAGTAATCTGTTTTTTAATCTGTTTATCAAGGATAATCTTTGTTAAATACGGATCTTGCTTTGGAGAACCGAATTTTGCCTCCGCTATGGAATCCAAAAATCTTCTCATATCTTGTTTAGTTTGTTGTAATTCTTTTGAACAAGAATTTTTAAAATCGGATTGCAAAAACTTAATTTCTTTGATTTTAACCAATAGATCACGTCTCAAATCTTCTAATCTTGGAATTATTTCAGTGGACAACTCTTTCGAAGCCTTTGAAGCATTTGACGCGAGGGTACCATGGTATTGACTTAATATAGTTGGTAGATCTTGTACTGAACCGTTACCCAAGGGTAAGAAGAAACTTTGATTCATTTTATCTTCAGAACCCGTAGGTTGATAAGTATTTTCTATTGAAAAAAATGGGAATTGAATCGAGTGCGTTAATCTTAACTGTTGTCTTACAATTTCATCCTGGATGGAAGCTATTTCTGATAAATAAGTGATCAAAGATTTAATAACATTTCTCCAGGCACCGAATCTTTGAGCCAAAATATCTGTAGGTTGGGAAGAAGTCGGTATGAGTATCACTAGAGGAGATCTTGGATCTTGCTGTTGATTTGATCTTTGAGGATGTAATGTAGAATGATTTATAGTACCACTTGTAATTGAGGTTTTGCCTTGGAAAGAAGGTAAATGACTAGCAGGATTCATAGTTGGAGTCGCCACGCCTTGGTTTACACCGGTACCCATAGTATTGTTAGTGTTATTTTGAAAAGAATAATTGTTGTAACTATTTGTGAGACTATGGTTCACCATTGTTTCTTGTTGACTTGCATCGGTGTTAACGAAGTTCAACTCAGGCTGGCCGCTGTTAAGTATTGGACTTGTACTCTGCTGCATCTGCTTTTCATGTATCTTTTGTAAATAAGAATTCGAGAATTCGTTTGGCACTATTCCCAGACTTCTAGTTCTGTTCTGCAAATTCTGTAATTGCTGCAAATTGCGCTGCTGCTGGGGCAAAATGTCAGACATCGTCGATGTCATAGTGTTGTGTTTCGACATGTTCAGAGACAATAAGAAAATGCACTATTAGTCGATTGAACTTGAAAGTATCTGAAGTTGTGTAACCCAAGTCTTTTATAGAAAAAAAAAAAATAAATAAATCAAAAAAACGAAAAGAGTACACCTAAATCAAATTAATGAACAACTTGAAAAAGAATCCTCTTGATGTTTTCCTATAACCCACTTGTGAGAAGAAGCAGTAATAACGTACCAATAACCACAATGATATACCTATTTCCCAAAGATATATAGAGAGAGAGAAGAGAGGGGGGGGAAGGTCTAGAGAAAGCAGGATATGAAAATAACTCTTGACTCAAACCTAAAAAAACCGTACTATTCCTAATAGCAAATAACCCCTCCAAAGTTACGACCACAACTTATTCTTGTTTTCTTCAATAAGTAACGAACGAAGCAAGTAAATATGTATATATATCGCAATATATATAAATATTTATACCTTTAACGACAACAGGTTCTTCTTCTTATAATATGTTTTTTGCTCTATTCCTATAAACCAGAATAAAATAAACAAATAACCAACCACTGACTGTACTGATAGCAAAAAAAAGACCCACCGAACGAACAAACAATGGATAGCAAAGCTCAGAAACTAGAATTGACCTTAATCCTCGTCCTCTTGCTGACTGGATAAGGTCTATCTGGTCTGTTTCAACAATAAATCCTTTAAAATTCCTTTCAAGTTCCCAATTTTTAAGTCAAAAAAGTTTGGTGAAGTTTTCGTTGTTGTTTGGTTTAAGAGGGGGACGGGATGAAGGCTAAGAAGAATCTTTGTGAAGGTGAAGGTGAAGGTTAAGATGGTGATAAGAGTGGGGGAGGGCATTGTATAGTTCAAGAGTTAGGTGTGGGTCTTTTGGATTGATACTCAAGGGACTGGAAACCCATTTGGAGCTATGAATGAGAAAAGAGTTGTAATAATGGTCAGAATGGAGAAGAATGAGGGAAGAATTAAGGAACAAAGGGGTAATTGTGTGTCTTGTCTACTATTCTTGTTTTCAGCACTGGTACAAGTTGAATCTTGTATATTTGAATGTGTAGTGTAGTATCTTGTTTAGATTTGTGTAACACTTTTAATTGCATTGACATCAGTGCCTTAACAAGAACAACAACAGGAACATCAACATCAACATCAACATCAACTTGAAATTCCGATGGCTTTTTGCTTTTTCAACTTCTTTTTTTTAAAACTTCCCACTGGACTCTGGTTTCCCTTCCTTGTCGAAATTTATTCGACAATGCAACAGGAAAATTTCATCTACAACCATCCTCATCACCACCATCACCATCACGACTGCATCTACAACTACAGTTGCCATTGAATCTGCAAGATCGCAAACTGTCAGGTTAAATACCTTCCCAATTGCAGACTTCTGATGTTAAGCCAATTCACAAGAAGCTTGAGCTGTTTCGTTAAACCTACACCACCAAAGTTGAACAAGCTCACTAGAACAATGACTGTTTTACCAAAAATTCTACAAGATGCTAGACCAAAAGTATCACCAGAGTTGGATTACTCAACCTATTCCAATTATCAGAACTTTAAGATCAATCACACTGATTTGAATTTGAACATCTCATTCGATGACTCCATCGTAAATGGATTTGTTACTTTCAATTTGAACAAGATTGATAAATCATGCAATGAAATCAGACTAGACACCTCTTTCTTAACTGTTGACTCTGTTGAAATCGATGATGCAAAGGTAGACTTTCAATTGAAGGATAGATTGGAACCATTGGGTTCCCAATTGATCATTAATCCACCAACAGCAACATCTCTAAATAATGAGTTCAATTTGAAATTAGGCTTCTCTACCACTAAAGACTGTACTGCTTTGCAATGGTTAAACGGTGAACAAACTTCTTCTGGTAAGCCTTATGTCTTCTCACAATTGGAAGCTATTCATGCAAGAGCTTTGTTCCCATGTTTCGATACTCCTTCTGTTAAATCGACTTTTAACGCTGCCATCACTTCAACTTTACCTGTCGTATTCTCAGGTATCGAACAATCTGTTGTCGATAATGGCAATGGTACTAAGACCTATAATTTTAAGCAATCTGTCCCAATTCCTGCTTACTTGATTGGTATTGCCTCTGGTGATCTGGTCAGTGGTGAAATTGGACCACGTTCAAAGGTTTATACTGAACCTTTCCGTTTGAAAGACTGTGAATGGGAATTCTCTGGTGATGTTGAAAAATTCATCCAGGCTGCTGAAAAGATCATATTCCCTTATGAATGGGGTACTTATGATATTCTAGTCAATGTCAATTCTTATCCATACGGTGGTATGGAGTCTCCAAATATGACTTTTGCTACTCCAACTCTAATTGCTTATGATAAATCAAACATCGATGTCATCGCTCATGAGTTGGCTCATTCTTGGTCTGGTAATTTGGTCACAAACTGTTCTTGGAACCATTTTTGGTTGAATGAAGGTTGGACCGTTTATTTGGAAAGAAGAATTGTCGCTGCTATTCACGGTGAAGCCACTAGACATTTCAGTGCCTTGATCGGTTGGAATGATTTGGCCAACTCAATCAGTGCCATGAAAAACCCAGATAGATTCTCAACTTTGATCCAAAATTTGAACGATGGTACTGACCCAGATGAAGCCTTCTCTTCTGTTCCATACGAAAAGGGTTTCAACTTGTTGTTCCATTTAGAAACTATTTTAGGTGGTCCAAAGGAATTCGATCCGTTTATCAAACATTATTTTACCAAATTCTCCAAAAAATCTTTGGATTCTTACCAATTCTTTGATACTTTATTCGAATTTTTTGCTGACAAGAGAGAAATTTTAGATGCTGTCGATTGGGAAACTTGGTTATACAAGCCAGGCATGCCACCAAAACCAAAATTCATCACCACATTGGCAGACAATGTCTATTCGTTAGCCGAAAAATGGGCTACTGAAATCAAGAATGGCAATACTACTGAGGATGACTTGAAACAAGCCTTTACCGCTGCTGACATCAAAGATTTCAACTCTAACCAAATTGTCTTATTTTTGGACACTTTGGTCCAAAACAAAGAGATCCAATGGAATAACCACCATACTGCTGCCAAGACTTTGTTGAAGATTTATGAAGACAGCATTGTCAAATCCAGAAATGCTGAAGTTGTCTTCAGAACTTATAGATTCGAAATCACCGCCCAATTGAAGGAATCATACCCACAATTAGCTGAATGGTTAGCCACTGTCGGAAGAATGAAGTTTGTTCGTCCAGGTTACAGATTGTTGAATTCTGTCGACCGTCCATTGGCCTTAGCCACATTCGAGAAGTTGCAAAACATCTATCACCCAATATGTAAGGCTTTGGTCAAACAAGATCTTGAGGCCTGAACTGTCTGGATTATTATTATACAAAAATACTTATATACATATATAGAGAGAATGAACCATGATATCTGAACGAATAGACCCATCTACCTCCCCTCCCCTCCCCACTCCAATAGATATACAAAACATACTAATGAAGTATATCTTGAAGCTTTATTTATATGTATATATATTTGGTACTAAGTTTAGAAATATAAACTTTCAAATTGCTATAAGTTGACCAATTTTTATGCTACGAAAGCAGAACTTGTGCCAATTGAATCGTAAAACTCAATTGATACTACATTAAAGATCCGATTAGAAATATATCCAACAGTAAATCCAGGATTCAAACATCTTCTCTTCTTGTATAGGCTCTGTCTCTATATACCTCATCACTTTATGTTTGTTATATATCTATTTACCGTATATTATGACCATTTTATGTTTGTTTGTATGGGACAGGCGACGTGTAAAGTTGTTTCGAACACGATGAACTTTAAACACACGACTTGATCGATATCAGATACAAGTGAAGATTATAAGATTCATTTCGAATTGACTATAGAAGGAAAAGTTTTGTTGATCCTTCGTTAAGTAGATATATTTTAGAGTTATTCTTTTTGAAGTTTTGTATACTTTCAGTTTGTAAAATAAAAAATACAACAATAAGTGATTCCGGGACTTTACTGTAGTTTTAAAGTGAACTTGTATCCAAAAGAATTGATAATACTAGACGCATATATTCAAAGATGAATCAAATTGGTAACTTAGCACAAATTTCACGTTTTACAGAGAACTTATCAGCTGAACGTATTAAATCTGAGTTTGCTTCATTGCAATCGAAATTCTCTACAGTTCGTCCTGTACAAGAATTCTTTAATGTTAAGAATATTTCAAAGCCAAATAATTTCTCTGATGTTCAATCAAGAGTTGCTTATAATTTGAAATATTATTCTACCAATTATGCGATCGTCGTTGGTTTACTAAGTATCTACACTTTATTGACTAATTTACTGTTGTTATTTGTCATCGTTTTCGTTTTATTAGGTATGACAGGTATTGGTAAATTACAAGGTGAAGATTTAGTAACACCTTTCGGTACTTTAAAGACTTCTCAATTATATACTGGTTTGATTTGTATTTCTGTACCATTAGGATTTTTAGCATCTCCAATTTCTACCCTAATGTGGTTGATTGGTGCATCGGGTGTAACTGTTATTGGTCATGCCTCATTTATGGAAAAGCCAATTGAAACCGTCTTTGAAGAAGAAACTGTTTGATTATAATAGGATGAGATTGAGATATATAACCAAGCAAGCAACCTCTTTGGCGAATAAAAAGGTATAATAAGCACGTCAAGACTAAAAAAATAACAACTACATTAATAATATTAATTATATTAATAACATATGTATATGTATATAGAAAGATATATGTATATATATATATCTGTAATCTACAATAAATAAATACAAGATATATTGGTTAATTGAAAGTTGTTGCACGTTTCAATGCGATTAATCTACTTTAAATAGATTCGTTATAATTCTATATATGCATGTGTGTAGATTTCTTGCATAATAGAAGTAATCAAGTATAAAATTACTAGATATCCAATTTAGCGATGAGACCTAATCAGCCATTCCATAAGCACCATCAAGCAAGATCACGTTTCATCAAATGGATAGTAAATGAATAAATATTTACATCAAAAAAAAAAAATGGTACAACAAAATTTGATATCAGCATACCACATTTATCATGTTTTAGCTAATCAAGGGTAATCATTTTATCACCATTCTTCTCTGGATTAAAACGGATATAGATTGATCAGAAATCTAGGAGAATTCGCATTATCAAATTTTGCAAAATTCAATACTACAACTTACTATATATATAAATATACACATGTATCACTATTGTTATAAGAATTCTTTTCAATTTGTCCTAACTTCAAATCATTTTCTTATTACAATCATCAGTGTCCTATTCCAGAAGTAATCCCAATTTTGATGACACGCAAACAGTTTATTTACTGAACCATGTCTCTTGAAAACTTATTATATACAAGAAATATCCCTTGGATTCAAGTCAAATTTATACAACAGCTAGTAAGTAAAATAAATCCATCATCACTCCCACTGACATCATTGATTAAATTTGTTGTTTCTATTAGAATAAGTGAGGCCTTTTCGATTCGAATTTTAATATCAATATCAAATACCCGATTTGGCTATTGACCGAAAGTAACAATATCTCTTATTTTACCTTGACTACCTTAGAATTCGAACAAGACTGAACTGAACTCTCTTTAACTTAAGTTCAGTACATTCATTGATACCTCAATTGTAATTTTACTATCAATTTCTGAACGTATGTATATGTATATATACATAATTTTTTATTGTTGCACTACATATTATTTCAGTCTAGTATAAATTACACCAAGAGATTTGATGACGATGGTCTTGTAATCAATAGGTTAAGGGGTCTGATGATGATTTAGGCATCTCTTTAAACTCATTAAAGAGTAGTCTGGATAGTTAGATACATAATTAGCATATTCACAACTGCCAGCATAGAATGGATTGATTATATACATCTTTGAGGGCCTGGAGTATTCCTTTAGTTCCAACAATCTCCCCTCCCTTCCTTTCCCTTCCCTCCCCTTCCCTACCTTTCCCCCTTGGTAATATGTAGTTTTGGTCTGTAGTACATGCAAGTTTTTATGCATAGTAATTCAATTTTGCTTTGCACTATTTAATTTATAAATCGATGGTTTGTCTAATCCAATTGGAAGTTATGGAGTTTTTAGTCTTAGTAATTGGTTTAACTGCAGGATACTACTTATTCTCTTCTAGGTTTCCTATAAATGTTAATTCTTTCTTTATTTGGTATTTCAATACCTATTTTAATCTACATATTATAATATTTACAACTTTTCGATAGAGTTGGTATACCTCTTTGGGTTAGAATATCCTTAAAGTATGTTGTAATGTCAATTGGGTTAATAAAGATAATGGGTAAATAAATGATAGAAAGAAAACTAACAACTAACATGAGCGAAATTATTTGACTTTACACTTACCAATGAGTATTGTACATGTTTTACTCCCCTCCTTGTTCGTTCTTCTATATCTATTTCGACCTTGCTGCAGCATCCATCTATCTTTAATATATAGCATACTAGTTAATTTAGGTACTACGCTGACAATTTTTGATTCATATAAGAATAATATCTCTATGATAAATTACTATTTATATTCATATTATATAATAGAATAGTTACAATTAAGATTTAACACTAATACATTAGTATCTTACTTATAGCATTTTTTCAATATTATATAGATATTCTGTATCTTTGATTTTTATTAATAGATATTCTTGCTGGATCAAACCAGATGACCTCTTCGAAGTAATCGATTGTAATTCTAAATTGGTGATAATGGAACCCTTAAACCCACCACCCATATCTAAGGAATCTATCAAATCCTTATCTGAATTAATATTTGGTAATGATATAGATAACAGCTCTATCACAGAAGAAGGTTTGTCGAAGGCAATAGAAGTTAAAATAGAAACAGAAAAGACAAAACAGCAATATTACAGACTGGAAAATGTTAAAAATAGTATAGAATTATTAAAATTGGCAATTAATGCTGGTATCCCTTCAAATGATATCTCGAAATTATTCATGCAAGATAATGACATAACAATTGATGAATTGGGATATCAATTAAATAAAGAAAAAGGTTTAGCCAAACCGATCAATATTAGAGGACGGAAACCATTGAAATCTGAAAACACACCACTGTTGGCTCCAATACGTAATGAAAATGATAGTTTAGATGAAGTATTATCACCAAAATCAAATCATGTAACTCTTCGACAAATTAATTTGCCAACAAATAAAAATAATAATTTCGAAGAATTAATACATCAAACTATGAAGCATTCGTTATCAAATACTGACCCTCCTTTAAAGTCACACTCCCGCCAAACTTCTCCTGGTATACGTAAATCTAAAACTTTTAATTCACAGACACATTTTAGAAATAAATCTTTACCCACAATTAGAATCAATCAAAATTCTGATATTCCAATAAATATGACGTCAGTAATAAATTTTGCTAAACCTAAAGAATTTGGTGATCATTTGACATGCACATTTGCATTGGAAAAACCTGTCCAAGCAAATAAAGATTATGATAAACTTGAATCATCATTTTCATACAACGTTATAGACATGACAGTAAATGATAACAATGATAATGTTTCAAAAGAACGACAGACTACAATTAATATGACGCCAAAAATGAGTTCGTATAAAAATGAAGAGAAGAATACCGAAATCAATTCAAATGTTGTAACACCAGAATCCAATATTACAAGCACTGGTAAACATCCACATAGTAGTAGTCTATGGAAACTGTTGAATGCCGGTTAGTATATACCATTTAGCACGTCATATTCAATAGTGTATGATGTTATTAATCCTATATGTTGCATGATAATTGAAAATTAATGATCACATTTTTTTTTAAACTACGTACCTACTTTTATAAAGTTTATTTATTCAATACCAACTAACGTCTTAAACTCCTCTTCAGAGAAATTCAAAATTTCTTTAATTTTAATCTCTTCTTCTGGATATATATGCATTAAAGTTTTCCTAAATGTAATGTAAAATTCAGAAAGAGTCGAGAAACAAGAATCACAAATCTTATCTGCGATTACTGGAGATGTCAGTTTGAACAGTAAGTTTCCCTGCATATCTGTAAGAGCAATAGGGACATAATCATTCAATTTCTCATGTACATTGGTATTAATACTATCCAAATTCATTAAAGAATTTTCAGATAATGAATAATACATGTCTAGATCTAAGTCATCCTTTACCGATGAAATGGGGAAAATCATATTCAAAAGATTATTATACATTCCCAAACCAGTTTTATCAAATAGTATCTTCTTCTGTAACTCTAACATTTGGTTGATAACTTCTTCAGATTTATCGGATATCCATTTCAATACATCATTCTTCTCACCATCTTTTGAAAATATTACTGAAGCAAACGGCTGGATTCTAGATTTTATTAGATCGAAACAATTTATTTGGACTGTGTATAAGGATGTCCTTGCTTGCTCTTCTTTCTTTGCTAACGGGAAGCCCTCTTTTAATTGTTTCAGCAAAGTATTCTCGATCGGCTCCTTGATAACTTTTTCTAAAAATGTATCAGTAATAATAATTTCATTGGTATCTGATTCTCTACCTCCATGTTGCTCATATGCTTCAAATAGATCAGTGATTTTCACCAAATAATCAGATAACCATTCTGGTGGTAAAAAATCTTCAGTAGCTACATATGTAGTTTTTTCAATTTCGTTAACAAAATTAGAATAACATTCAATTAATTTCTCCTGAGATACTACACCCAAAGCAGATAAATTGTTAATAAGTGAACTATTGCTTTTAATCCCTTTCCTTTCAAACATCATCTTGTATAATTCTAATAATTTTACTATCTCAAAATTTGTTATTGGGTTATCTTCAAACTTAATTATTTGGCCAATTCTTATTCTACAAGTATTGGATAAAGATTGTATTATTTCATTTAATAATTTAGAATCTAATCCATCCAAGAACTCATCCTTCTTTTGTATAATTGATACCGGGGTATTTTCCATCTGCATTTCTTGGAAGTTAAATAGAGATCTTACAAAATCAGCCTCATTCGCAATTAAAGAGTACACATTTGCCAAAATATCACCAATATAACGTAGTGGATCATATGCAGACAGCATTATCGGATTAGCGTCCTTTGAATTAAAATCAAATTGAGATAAAAATTGATCAAGCACAGTTTTAGATCTCAAACTAGTTACTCTTTTCAAAAACTCATTGAAGTATTCTAAGTCATTTGATAAATATATCAGACTTCTTTGGAATGTTTGGACACCCTTTTCATTTGGACTTAAAAACTTCTCATTAACATTATTTGTGCCTGATTCAAATATATATAAAATATCCAACAAATGGTTGAATAACTTTCTATTCAATCGTTGTAGTATGTTGTTGACTTCGTGCATCAAAGATTTCCCAGCATTTGGGTTTTCTAGACCAAGCATGAAGACAGTCTTTTCCTTTATTCGCATAACTTTATTTATTATCTCAAACAATTCTTCATCAACAGATCCATTACTAATCTTATCATCCTCTACTTGGGTTAGGGTATATTGATCACGGATTGATAATAATAATTCCTTTTTAAGCTTTAAGTTATCAATATCTTTACGTAATGATTTAATTCTATCAAACATGGGTTCTTCAGTTCCAGTGGCATTTTCTTTCGATTCTTTTAACATTGAAGTCCCAAGGTTTTGAATATTTTCTATGGATGAGGATAACTTTTTAATCTTTCTAACAATTGGCCTAAATTCTTCTAGTACAGTTAAATGTTCTTTTAAAAGTTCTGTTTCCACATCGCTTTTTAAGGTTTTTCTGGCCAATGTTCCAATATAACCTGGATTCGTTAGTTTATTTTCATCCAGAGATAATGCAACTTTATTTTCTTCCAAAGAGTTTAAAGACTTCCTTAAATATGAAGTGCTTTGGTAATTACTAAAGGAATAATCATTCAATATTTTGGATAACTTTTTATTCAGAATCATATTTGTAGCCTCCAAACTTTGATTTTTCTGTTGAAAAACTAACTTTGAAATATCCAATGATTCCTTATTACCGTCAGGAATATAACTGGGTAAAGTATTTACAGATAAGTTGTCAGAAGTACCAGATATATGTAAACTTTCCATTGACAATTTGGCATAATTTGACATCTTTGCATTTAGATTAACATTTTTTCCACCATCTGTAGTACCACGATCAACAAGTAATTCAGATAGATTAATCTCATTATGCTCATCTGGCTTTTCAAATGACAATGCATTTAAATTTAATATAGCTACTGGTTCAGGTAACGCTCCATCACCAGCACTGGTAGAAATGGTATCGGACACACCAAAAGTATCATAATCAATAAATTCCATACCTGAGGCTTTATCGATCTTCAATGGTGAATTTCCTACTAATTGTCTTAATAACAATTGTAATATTCCAATCTCCAAATAAATGTATTGATTATTATTGATTTTAAGATAATGAACACATTTAACTTAAAAATCGAATTGAACAAAAGTTGCAAAAATTGAAAAATAAAATCCGTTTAAAATATTGCTTAAGTAGAGACCAAATATTTTCCACAAACAAGTTTTAATGCTTCTATGGCCAAGTTGGTAAGGCGCCACACTAGTAATGTGGAGATCATCAGTTCGACTCTGGTTGGAAGCATTTAATTTTTTACCTTTTCCAAAGGTGATTAACAATTTTTTGCTAACTTTTCTTAAAACGAGACAGATGAGAAAATAAATGGTTGTATTAATATATTAATTAAATAGATATTTATTAATGAAAGTGGATTATGCAGTTAAATTACTTTTTTAAAAAGTCTGAAAAATATGCCTGATCTTGTCCTACATGATTGATTTTAGTGGAATTTTATGAGCAAGTAAACTGTTACGAAAAATAACAGAAATAATAAATAAAGTTAACAAACTAGTAGCTATTACTTTTGGATCTTGTTTATATCTAATAAGCTCAATCCTATCTTATTAGAATGCGAGTCTGATAATGCTGAATATTTGGATGTATTTGAAATCGATTCATTCAATTGAGTAAATCTTGGATTGTTCAAAAATCTATCCTTTGTGTATAAAGTATAACTTTTTTGTAATGGAGAGAGCTGAGAGTCACTCAAAGATGATCGATGAATATCCTCGTTTTCTTTAAAATCTAAATTTTCACGTTTATCTAAAATAGTAAACCCATCCTTCTGCTTATTGTTCTTCTTTAGTGAAGAAGTATAGACATAATTTTGATATATTAATGAATCTAAAATTGTGCTAATTGGGGGTAAAACTTCTTTAGATTTCCTATCATTTGATAAGAAAGTAGTTGAGCTTTGACTCCAAGAATGGGAACGTGGTTTGTTCGATAAAGGCGGTATGATTGATGATCTTTTCTTTGTTGCACTCTGAGAAGATTGAGCTCTCTTTGATGACGAAGGGAAGGATGACTTCCAAGATGATGGGATTTGTTGGGAATTCCTTCTTTTTGTTACTTTATTAGATTTCTTTCTTTGCTGAGGTTGGTTTATTGATTTAGTTTGCTGTTTGTCTTGTGATTTAGGTTGTGATTGTGATTTGATTTGAACCTTTGATTTAGATTGAGTTTGTTGTGATTGTTTTTGTTTTTGCTTTTTATTTTCTGTCACACCGGCTGCAGTTTTCTGAAGAGCGGCTTCTATCATGGCGATTCTGCTTGCATCAGAATCCTCATTATTCTCTAATTTTACATTTTTCTTTAAAGTATTATACATGACCTCACAGTCCTTTGGGAAATTTTCACCAAAAATGGGTACCAATAAAAATCTTATTGGATAACAGAATCTTAGACATAACATTCTTGATATCTCCATTGGTAACCATGTTCCTTGTATTTTTACATATCCACCACGGACACGTTGGATTAGTGTCTCTAAGGTGATATTTTCCAAATTGTCATTCTCTTCAAGCAATCCCTTTTTCTTTAGATCTTTCTTGAAAGCCTCGATCAAGTAATGTTTTAATAAAGGTGAAACTGATGACCATGGGAAATCAATATAATTTGAGCCTATCTCCTGAGAAAAATCACCCAATATTTCAGTTGAAGTCACATTTTTTTTAGCTCTCCTACCTCTTGATTTTTTTAAATTTAAATGAATGGAACATAATTCTTTCCCTTCAAAGGCTTCGTTGAGTACAAAATCAAATTCTTTTTTACATTCTTGTTGTACTGCTTTATCGTCAGCTCTTTGTTCAATATCGTCGTCACTGGTACATCTTGATGCGTTAGCCAAACCTCTCATAATATCTTGGTATAATCTCCAAATACCTGTGAAAAAAACATGACCTGACTTTTCACTCCAGATAATGAAATTACATGAATTCAACAAAGAAGTTGAAGTAGATAACCCTGATGAAGTGTTTTGTTTCTCTGAATTTGTCTTTAATTGTTTTACTATATCTGATTCTAGTTCAGTAATCGTACCTTTAAGGAAGGCACTAGGTTTATTATCCTCGATACTCAATTGATATCTCTGTTGAGTGGTTAAAGTTGATGATAACCAATGAACTGAATTTTCATTATAATTATTCAAATCAGAAGAAGATAATTTAACGTTAGGGAATTGGTACTCGTAACAATGTAATTCGTGTAATTCCCCGATTTTATTAAATGAAGCTATTTGAGGTTCCGCAGTTAAATCCATTTTATTTACAATTTTCATATATTTGTGAAAATTTAAAAAATAGTCAGTATATCTAGTTTTGAATCCCTTTAACTTAGGCAGAACAATTGATGAATTTTTAATTGAAACGTCATTGCTATCTGAAGCGGCAAACATTGATAAAAACACCAATCTCTGATAATCGTCTAATGCAGATTGTGATAATTGTATAGACCCAATATCCAATCTGGAAACTGGATAAACAGGTTTCTTGCACTCGGAATCCATAACTATATCTTTTTGCTTTGGTTTATTTTTGCTCTTTGAATAGGGGTATATGAAAGATTTCGTTATTGTAATAATTTTAGTCAATTAATGCACGGCGTCTATTTTATTATCAATTGAAAGAAGATAAACAAAAAAAGAAAAGAGTAATATATGGAGCTAATAATGCAGTATTGTTTGTGTTTGGAAAATAGATTAATTAGCAGTAGTAGTGATTATAATAATAAAAAGGAAAGTTCTCTAAAAATAATAGTATAGTGTTTTTTTCCTTTTTATTTTTTTGCTTTTTTTATTTTAAGGTACGGTAATTTGTGTCCTTACTTATGAAATTTGTTTTTGTGTTATTAAAATTTAGAATTGAAATCTATAACAATAATAATAAATGACACAAAAGCGGTTAATCAAAAGAATTGCACAAAAATGTAATATATAGATAGGAATATATATATATATATATATATATATGAATAAAAATATAAATATAAGCTGAATCAATTTTTTTTCAAAATAAACGAGCTAAGGTGTTATTATCTATTCCATATATATATGTAAAGTTTTGAGGTTAAGAGAAGGAGGGGAATACAGTTTGATTCAAAGATGAGAAATTGAAAAGAAAAACTGATAAACTACATACAAGGTCAATTCAATGGTGCTGAAAACTGGAGATTATTAAACGTAACAACGGAAGTGCATAGTCGACAATATGGTGTTCGAAAGAAGGAACGATCGAGGGGGTGGAGTTAAAGGAAGGTCATTGTAACGTTGTTCAATACTAGGAAAGCCACAGGAATATAGAGAAAAATATTTAATTTTGAACTAAATTACTTAGTTAATACGAGAATGTGAAATCATAGCTCTAGTTAGTACAAGAGAAAATCTGTTAATTTCTGTAAAGTTGCCTGTTTCGGGGGAATATATCAATCAATAGAGAACAGTTAGTTATTCTTCTAGTAATCGGGATTTCTCAAAATCCATAGTTTGAAACTGTAGCTTCTAATTGTACTCTAGTAGCGCATTTATGTTGTTGTTGTTGTTGTTTTTAGCTTTACACATGCGAAAATGATTATGTTATCTTAAATCTTCTCGTTGCTACCATCACTACTGCCATTATTGTTATTCAATTTAAGTATAAGCTACTTGTGTCTGTCTGAAATTTTTAAATTTTCCAATTCGACAATGGATCAGCGGGGTCGAATGTTGGAGAAAACAGTGTAGGACGTCATCCGAAAGCTTGGAATCAAATATATATCCAGTTGTAGGCTTTTTTCTTAACCCTTGATATAAATTGATCTTAATTACAAACCATTGCAGATAAAAAACACGAGAACGGAAGAACGAGACATCGAATTACCTGAACGGGTAATCAGAGGGACAAGTTGTCAGCTTAATCGTTGGAATCGTCCTTGTCGGTTTCTCGAAGAACTGGTTAAAAAAGATTATAGAAGAAAAAAAAATAACAATTTCATAGTGGTTGATATGGTACAAGCAGAGGGAGGGACCGTCAAAACAGGAAGGAAAGCGGTACAGGATTAAATAAAAAAAAAAATGAACCAGTAAGTCAGTCATTCGCAACACAGAGGGATGGGAGGGAAAGAGGAAGAAGGGAGAGCCTTGATAATTATAAGTACCTAAAGAGAAAATAAGCAAGGAAAAGGTGGGGTAAATAGGGTTTATTTGTTCTAGTTTATAATTTCCTTCTTGAGTTTTTTTAAAAGCAAGTAAATGAAGAAGATGCTGATTGATATTAGGAAACGAACCTGCACCTTTTGCTTTTTCAGTTAATTTCTCTTCCTGTCTTGTGTCGTCTTTTAATCACTCTTCTGGAAAGATTATATTGTATTTGTTGAGCTCATCGTTGTGGGGAGAAAACTCATCTTGCTCTTTCCGCACAGTTTTCTGAGACAAAATTACTCATGGATAGGTAGAGTTATTTGCCAACCTAGCAATTAGGTGAAATATATGTAGGCGTACATTGGTTTCTCTTCAGAATATTTCGGGCTTCAGGAGAAATTCGGAATTGAAGTTATCTAATTGATGTTATCTAATTGATCCTACCGATTTCCTTATTTCTTAGCTAATGGATTAAAATGAATTACCGATTTATTTATGTTTTTGCTAGAGTTAAAACTTAATAAAATTTCTGCTTCTGGAAGTTTCTTTTATTCGAATCAATTTCATCATTCTTTGTATTTGGTGTAATTAAATGATTGGCGGATAAAAAAAAACTATAAACCACAAAAACACGTTAATTTACTAAGCCTAATCTCTATTTTTTTTTTGTACATTTCCCAGAAACATATATACATTGACCATACTACGATATATTCTCTCCTTCCCCCCATAGTGGAAAATAATCACAATGCCTCCTTCGCAAGATAATCATTCACCAATTGATTCTGGAATAAATTTAAAACAGAGTCTACAGATATATTTATTTATTTTTCTAAAACGTGTTCGAACCAACAAGATACAAAAAATCACAAACTCTCGATTCATTCGATATATTTTTTAGTTGATGCAATGATCAGGTGATCATGTCATCGAACAATCACCCGATCAAAATCTCACATAAGTATATACTATTCTAAAGGGGGGTGGGGCAGTTGTAAAAACTTAATAATAAGTAAAGTTCTATTAGTATAAATATAAATATGGTTTCTTAAATCTAATAATCAAGGCGTCACAAATTTTGTTTTGTCACATCACTTTTTATAAGCGTCAGAACTCTTTTAAGGTTTACTTTATATTCCGTATCCCTTTTTTTTTATTAATTTAGCATATCTTGAAATTATATGCTGTTGTTGTTTTTTTTATTTTATTTTTGATGTAATTAGATACGTGATTCGAACTATTTAAGGTAAATGAGGCACTTTTCGTTATATCTATAATAGTATCCTTATTTTTTTTATATATCTTTTAACATCTACTTTTGTGATTGCGACTGGATTGATACAGTTTGTTGAATCGAACCATAACTTATAACATTGATTAATTGATCTATTTTGATTACTTTGTACATGATATCTAATAGATATATTTATCAGTCTTGTCATCGTTATCATATCTGTCATTGTAAACTTATTCTGAAGTTAGAACATGACCAAGATACAAACATAATTAAACAACTAAATAATAACAATTGCTATCAATAATATATCAAAATATTCTACTGCTTTTAGAAAAGATTATATAAATATATTCATATTAATAATACCAATTATTTAACTTTTTTTTTTTGCTAAATGTTATTGTCAAAATTAAGTCCTCATGATCATCTGTTTAGTTATGACGACTCTTACAGGATGTCTCGGTCGACACATAGAGTATTCATCCTAATATCATCATTGATATTAGGTGGCCTGTTTTTCCTATTTGCTAGTGACTGTTGTTGCTCGTGGGATTCTTTTAAACATATCATACTCCCATTTAATAAAAATAATGAATTACTGACACCAAATTCTCCATTACAAGACAAAAACATATTGGTTATTAATGATTTTTTTAATAACACTGATAAATTTGTTTCTTTAAGATCCATCCCTTCCTATTCAATTCCTCGTGGAAACTTTACAGAATGGATCTCCGTACAATCGGAATTGTCATATCAAAGAGTTCTGTTGAATATAGTTGATGAAGGATTACCTACACATCCATTATATGATAAACATAAATCAAAAAATATTAAAGAAGGTGTTGTCATCGGATCCCCTTCAACTTTTGAACCTGATTATTTTTATCAATGGGTTCGTGACAGCGCAATTACAGTAAATTCCGTCGTTGACACCATATTTAACTTCCAAAACTCTACTTATAATATATCCTTAGTAGGGACGTTTTTCAATATTTGAATGTATCCTATAATATTCAAAGGACTGATAATAAATCAGGGAAATCGGTGGGATCTGTTGAATTGTTAGGATTGGGTGAACCAAAATGGAATATTGATGGAAACTACGTTTAGATATGCCATTGGGAAGACCTCAAAACGGAGGGCGCAGCATTAAGGGCATCTACAACTTGGAATTTCTTGAGTAAAGTGTCTAAAATGAATGGTTCCAACGTTAAAGATCTTATTTCACAATATCAAAAGACCCTATTATCAAAATAATGATATTGGTCTTCAATTTGAAAAGTGATTTCGGATATTTTTGAAAATATAGTGTTTTATGATCTAAAATTTATTATCCAAAATTGGGATAAAAAGAATTTCGATTTATGGGAAGAAGTTTATAGTCAACATTTTTTCACAAGTTTAGTACAATTAAACGCCATCAAACAGTCAATTAACTATATCAATAGTTTAGGAGATAACAAGTACAAGGACTTCAAAACGGAACTAATAGAAACATTTGATAAATTGTTTAAGTTTATTATGGTGGATTCTGGATATATTACATCTAATAAAAACTTTATTGTTGAAACGCCAGAGATATTGGATAGAAGGTCTGGTTTAGATATAGCTATTCTTATAGGATCAATTCTAACCCACCCTACTGACGATGAAGTTAATAACGATGCCTTGCCATTTAACGTCAATGATTCTGGAGTTTTAAACACATTGTATTATCTGGTGGAGAAGATGTCCGTGTTATATCCTATTAATCACCCACATTTACAATTGAAAAGAGGAGTAGCTTTAGGAAGATACCCAGAAGATATATATGATGGTGTAAGAACTAGTGAGGGAAATCCATGGTTTTTATCTACCAGTTATGCATCTGAATTGTTGAGTAAATTGATTATTAAACTGAGCAACAGTTATCAAGATTTAGTGATACCATTAGATATGTGGGAATCCAAATTTTGGGGGTTAATAATTGAAGGCATGGACGCATACAGGGATTGTAAAGATAAGACGCATTTATTGATTCCATTTGATTCACCAGCGTATATACAAGTATTAAATTCGATATTCCAATTGAGTGAATCATTTCTAGATAAGATTAGGGAACATGTTAGTGAGGACGGGAATATGAGTGAACAGTTTAACAAGTATACCGGATTTTTACAAGGAGCTGAAGATTTAACGTGGTCATATGGATCATTTTGGGAGGCATGCAAGGCTCGTGATCAAGTAATCAAGTCGATGGGATTTTAATCCGGCAAAACATGTATTCTGTCATTGGTTTTCTTTTATTTTACAAAAAAAACAAAAAAAAGCAAGATGATATTATGTATCAAACATAAATATATATAAGTGAAAGAACAAATTTAGATAACATTATAATTAATTAGAACATCCTTTTATAAGTGCAAGTGCAAGTTCAAGGTGTTAACCGCTTACATTCAAAAAGCAGAAGTAAAAATGTGACGCTGAAATATAATAAGGTCACGGTTAAAACATGTATTATTTCGAGACTACTTCGAGGTTACTTCATACGAACCTTGAAGGTGAATAAATATGTGTCACTACAAGAATGTTGTTACATGCTATTAACATTGATATTTAAAGAGATCATTGTACATTATTGTATATTATTGTATATTATTGTATATTAATTAGTATCTTACTTTGTACATAAAAGAATATAGAACTTTATTATTATTAACAAGTATATTTACTTTAACTTACAGATCTCAACCCTTAAGGTCCTATAGAATAAACGCCTACCAGCCTTCATTCTAACGTATATCAATTTAAACATACAATTAAATAATAATTACAGGCCAAATAATACAAACAGCGTTAGTCACGTGCCTTGGTCAAAATATTTTACTTCTACGTATATATGGATATATTTCCTTGATGTTGAGTTGTACCGACCGGTCATGGGAATGTCACCGATCTCGGTCGATTACGACTACGACACGGCAAAACACCGCACGAGAAATTTACGCAACGGAAGCAGCTGACTCGTTCGTCACGATAGAACTGCGAACTGCAACCAACAGTACAAGGTCAATCGCAATCGCAAAAGCAAACTAACGTAATATACAAACCCCGACCTCGGCAAACAGCCACCAAGAAATTCTTTCTAGCTATAGTCCTCACTCTATCTCTGCTCTCCATGACTTTCCTTACCATGCATATACATCTACATATTTTTCGGTTTTTCCCTCCCTCCACTTCCCCCCTTCACTTCTCATGTCCTCACTAAATACCCTCAGTTACCCGGACACTGCCCTCCTCCTGCCTCCCCGCCCTCTCCCCTGCGCACAAAACTCAAAACTCAAAACTCAAAACCGAAAAAGCAAAAAAGCAAAAAAAAAATAAATACGTAACAAAAAAAAGAGCCGAAGAATTGGACGATGATTTCGGGACTGCTAAATAAGTAGCCAAGTCAAAACTCAAAAAGTCACCCTTCTCTTCGCTTCCTTCTCTCTCTCTCTCACAAGACCGTCCCATCCACATTACAGAACCTCTCTCTCTCCCTCTCCCTCTCGCTAACACGCACAACACACACAGTAAACCATTTCGAACGCTTCCTTTCTATTGGGTAAAGAAATCCTACCACCAGAACAGCTAGCTGCCTCATTTTTATGTCATTTTAATTTCTAAATTTTAACTCTCTCTCTCTCTCTATAGCTCTCTCTCTGTCTGCTTTTGCTTTCTTATCATGTCCTCATCGTACATACAATACAATACAATATCACCCAAACCTGACTATTTGACACTGCTTAATTTTCTTTTATGTAATACACTAATACTAATACTAATTTTAATATACTTATACTAACCATGTATGGCACTTCACCTCTACCTGTACCAGAACAATTATATTGTATAATGTATATGTTCCCACTTACACTACCAGCATTCGTTATTCATCAATCATATTTATAACTAATATATAAATACTGATTAATTACATTTCGTGTAATGTTCTTGTCTTAATTACGAATTGGAAAGACAGTTATTGTAATAACTGTCTGTGTCTGAAAATTTAAACTTATATACTTGCAATTACAAATATAGATATATATACCAATTTGCAAACTCTACAACCAATTAAGACTGTGTCATTGTTTTGTTGTAATAGTTTAACTATATTTAACGTTTGTTTTCATTAAGGTGGTGTGTATAATACTATAGTTTATTATTCATTGAAATTTCCCCCCTCCCTGTTTACCCTGCCATACTCTTTTTATCCTGTCCACGTGATATATTTGGCATTTATCCGTTTTTGATTTTTTTGACCTCGTTAACATTAGAACAATATATACTACAAGATTTGTTCTCATTTTAGCTCCATTAGAAAATTAAAACCTACCTCTTCTGATCTAGTCTCTTTTTTAATACAGAAGTACAATTTTAACTATTGAAAAGATAAAGTTAGGAATAGATTAAGAAATTAAATAAAAAAGAATACAAAGATTCATATTAAAACATCAATTTACAATAATGTTCAGAAATTTAATCTCAAAGAGAGCTTTCACTTCAATTGCTTCTCGTGAAAATATCATCCCAAAAAAATACGGTGGTCGTTATACCGTTACTTTATTGCCTGGTGATGGTGTAGGTAGAGAAATCACCGATTCTGTAGTCTCTATCTTCGAAGCTGAAAATTTGCCAATCGATTGGGAAAGAGTAGAATTGTCAGGTTTGGAACAAGAAGATGTTCATACTGCCGTGGAATCCTTAAAACGTAACAAAATCGGTTTGAAAGGTATATGGCACACCTCTGCTGATCATGACGGTCACACTTCTTGGAACGTAGCTCTAAGAAAAGAATTGGATATTTACGCTAACGTAGCTATCTTCAAGTCCTTCAAGGGTGTCGATACAAGAATTCCAGATGTCGATTTGGTTATCATCAGAGAAAATACCGAAGGTGAATACTCAGGTTTGGAACATGAATCAGTACCAGGTGTAGTGGAATCTTTAAAGATCATGACTGCTCAAAAAACTGAAAGAATCGCTAGATTCGCTTTCGATTATGCCATGAAATATAACAGAAAATCAGTCACTGCTGTTCATAAGGCCAATATCATGAAGTTAGGTGACGGTTTATTTAGAAATTTGGTCACAGAAATCGGTGCTAAAGAATATCCAGAAGTTGGTGTCTCTTCTATTATCGTCGATAACGCCTCCATGCAAGCTGTAGCTAAACCACATCAATTCGACGTCATGGTCGCTCCTTCAATGTATGGTACTATTTTGGGTAACATTGGTGCTGCTTTGATCGGTGGTCCAGGTTTGGTTCCAGGTGCTAACTACGGTAGAGATTATGCTGTCTTTGAACCAGGTTCCAGACACGTTGGTTTAGATATTGAAAACCAAAACATTGCTAATCCAACCGCAATGATCTTATCTGCTACTTTAATGTTGAATCACTTGGGTTTCAGAAACGATGCAGCAAGAATCTCAAAGGCTGTCCACGAAGTCATCGCCGAAGGTAAAACTACCACTAGAGATATCGGTGGTTCTGCTACTACCACAGAATTCACTAACGCTGTTATCGCTAAATTAAAGACTTTATAAAATATTCACAATACAGATTAACGAAGTTTTATTTTTGAAAGATAAAAATAACAATAAAAACAATAATAAGAATTATACAAATAATAATAAAAATAATATTATAAATTACTGAAGTCTTTTCACAGTAAAGATTATTTTAGGATAGTATTAATGTACGTTTGCCAAAATTAATTTATGAATATCTGGGTTACTTCTGTTTAATTTTAGTTTTGATCTTAATTTAAATCCTGTCGTCATTGCTCTCTTGTAATAGAATAGTATTCAAAACTAATGTTCGTTTGTATTTACAATAATTGGTCAGTCTTGTCTAATATTCTAATAGCAAACTTATAGATCTCTTCATAAATTATATATATATATATTCTAAAACTTATCACTTATTATTCAGGTGTTTTCAACAATTATTTCAATATTCTCACTCACGTTCTTTAGCTGGTTTCCATCTATCATCTTGTAAATTCGCAACGCTAAATTGTTCTTATTTCGCACCGGCCTACCATTTGAGAAAGGGGATGCTACACTTTAAAAAAAAAGTTGACATTTATTAGGTAAAACAGAATAAGTACTTATAGGATATTATATATACAAAGAATACCTTAAAAACAGTTCATTGGGAAGCTATAGAACTTATCCATCGATTCAAAGTTACCTATTTAATTTCATTTAATGGCGTTTTTTTGTTATTGAATCAAAGCCATGAAGAATTTAATTAACGAACCCTCGACAGATTTCCATATTAAGTTAAATGAACAGTCATTTAAAATACCAACAAGGTTATTGAAGAAGAATAATCTTCAATTAAGTTCATTAATTGAAAGTGAAACAAAAGAACTACAAGGAGAGTTTTTAGAATTGCAAAAATTAATGAATGCTAACAATTTGCAGGATGATAAATTAGCATTGGCAAAAATGAATGATATTATCAAAAATGTTGATATGTTTGAAAAGAAATTGAATAAGAAAATAAATGAAGAGATGGAATTGTTGAATAGAATACAAACCAGAATTAATTTTTTTGAGGATTTAGAAAGTGCTAAAAATAGTGGAAACGAATCTATCTTAATTACATGGTATCAAAAATATACAAATGTATTGATAGGGGATTATTTGACTAGAAATTCGTCAATTAATAATACTGGTGCTAATGGTGCATTACCATCTATAAATATGGATGAGGAAGATGATATTTGGAATACAGGTACAATTTTCTTGAAACAACAACATTTAGAAAAACTTTTGGACTATGATATCTTAATAAACGCAAATAAAATTTCTAAAGCTCTAACAGAAAATCATGATCTCCAACCTTTATTTACATGGATTCAAGAGAATAAGCATTATCTATCAAGACGTTCGTGTACTTTGAACTTTGATGCAAGATTACAAGAATACATTCAGTTGTTAAGACTGGGAAAGAAGCATGAAGCAATTTACTGCTTTCAAACATACTTAATACCATTTATAAGTACAAATTTAGAGGACCTTAAAAGGGCAGCAGGCCTGTTGTTATCACATTGTAGTAATAAAATGGAAATAAATGTCTTCACTGAGGAAGAATCAGAATGTCCACCAGCTTTCAATACTTTGGATAATATCTACGGATATTTTTTTCATAAAGAGGTTCCTAGAAAACTTTCCGAGAAGCCATCAAATAAGCCAGATCAAAAAATTTCTTTATGTCTAGATTCTCCAAAGACAAATTTCCATTCATCATTATTTGATGATAATAGATGGGCTGCGCTTAACGAAGCATTCTTAGAAGAATATTATAAAATGTATGGCATTTCCCATAATGACCCATTATTAATTTATCTATCCCTGGGAATTTCGACACTAAAGACGCGAGATTGCATTCATTCCAAAGAATTGAAAGAATCGATGAACATAGAATTGGATGAGTACATTAAGTCGGATGTTCTTCATAATAAATGCCCAGTATGCACTTCAGAATTCAGAAACATTGCAAAAGATTTACCATTTGCCCATCATATTCAATCAGAACTTTTTGAGAATCCAGTTATGTTACCAAATGGAAATGTTTATGACATGATTAAACTAGTGCAAATAGCAGATAATATACGAATCAATAATTTGATGAACTTACAAGATGATGAAATAATAGACCCTATTAACAAGGAAGTATATAAAAAGGCTCAATTCATTAAGATGTACCCAACTTAGCTCTTTATAGTATTAATATTCAATAAATAAGCACGGTATAATACGACTTTTTATGTCCAATGGTGAATAGACTCTTACTTGGATAGTACTCAATCATGGTGTGATGAGTTAAGATAAAAAAATAGGAAATGAAAAAATAAATGGTCCCTAGCGGGATCGAACCGCTGATCTTGGCGTTATTAGCACCACGCCTTAACCAACTGGGCCAAGGGACCTTTTAATTTCTGAAAATTCAAGAAATCTGATATTTCCTAATTTAACAATTATTCCCTCGTGATGTACTCACTTATTACGAGAATTAGTTCAATATATTGAGACCCAAAAGCTCTAAGGACAAAATGTTCTATAAGAAAGGTTAACAAACTCTGTCAGAAATTATGAGATGACGTAAAGTCACACTCATTAATTCAATATTAATAAGGGTGAAGAATTATATAAAACATCATTATTAATAAGGGATAAAGAAATGTTTATAATACGAAAGTATTTGTTTCTGACGTGTCAAGAATATCTAAACATTGTATATAAAGTTTGATAAGATCTTAATTGACACTTATCATATGTACTATATTCCCATGTGTATATTTTATACTTTAATATACCGGATCAATATCAACTTGTTAAGAATGTCCTTGCAAACAACTAAACAATCTACTACTATTAACGATTCTGTAAAGAATCCACAACCCTCTGATTCTCTACAAACTCTATACCATATTATTGACCTAAAAGGATAAATGGTTTAAGAATTATGTTCTTTAACTAATTAATAGAATGTTACATTATACTACAAGTTCACAATATTGTCTTATGAATTCAAAAAAAAAAATATATTCCTTTTATTAAATATAAAGAATATATACGTACGAATTTTTCCTCTTATTCTCCCTTCCTGGGAAGTTACGTATTATACATAATACACAGAAAATAAATCCAATTATAAAACATATAAATTTGGTCTCTATTTCTACCCCAGATATTTCTAGATGCCTTTCCTCTCTTCTGGGCCATTCGTAATCGATATCCTCTTGTCATCTTTGTAATTCAACAGTTAGAGATAAAATAAATTGATGGTATTTGTGATATTCATAATCGTAGAATGCCAAAAGCATCAAAACCTAACGAAATCGGAAAGTTAATTTAGAAGTTTTTTTAATCTTTGATCTCTTGTTCACGTCTAGTTCTTCAAATATTAAATTTAGCTTTTTAACCTGTAAAATGATGTTTCAATCTTAAATCATAAATTCAATATGTATTCACCTCACCCATATCTCTTATTACTCTTTGTTGTCCATATCCCATTATATTAGACTTCAAGGGTCTCTCTTAGATAAAATAATACACTTTATCAAAACTGATCTACGACACTAATCATGTTAATTTTTACATCAAATTCCTGTAATTTCGATTCTTTTTCTGCGGTTACCGTCTGTAAACGACGGATCTGAAAATTTTCGAGGCGTCGATTATTCTGATCCAAAAAAAGGAAAAGTGTATACAAAGGGAATGTTGAAATCGGAAAACTTATTAGCTTACTTATTTCGTAATAATTCTTGATGTTTCACATATTTGAACAATAAAGGTAACCGTTTGGGTATATCAGATAACCTATACATTTGGTATTGATAAATTTGTAAAGTGTTAAGTTTGTTTAAGGATCAAGTGGGCAGAATATATTCAAATACAACACGTAGGGTAGTAAATTTGATATATATTGGGATGAATCAAGATCAGTTACCTTTATATGTTCCAGATACTGTTGTAACAGTAGGTTCGCATACTGCTAAGATCGTAAAATATTTAGCTAGTGGTGGTTATGCTCAAGTTTATTCTGCATATGTTACTCCAGTAGATTATTCCCCTGCTACTAATATTGCTTGTTTAAAAAGGGTGGTGGTACCGGACAAGAAAAGCCTTAATGCTTTAAGGGCAGAGGTTGATGCTTTAAAAGTTTTGAGAAATAAAAAATATGTGGTTTCTTATATAGACTCTCATGCTTCCAAACACTCAGGTCATACTGGTTCTTATGAAGTCTTCGTTTTGATGGAATACTGTTCTGGTGGTAGTTTAATAGATTTTTTAAATACAAGATTAAAGAATAGATTAAGAGAACAAGAAATCTTACACATCATGACTCAAGTAGCTGTGGGTGTTGCACAAATGCATGAATTACAACCTTCTTTAATCCATCGTGATATAAAGATTGAGAACATTCTAATATCTGAAAACGGCGAATATAAAGTATGTGATTTTGGATCTGTTTGTGGTGTGATACGACCACCAAGGTCTTATGAAGAGATGAAATATATACAGCATGATATAATGAAAAATACTACTGCACAATATAGATCACCGGAAATGTTAGATCTAACTAAAGGTTACCAAATAAACGAAAAATCAGATATTTGGGCTTTAGGTGTATTCCTATTTAAATTGTGTTATTATACAACCCCGTTTGAGAAGGAAGGTGAAAAGGCTATTCTAAAATCACAATTTCAATATCCTGCCTATCCAGTATACAGTGATTCATTGAAAAATGTTATCCGGGTACTACTATCAGTTGATCCATTCAAAAGACCTAATATATGCCAACTGATAGAGGAACTAAGTAGATTACAAGGAATAGTCCCACCGATGAAAAACTTTTATTTATCAAGAGCATTAGAGACTTCAAGTTTGATGCAGCCATTGCAGAATAACTCATATAAAGTGCCTATATCCGACATTCAAGACAAGCATAAAAGACAAATTCCAAATATTCAATCTTCCCCAGAAAAATTACCATCTATCCAATCTACATCTAATGGTATGACAACAAACAAAATTCTAACGAGACAAACATCTCCTGATATAGAGAATCTAAAAAGTAAAAGTTCCAGTAATTATTATAAATCAGGAAAAAATTACGGTTCCGAAGCTATTACAAGTGGCTCCATTGAAAAAGATTCACAATTTAATAATTCAAATTTATATTCTGAAAAGCCAAATCTATATTACAGAAGTAAAGACCAATTAGATACATCAAATAGAGAAAATTCTACTATTAATGACGTACCAGGCCAAATTGAAAAATATGGGGATTGGTCGTCTGTATACAGGAAAACTCGTAATAGTACACTGCACATTGGTAGATCAAGATCATCTTCACTCGATTCAACATCTTCATCATCGTTGTCAGTTGAATCATATACTGCAGAACCACTATCTAAAAATTCAACCGGTATAAGTTTAGTAAGAACTTTAAGTAAAAAGCTGAAAAATGTTATTACTGGAGAAAAAAGAAGTGTCTCCCCAGTTAGATCTCGTCAGAATACTGGTGGAAGCAGCAGGTCAGTATTCACCGTTCTTCATGAAGGGTTCACAGGAGGTAATAGTAGAATTTCATCTTCTGAGCATACCATTAGAGGTCCTTCATCTAGTTCACACAAAAGTAGGGTTTCTTCTTCAACTAAGAATTTTGAAGAAGGATTTATAAGGAAACATGTTGATATAGTGGAGGAAAGTGCAGAACCTAAAGTTGGTATAAAATTAAAAACAACCAGGGAGGCTAAAGATTCAATCAAGAGACGTGTACGTGAGTTATTACTAGTATCAGAGGATGAACAATATCACAGAACAGCTTCTGGATACGGCAAATATACCGATGTTCAAGAAATTGTGACTAACATTATGACGCCACTAGTAAAATCTACCCAGAAGACACCAATTGACTCAAAAAATAGTTCACCTCGGAAAAAACCTATATTACCTGCTAAACCTCTTCATTTGAGATCCCAGCCAAAGCAACAGACCGCAATTCTAGCAGGATCAAAGGTTGGAATTTAAGGATTATAATGCATAACTGTAAAAATCTTGTTATTAAATGACATCTAGAAATTTTTTTATTATAGTTACAATTTTATTTATCACTTGCATGAATAATACTGCATGCAAATGCGAGTATATAATTAATGATTTATAAATTTAATTAGTATTGATGATTAATTAAAAGACACCTCGGACTATCTTTTATTAAGATTTATTCAATAATGCAAAATATGACAGTGATGCTCCATTATCCGAGTGAACTTACAAGATGGCGGTTACTCTTCAGTCCATTCATCTAAGGAATCAATTATAAAATCTGTTGCTTCTTCGAACCGTTCCTCTATCAAACTGAAAATACCGTCACTATCACATCTTAATACCCGGCCATAACGTTTCCTTGGTTTTTTGCTATCGTTTTCCCCCCAACAGGAGTGATTTTTATCAGCAAATAGAAGCGAAGTTTTAAAGTACCAATCTGCTAGCGATTCTTCTACAAGAGGAACTAGAGCCTTCAATGGCTTTTTACCAACAAACCCAATTACTGACTTGACTACTGATCTTGTGTCTCTGTGACCTAATAGGTGGACTAACCCTGAATAAGCTTCCCCAACACCTATATATGCGATTTTATTAACATTTGGAAAATACTTCAAATTATTATCCCATAACTTAATTAGGACCTCTTGAGCAGTCAGTGATGCAGAATAGTTATCTTGTTCATAAAGTGTTTGCGGTATATTTACATCAATTATCCCATAACCTCTGTCCAATGCCCAATCATAAAATTGCAAGGACGCATCCATATATAGAGATGCCGAGGAATCAATCACACCAGCTATTGCATCTCTTTTAGACCAAATCTCTGGTGTGTCATGGACATAAATGATAGCTACATTTGATTGCAAAATATCCGTACTACACATAACAGTATCTTCAGGTAAATTTGAATTCATTAAAGGTAAAGGTACCATATTATAATCATTTGTCAGGTATTGTATTTGCTGAGCTCGAATTGCATCCTGAATTGGGAATTTTTTGGCAAAAAATGATTCAGATATAGGTCCCTTATATTCACAATTTGAATTTGTAATTTGTCTCTTAAAACATTTCCAATATTTAGACTTTAAATCTATTACTCTGTCAATCATCTCTATTGCTTCTGGCTTCGGATCTTTATCTGGCGCAGGTAACTCATCAGGAGGTTCTCCAATCAGGACTTTTGCTACAGCAAGAGCACTTCTCGCAATTGCGTCTAAATTATAACCACCTTCTAAAACTACACATAACTTACCATTAGCTAATGATTTTAACATGTGTGTCATATGGCCATAACAGCTTGGGGTAACATGACATTTACCGATAGTGTCACCATCGGCAGCATCGAAACCAGAGGATACTATCACTAAGTCAGGTCTGAATTCACGACCCATGGGCATTACAATTTGTTCAAAAGCCCAAATATATTCTGCATCTCCGATACCACCTACTGACCAAGGTATGTTACAATTGAAACCTTCACCTTTGCCCTCGCCTACTTGGTCATATTGACCATGAATGGTACCTGGATAATACTTACCCAATTCAAATCGATGCAATGAGACATAGAGAACTCTATCGTCATTGTAAAAAGCCTTTTGAGTACCATTACCATGGTGAATATCCCAATCTACAATCATTACTTTCTTAACTTTGTCAGGATAATTTTTTAAAATATTTTTGGTGGCAACTGCAACGTTACTAAACAAACAAAACCCACCAGCAACTTCAGGTTCAGAATGGTGGCCTGGTGGTCTAACAATCGCTAATGAATTTTTTACTTTCCCATCAACTATAGCTTTACAAGCTTCAATCGCACCACCACAAGATAATTTGGCACTAAAATAAGAATCGTTATTGAAATATACCGAATCACCTAGTTCAGTTTTACTCAACAATTCATCTCTATTCAGGTATTGAGTTTTCTCTAAATATTCTAATTGCTCCTTTGGATGGACCTCTAATATTTCTTCAGAGGTAGCTTCTCTTACTGGAATTTTGCACATTAAATCGCCGATATCGTCGATACCTGAAAGAGCAGGATCTCTAATCAGCCCATTTTCAGCCAGAATCTTGTAGATACGGTAAATACGTCTAGGGTCTTCAGGATGCGGGTCTATATATTCATAATATGAAGTATATATTTTTGCATGGTATCTCATTCTGACATCGTAACAAAGACCAGTTTTCAAAGGAGTATATGATAAGCTAGACATCATTATTCTCAAATCGATCAAAATATTTCACGTACTGGGTGGGAGATCACGGTAGTCTGAGTAAAGATATCAGGAATCGAACGTATATATTCTACTGATACTTTTTTTTTCAACTTCTTTACTTTACCAATTTAGCTGTCGTTTCAGAATATCTTACAATATATAGTTTCGAACCCTGCCTGCATCTACAACGACAATGAAGAAGAAGCCAGAAAGAAACCTGAATACCAAGAGACAACTTTTTATAAAAGGGAACAGTAATGGGGATCCGGAAGAAGACAACTGGTGTATCAAGATATACATCCATCTGTATCAACTAAGTATGTATCTCCATTCGAACAGTATCTAACATACTTGAACATTTCTCATTGCTACTGCTCGAGAGATACGAAATGTATACAGAATAGCGATTTGAATGAGCTTTCGATGAGGTTGAGCCTGTTTGTAGCGAGGTTTAAGAGGGAACAGGTTCCAAAATGTGATCCAGAAGTGCGGGTAACGGTGCACGAGACAGAGAACATGAAAATTAGAGCACGTTGTGTAATGCGCCCAGACTATCCTGTTTCGTCGCCATGGAACAAGCAAGTGGTGTTGGTGAAATTGTCTGTTGATCTGAACTGAACTGAACCGAACTCCTACTGTTCCCCAAATTTTCAAGTAATACTACTAATTGATTCAATTTAACCTTGTGGGCTACTACATCAAGACGCCGTACACAGTGACACGTGCTCTTTATTTGGGCAAGAGAAACAAGATACAATTGATGTTTCGACATTACAAGCAATAAATCGGGACCTTTTATTTCAAATAAACGCAATTGTCTATATCCATCCATCAACACTTGTGTTTTGTCCACATACACTTGAACTCGATCCCAATTAGTTCAATATAGCAAACGTTTTTTAATGTCTCTCTCTAACAAATACGACTTGTTACTTTCGAATGGGTTCCACCACCCCCCCTCTCCCCTCTCTCTCTCTCTGTGTACCCGCTTGCCCCTTCCCGCTTGCCCAGAAAGTTCTTGCAGTAAGAGCCGTCGTTTCTTCTTGAAGTGTCCTCTTTTGGCATTTTTCGAAATAGTCAAACGACGCAGCGCTACCACATTCACTCTTTCTATGGTTTAAGATAATTTCGAATTTATAATTATTCGCTCGGTTGCGGGGGGTAACCGGGTACGGATGTTTTACAGCTGAAATTTTGAAATATCGAATTTCGAATAACTATTGAATAATAGAATAGATTGATTAATGATGAATTCGAAATAAGTTTTAATTCAATACTTATTCATTCATTGATTTGATTTGATTTGATTTGATTTGTTCTTACGGTTTACGTTCACAAGGTTCTCTTCAAACCCTTGTTTAATTTAATCATTTTGATTTCAAGATTATTTATCAGGTTTACTCTACTTTTCATAGTTTGTAATCTAATTGACGTTATTTTATATTGGTACATTTAACTCAATATACCATACTATAATATTATAATATAGTATATAAAATCTGGTGATATCGAAGAAAGTGGCATTTTTTTGTTGTATTTTTTTTGATATTATATATTCAGAATTTAATTTGGTCTTATATCCTATCTACTGTTTGCCTGGTGCGTTGTTTCTGATTAAATTCACTTTTTCATCACAATCTGCTGGTTTAGATAGACATTATTCGTTTTGGTAGAAGTCCAATTGTCAGATTTTATCGATAAAAGTCAACATTACTGATTCCATAACCACCTTCCACCCCTCCCCTTTCACAAGGATTCATTTCTACTTTTGTTTTTTTGTATATATAAGTAAAAGTCCTTTTTATGTTAGAGATTGTTATAGATAAGGGAGACAATGGAATTTAAAAATATCGATTATAACAACAATGATGGGGAATCTTTGAAATCTCCGTCCTCCTCATCGTCGATTTCAGATATAGAGCCAATGGCCACTACTAATAGAAAGGCAAAACCGATGCAGAGAGAAAATAGTCCCTATATGAATCACGAAGGTAAAAAACATGTGAGAATAGCTATAGATGAAGATAAATCTACTCATTATAATGAAGTTTCGAAAGTACCAAGTTTTCAAAAGAGACCGCTTAGTGATACTCCTGTGGGTAGTGTTTGGAATTCCCCTAGAGGTTCAAATGAAAATACCCCAGAAGGTTCAAGGGAGGGTAGTTCTTTGAATTTGCTAAGATTAAATAAAATTACTTCAAATCCAGAACTAGATTCCAACACTTTTAACACTCCAAAGGATAGCCCACTGGCTTCTGGAAGATCATCACCTGGCAGATTCTTACACCCAAAGAAGAAAACTACAACTTTGGATGTGCCAGGTTTGACCAAATCGAAATCTTCTCCTGATGGTACTATCTCAACTGAAGATGCTGGCTCAAAATTAATCATCATTATGGTGGGTTTACCAGCTACTGGGAAATCATTTATCACAAATAAATTGTCAAGATATTTAAATTATTCCATGTACTATTGTAAAGCATTCAATGTTGGTAATACTAGAAGACAATATGCTAAAGATCACGGATTGAAAGAACAGGATTCTTCCTTTTTTGACCCTAATAACGCTGAATCAAAAAAATTAAGAGAAAAATGGGCCACTGATACTTTGCATGAATTATTAGACTATCTATTAATCGGCATAGGATCCGTTGGTATATTTGATGCTACTAATACTACTGTCTTCAGAAGAAAACATGTTTTGGAAATGATTAGAGAGAGGAGTAAAGATATTCAAGTGATGTTCCTGGAGACAATCTGTTCTGATAAATCTTTGGTAGAAAAAAATATTCGTCTGAAACTTTTGGGTCCTGATTATAAAGGTAAAGATCCAGAAACCTCTCTGAGAGACTTCAAGGAGAGATTGATCAATTATTCTGCTGCCTATGAACCAATCACAGATGCAGAAGATATCCCTTATATTAAAATGATCGATGTTGGTAAAAAAGTAATCTCTTATAAAATTCAAGGGTTCTTGGCCTCACAGACTGTTTACTATCTATTGAACTTCACTTTAGCAGAAAGACAAATTTGGATTACAAGAAATGGTGAAAGTGAATACAACGTCAAAGGCCGTATTGGTGGTGATTCTAACTTAACTGCTCGTGGTGAGAAATATGCTCTTGCCTTAACTAAATTTATTAATGAACAAAGGGAACTATTCCACGAAAGTGAAGTGGAAAAGAATAAAGAAGATTCTAACAAAAATGAAGACCATCAAGTCAACGAATTTTTCGTATGGTCAAGTACTCGTAAGAGATGTGTCCAAACTACTCAATATTTCGATGAGGTCGATTACCCAATTAAGCAGATGAAAATGTTAGAAGAACTAAATGCAGGTGATTGCGAAGGTATGACTTACTCTGAAATTAAGAGGAAATACCCAGAAGGTTATGCTGAAAGACAAAGGGATAAACTTCGTTACAGATATCCTGGTATAGGTGGTGAATCCTATATGGATGTAATTAATCGTGTCAGAGCAGTTATCACAGAGATTGAAAGAATTGAAGATAATATTTTGATTGTTACTCACAGGGTTGTAGCCCGTGTCTTATTAGGTTACTTTTTAAACTTGAGTAAAGATATCATCGCAAATCTGGATATCCCACTACACTGTGTTTATTGCTTAGACATCCAACCTTATGGTATCAGTTGGACTCTTTGGGAGTATAATGAAGCAACTGATAGTTTCTCTAAGGTTCCTCAGACAGGAATGAATACAAAGAAGGTGAAAGAAGTGGGTCTTGTTTATAAGGAAAAGAGATATTCTATTGTACCTACAGCTCCAAGTGGTAAAACTCATAAACATTTAGAGCCAAAATTAGTAAAGAGCGCTTCAGCTGATTCATATCCATCAATGAATGAAATTTTATTTTCCGAAGCATTTAGAACCAAAAATGGTAAGAGTAGTAAACAAAAAGCGGATGAAGATAAATCTCATAAAAAAGAGGAAATCAAAGGGATTAAACCAATTAGCGAACAGCCTCATCATTTTGAAATACTTGAACTAGAGAAGAAATTAGCAAAGTTAAAAAATGAAGAATCATCAAAATACTCAGATAACGATCCAAAATCTAATGACAATAACTGAATTTAATGAATATTTAAGCATTTAAAAGCAATGTACTTATGTAGATACTTTTGTTAATGATTGAGACATTTTATTTATATAATATGATCGTCCTAAATTAATTAAAATACATAACTAAATAAAATAGATATTTTTTTTTTTACTATCAACGATAGATATTATCAACTGAATTCTAATATTAATAATTGCTTCATATGATTATCTATTGTTACAAATATCGAATATATTTTATCACAATTCACCATATACTATACCGATGCCTTGTAACCATTGTTGCAATCTACCATGCATACCAATTATCAAATGACCTTCTGGAGGTTCCAATACTCCTAAACCGCCACCATGTACATTTCCTGCCATTTTGGATTCACGTCCTTTATTCGTCACCACTTGAATTGCATCAACCCATTGACCTGATCTAACATTGAATCTTGTAATATATTCATCTTTATCCAATTCAAAATCTTCAAAATGAGATGTCTCTGAACCAAATAGAATATTGCTATCTTCTAAGAAAAATCTCATACCATCTAGCGCTTGTCCATAATAAATTCTCACACATTTAACTGATTTTGGATGAAAAGCAATTATGCCAGTGTCTGACCCAGCATTAGCGCTGCCAAAAGTTACTGATTTTATACCCTTTACATCTGCTGAAAAACCATACTTCTCCATTGGGATTCCTTTAACCTTTAAAAGACTAGCAAAATCACCTATATCAGCTTCTGGAGCGTTAACAGCAAGGATTTTGATTCCAAATGATTCTCCGTACTTACCAATCATTTCTGCAGGAATGTGTGATTGAAGTTCTTTTAAAGTCATTGTAACTTCTGTCTGAGGGCCTGGACCACCAAGAGATTTTGGCAAGTATTCAATATAACCCTTTGCTAAATCTCCACAAAATATTTCAATAGAATATATACCTTCCTTAGATGTAATCTTACATGTTTCATTTCCTAATGGATACACAGCAGGTCTTGGATTAACAAAACCACCAATTTTACTTGGTCTATGGAAGGTTGGGTCATAATAATCTTCAGGTAAAGTAAAGGAAGGATGGTATAAAAATCTTAACAAATCTAGGTGATGCCACTTACATTCTGTGGATGGATCAATTGGGGATGCAACACCATTGCTATTAGTTCTAGTCGAAAATGCCTCTTCTGTTAAAAACGATCTGTTAAAAACAGGATAATCTCTTAACATAACACCGTATTCTTGATGCGGACACCCTAGAGAATGTCCAATTTCATGCAGAAAAGCACCTAAAGTTACTGTCAAACATTCCCAGTGAGAGCCACACTGACCATTGTCATTTGCAACTTCTTTGGTACTAACAGTTGTTGCATCACTGAAGTATGGGACAATATCTTCCATACATGTTGGCCAAGAGTAAAGACCATGAGAACCAAAAATGGCTAATTTAATAGCGTCGTTACCACCACCCAATGCGGCATGACCAGTAATGAATTGACCATCCCAATGGGAATCCATAAATACAACTGCAGCCTGAACCGGTTTTTCACTATTAGTAAAAGGACCACCATACTTTACCAATGCTTCCATTGCATATTCATACAAGGCACCGGATCTTTTTGCTTGTCTATTCTGTTGAGCTACATCATGATCACGGATTTCCTCCACCGTTCTATCAGAGTGTAAAAGATGGACCTTAACTGTGCTTCTCATGGTAGATTGAGATCTGAATAATGTATCCTTTGCAAACTCTTCTACAAATGAGAAGGTTCTATTACCAAAACCAGCACGCAGCATTTGCTCATTAGTATAAGCTTGCATCAAACGAGCACCACATCTTAGCTTTTTAATAGCTAGATCCAAACCATGACCTTTCTCTTTCTCCTTTTGAGAGGTAGTTGAATCGAATACGTATTCAGAGTCTTTAGCTAACAACAGACATAAGTGAACTGGCTGATCTTGTAGCATAGGTGTATAATGACATTTGATAATTCGTTGCAAACCTGTATTAGTAGTAAAAGTGAATCTGTTTTCACCTGGAGTTAATATCACAGTGGCTCTAAAAGTACTTTCATGGATAGGATACTCCAAAGATGGCAATTGGGGATGTTCCACTTTAATAGTCTTAGCTTCTTTATCCTCATTACATTTACCACGAATAATCAAACTAGGTGAGATAAGTTTAGCCTCATCATCCAAATTGAAGAACTCAATCGATCCAGTTACACTCATAGTTATCGGTATCTTGGTAGTGAATTCAGTTTCGAACTTATTCAAGCTGAGGAGAACCAAATTTCTTGCTTTCAAATCTTAAATTTTGTTCAAATGAACTTTTGATTTTGAAGGACCCTTTACTATCTCTTTATCTATCTCGCTGTTCTTTCTTTTTAATCATTTTCACTATACTTGACTTCGAGATTTCATTTACAAGTGTACACGTAGTTGATACCTGCACACACATGGTAGCGCTGCACTTTATTCCTATCTCTGTTATTTCTCTTTTCTTTTTTTCTGTTTATCTTTCGTTTTTCCAATTCTTGTTCTTCATATCGAACCTCAAATCCCAGTACTCATCTGACTCCTTACCAATTTCCAACCCAACGAATGCCATACAGAAGCCCAACCGCCCTCTCTCAGATTCCATATCTTACATCTTAAGGGAAGATCAAATTAAACCTCGATTTAAATCCTTCTAATGTTTATTTTTTTGTCTCAAATGACACACCCAATTGAAACATATAACCATCAAGCCATATTCCATAGATTAACATACCATGTAGAATGAATACCCACACTATAAACCAAAATTCTTATAACCAAAACTCACTTCTATCAGATCCATTACCATCCAGATATTTAAAGGTCAAGTTCATCAATTTCTAATGACTTCTTCCCTTTTATAGCTGCAGGACAAAAATGAATATCCGGCATCGCCCTTAATTTTAGATCTAAGATAAGATAAACGTCAAATGTTGAATATAAAAGCAAAACAATCGACTTTTAAGTTTTAAGTTTTGGGTTTGAGTTCAAGTTAGTATTCGAAGTTGTTGGTCGAGGTTCTTCAGAAATATTTTAGAATTAATCTGTCTCATTGTGATTTACTTTATGGTTTAAGAGGGAAAGGCTGGATACATACGTACTTTTATCTATAAATATTTGGAAATGTCACACCATAAGAGACGGGTATATCCTTCACAACAGTTTATTGTATCTAATGGCAATCCTTCATATGAAGATGATCAGTCGAATCTACCATTTATGCCGATTCCTACCAGTCCCAGGTTGTCAACTGATCCCGGTGGTTTATATTCTCCAGTTACTTTACATACACCAAAGCCAATGATTCCAATGACTGTAAATCAGCAATTGGATTATATGACGTCTGATCTAAGAAACTTGCAGATTAGGCAAGATGGGGCATCACAGAGTAATGTTTATGGATCTCCAAGAAATTATAGCTACTCCTTAGATTATGGTACTGTTCCTAAGGGAAAACCGATGAATCATTTGTATCCTATAGATTTAATGGCTGAATTACCTCCTCCGATTCATGACCTAACATTGCCCCCTCCTCCGTTGCTTATCCCACAACAACTTAGCTTAGTCCCTTCAGAATATTCGAATTCGTCTCCAGATTATATAAGATGTACATTAAATGCAGTTCCTAAGAACCATACTTTACTAAAGAAATCAAAACTGCCCTTCGCCTTAGTGGTAAGACCTTATCAAAATTTGAATGATGATGAGGACTCAGTTCCCTTGAGTGATGACGGCTTGGTGCTACGTTGCAGAAGATGCAGAGCATATATTAACCCATATGTAACTTTTATTGACCAAAGCAGAAGATGGAAATGTAATTTCTGTAGATTAGCGAATGACTGTCCTTATCAGATTGATAGAGGTTTGAATAATAGTATTTCAAGCAGATATGAAAGACCAGAATTATCAAACGCAATTATCGATTATCTAGCACCAAAGGAATATAGCTTAAGACAACCACCACCTTCGGTGTATCTGTTTATTTTAGATGTTTCTAGCAAAGCAATGAAAAATGGATTTCTTGTTACTGTCGTCGCAACTATCATCGAATCCCTAGATTCAATTCCAAATCGTGACCATAGAACGCAAGTCGGGGTATTATGTGTGGATAAACAAATTCATTACTTTTCTGTACCTTTGGATATCGATTCTGATAAAATTTCTATGATGGATATTGGTGATTTAGACGAACCATTTATACCCCAAGCGTCAAAGATTGTAGTACATCTAGCATCATGTATAAACAATCTGAAAAATGTATTGAAAACAATACCTGACTTATTTATGCACAATAATTCAACATACTTCGCATTAGGACCTGCTTTAAGAAGCGCTTCTAAATTAATTGAACATATTGGCGGTAAAATTATACTGTTTAGTTCGACATTGCCAAATATTGGAATTGGAAGATTAAGAAATAGACTAGACGGAAATGTAACCAAAGATGTCACTGAATTACTCTCCTGCCAAGATTCATTCTACAAATCATTTACTGTAGATTGCAGTAAATTTCAAATTACAATTGATTCATTTATTGCTTCAAATCACTATATGGATATTGCCTCAATTTCTAACTTAGCAAGGTATACAGGTGGACAGACTCATTTCTATCCTGGATTTTCTGCCTCGAAATTAGCTGATGTAAGCAAAGTTACAAAAGAAATATCAAAGCATTTATCGATGGACCTAAATTTAGAAACTGTGGTGAGAGTAAGAAGTAGTGTAGGAATAATCTCTAATACGTTCTATGGCCATTTTTTTAACAGATCGTCTGATTTGTGTGCTTTCTCTACTATGCCAAGAGATCAGTCTTATTTATTTGAACTCTCACTAGAAGAAACACTTGTAACCGAGTATTGCTATTTCCAGGTAGCTATATTGTTTTCGGAAAATACTGGGGAAAGGAAAATTCGAGTAATGACACTTGCTTTACCTACTACTGACGCTTTGGAAGATTTATATGCTTCAGCTGATCAGTTATCAATGGTGACATATTTTACCCAAAAGTGTGTCGAAAAAGCCCTTACAAAAAGTTTGGATGATTCACGAGAATTTGCTGTAAGATCATTACAAGAAATGCTCCTAGTTTACAAAAGGGATATAGCAAAGAATAATAATATTACCACAAACTCTTTGAAATTTTGTGCCAATCTCAGAATGTTTCCATTGCTAATCAATTCTTTACTAAAACATATTGCCTTTAGATCCGGTATTGTGCCAATTGATCATAGAGCAATTGCATTGAATCAACTAGAATCAGCCCCAATTCCACATCTCATTAAATTATTGTATCCGACCATTTATTCATTGCATGACATCCCTGATGGAGTAGGCTACCCAAATGATGAAGGTTATGTCGTTTTGCCATCCATATTGAACGCATCAACGACACTCATAGAAAGATATGGATTGTATCTTATTGATAATGACAACGAATTATTTTTATGGATCGGTGGTGACGCAGTAGTTGAATTGATACAAGATTTATTTGGAATATCTGATATTTACAGTATACCACTAGGTAAACAAGAGTTGCCAATTTTAGAAAATTCAGACTTCAATGTGAGAATCAGAAATATTATTGAAAAGCTCAGAGAGTGCAATGATATGATTACCTATAAATCGTTATATATAGTGAGAGGACCTTCCCTTAACGAACCGGTTACATCTACTACAAGCAGAGAGATTGCAACTTTGCGTTTATGGGCATCCAGTGCTCTTGTTGAAGATAGAATCCTAAATAATGAAGGATATAGAGAATTTTTACAAAATTTAAGGATAAGAATCAGTAGGTGACATTCTTTTTGCACTTTGAATAATGAAGAAAGCAGTATTAATTATTTTATAATATTATCTTAAACTACATAATCTTTCATATATGCGTCTATTTTATACTTACAATCGATCTTTTTAATCCTGAATTTATCTTAAAAGTTTCATGCATAAAATCTAAACCATCTTTGTTGATTTTGTTGTTTAAATAATTCTCAAATTCAACAATACTTCCACCGACACCAAAATATATATCTTTTGCAGCAACCAATGCCTCTGTTGGCACAGTGGCTTTATATGATAGAATCAAATCTAGGACTGTTTCAGAAATTACTGGTAAGTTTTCTGGTTGGTAGATAGTTTCAGATGTAAGGATTAAGAATCCCTTTGAAGGGTTTATATTTGCTTTCAACATGCCACTAAATTTTCTACTCCATGATCCAGACATGAACTTTAGATATATATTTCTTTGCTGTAAATCTTTTACAAATGCTTCTAATAATTCTTGTGTAAATAAAAGCTCATCATCATAAACAGGTATATTTTCATCGGATGAAGTTTGTAATGTTTTCCACTGTTCTTCGTTCAATACAGATTTAGCCCAAGTAATTATTAAATTTGGAATTGTTACTAATCTTAGTACACTATTATTATAATCAGACAATACCAACGTCAATGGATCGGTTCTGTTAGATTTCAAAGCCATCTCAAAAATGAATTCACTAGGTAAAGCAGTACCACAGCCCAACTCTACGACAGTATCGATCCCATTTAATTTACCTGATTTATCTAAATCATTTAAGTATTCCACTAAATCAATTGAACATTCCCACGATTTTAAACCACCTTCGTAAATATTCTTTCTAAGATCTTCTGAGGTTTCACCCATTAAAATTTCCAATTCTGTACTATTCGAATTATTCAATTCATCGAATTCACCCATCAATTGATGCTTAACATCGAATAGTTCTCTTCTAAACAAAGTGGCATTTGTAATCGGGGTGTTGACTTTCTCGAAAGATACTCTCACGTCCTTCAACAAAGTTAAAATAAGTCCCAAGTTCTCTAAATGTGGTTGTGCAATATCAGATTGTAATAGCCTTTCTGAATCTAGTGGATTTAAAGTTTCAATAGTGCAACTTTTAGTCTGGCCACTGATATTTTGAGAAGGGATGCTATCCTCTAATTCATCATCGCTGAAATCATTTGAGGTAAAACCAAATGAGAATGACATGGCTATGGTACGGATCAGATATATCTTGTGCTTGCCAATTATTATATCAGGTCCTAACATAAATCTTGCGATGAGCATTGCTAAAATATTTATCTGATGCTTAAAAAGGCGATTTTGAAAAATTTCAAGATACACGTGATAAACACATGACCAGATTCAAATAATGGTTACCGTCAAGATATGGCGTGTCAGGATGGCTAAGGCTTACTACGAACCAAAACATTATATATAGATAGATTCAGCAAATATTGCTAATAGGACTATATTAATTTCCTATGAATGTTTATATTATTAGAATATTTAATACATTTTAGTTAAATATCTTCGAAAAGTATTGTAGAATATTAGATGAGCACCACTACGACATAAATAAAAACAAAGGATATGTTTACCATTTTCAATTGAATAGTAAAATCCCGAAATGCGATAGTGTGTGATTGTTAAGATAAAATTATAAAAAACAGAATAACATTTTAATCCCAAGTGCACACAACATAGAGTAATAATGGCATTAGATAAATAAAGGGTGAATAATAAAATAAAATAAGCACACACATGCACAACAATGCTATGTTATCCTGGGATCACGAATGAAAATTCAGACATTAGAGTGTAAACAGAAGGGAGGGTTGGAATATAATAGTAGTAAAAGCAAAATAAGAAATTGGGATACACTACCGATCTCTTATTTTGATTGAACTTGAGAGTAACCGGACCAAGGGTTAGCGTTGACGGATTTCAAGTATTCGTCAGACTTCAATTGCCATTCTTTAGTCATGGTTCTTGGAGGGTCTTGAGCGAAGACTCTAGCACCGGCAAACAAGGCCACAGCAGCGACCATACCGATAATAACACCCTTGGTGATGTAGATACCGTCACCTTTAACCAAGACAGGCTTTCTTGGACCCCATTCACCGTAAGATATGTACCAAGCAGCTTGCTTTTCAGACTCCGTTAATTGAGACCAAGGCAACTTTTGTCTTTCAGACAACTTTGAGACTATATCTTGTTGTTCGGAAGAAGGCATCAATTCCCATCTCTTCTGTAGGTCGTTGATGGCAACCTTTGAGACAGCTTGGGTTTGAGCAAATCTCCTTGGAGCAATACGAGAGACACTAGATACAGTTGAACGCAACACTACATTGAAAAAAAAACACACATAAAGAGGACAATGAAAGTTAGTATTAAAGATTAATATTCACAGAACCATATGGAACAAACAGCCCCAAGCAAGGCAAAACCAAAAGTAACATACTGTTATTATATATATTATATTATTTTATTTTAATCTGTTTTAAAACTTTACTTTATTCCTTTTTGAAATATTCAGATTGATATCTTAATAAGTATTCCAATCTACTGGTATAGAATATAGAGATACAGAGGTATAGGAAACAAAAGTAGTTTATCAGTGGACTGAATTGAAGTAAAAACCAAGTTCCGAAGAGACAATAGATAGATCAAGTAAAACAAAAGAATGCAACACAATGAAAAGTAATTAATTTCTTATATATATAAATAATATATATAGCAGATAATGAAATATATATATATGCTATATATATTATAATATAACTAGCGCAATTTATAATTAGAGAGAGTATAGGAAACAGGATAGTTAAGTAAATTACATAGTTAACATTTTAATTTTTTTTTCCAGTTGAGTTGAGTTGATATTCCAGAGAGAGGAAGAGGAAGAGGAAGAGAGAAAAAAAATTAATGAAGTTGAAGTGTATTGGTTGGTAGAAAATGTATATGGGCACACTGTTAAGTTTTATGGATCATTTTTAGCAGGATGATTTTTTTACCAATCAAAAGCTTCAGACGATTTTTTTTTTGTTCTGTTTTGTGTTGTTTCGGTCGAAGCGGTGGGATGTTGGGTAGCGTTTGAGCATTTCCGACGGCTGGGGGACGGGGGGTTTGCACGGTAACTAGTTTAGTTCGGTTGGTGGGTGAGAGTATTGCAGGAGGAGATGGAGACGGACGCCGTTTTGTGTTTTTTGTGTAACGGTTTCATCGGGTTTTGTTTTTGTGTAGTTGTGTATTTTTGTACGGAAGAGCGGATGCGTGTGCTGCACAACAGACCTCTGCGAAATGCTCTTTTTCATTAGACCAATCATATGGTGGCAACGCAACGCAAGAGTCCATCCACTAGCTTCAGAAAATTACAAAGACAAATCAGAGCAACAAACAGAATAAAAAGGAAAGACAGATGTGCTCTCTGCCCTCTCTTGGCCTATCGGTGGTTGTTTACAAGTAAAATAAAGACACACACAAGCACAACCAACCCAAGAGAGAGAGAGAGAGAGACTCGTTCCATCATAAGTAGTGTTCCAGTAAAAATCATTTACAGTACTTTTCCCTGTGAATACATCCTTCCGTGGGATGTGATGGAAGAGTCATGTGAGTGTCACGTGTACGTTATTGTCATTGCCATTGTCGTTGTTTTTCTCGTTTTTGGCCCTCTTGCTCTTGCTCTTACTCTCCCCCTACCCAACCCAACTCCGGCCTCTCCCCCTTTTTTTTTTTAGTTGTTCTTCTTATTCTTTAATAGTTACATTTACATACTCGGCTGTACAGATTACTTAGTTCTTGTTGATTCTATGAATCCATCCATAATGTGCGTACTGTTGGTTCCAAACAACTACCAGAGTGATGTCTGCGTCGTCGATTTTAGCATTCGAGATATATCGTGACGTCTTTGGAACTTGGTAGGAATCTCAGTAGGAACTTGGTGAAATGGAGACGCTGGCGGAATGCCTGTGGATGTTGGCGACAATGTCGATTGACGAGGAACTTGTTCTAGTTCCAGAACATGCTCATGCCCGTGCTCTTCTTGTTCTTGTTCTTGTTCTTGTTCTTGTGCTTTTCTTTCCCCTTCAACAGCCTCCTCTTGATTCAACGCTATTTCAATCATGTTCTCTTCAATCACTCCTTTCAAACTTATGTCTTCAATCTTGACATCATCCCATTTAATCCATCTCATAGGCAATTGAGCAAATTTACAATACTCTTCTTGTTCGCATTCTATCCTTTCAGACAGGCTATAGTTATCGAATTGAACCACTTTTCTATTATTATTACCACCATACAAGAAAATAAACTTTAATAAATTCCATAATTGCAATTTTTGCTTTTGACTGAACTCGTTATCTTCTTGATACACGTATTTAATATCTTTGAACATGGTCACTATTTGTAAATTCAGGACCCATTTCATACCATCTTCTTTCACGATGTAATACAATGGTAGGAATTCTTTGAAATCACCTTTTTCATTAAAATCAATCAATCTCAATCCTAATGGATAGCTTTCTCGTATCTTGCGTCTTTTGGCTAGTTCAACTTCTTCTTTCTGTTTGACTAATTCTTGTTCTCTTCTCAACCTCTCTTCTTCTTGTCTCTTGCTCTCTTCAAGCTTCTGTTTCTCTCTCTCGGCTACTTTCTTTTGTTCATCATCGGCTAATTTCTGCAATAACTCTTGTTCTCTCTTCTTCTTCTGTTGTAATCTCTTCTCTCGATACTCTTCCTCTTCTTTCAACCTTTTTTGTCTTTCTTCATCTTCTTCCTTCAACCTTTTCTGCCTTTCTTCCTCTTCTTCTTTTTCTATTCTCTGCCTCTCTTCCTCTTCTTGCTTTAAAATTCTTTGTCTTTCTTCTTCCCGTTCTTGCAATTTCCTCAATTTCTCTTCTTCTTCTTCTTTCAAACGTCTAGCTCTTTCTTCCTCTTCTCTTAATCTCTTCTCTTTCTCTTCAGCTGTTTCAATAGGAACTTGTTCTTGTTCTTGTTCTTGTTCTTGTTTTTGTTCTTGTTTTTGTTCTTGTTCTTGTTCTTGTTCTTGTTCTTGTTCTTCTTCTTGTTCTTCTCCTTCTCCTTCGATAGATTTGTCCAATCTATTATCATCATCTTCTATATCTGATTTCTGATCATCAACCGGTGTGGAAACATGTCTTTTTCTAGAGGCATTGATAACAATCTCTTCTTCACTATCCCCATCCGACGTACCACTGTAATCATTATTCTTAGACTTTTTACCTGTCCTTGAAAATCCATTGTTCTCATATCCATGTTCATCCTGCTTTGTTCTGTGTCTTTTCCTATTCGAACTACTATCTTTAACGGATTTAGTTTCAAGTTTAACAACCTCATTAGGTTCCAAGTCGTCAGGGTTAGGTGAATTATCTCTATCAGTATAACCAAGCAATGCTAGTTCTTCATCATCAACTAAACCCATGGAACTATTCTTTGCATAATATATAGCAGACTTCCCTTCTTTATCTTTTCGTTTTGGGTCTGCGCCAGCTTCAAGTAAAAGTTTCACTATATTGATATGTCCCCTACCAACAGCCGCCATAAGCGCAGTTGTACCGTCTTTTAACGATGTATTCACTTGAGCTCCAAATGCTAAAAATATGCTGGTGATATCTTCATGACCAAACTTAACAGCTTCTAAAAATGATTTGAAATCTACACGTCCACCATTTTCTAAATATAATCCAACATAAGTTAGGTTGCCATCCTTGGAGGCCCTAAAAAGTTTCTCTTTACCAGCTTTTGAAGTGATATCAGTCCAATAAAATTCGTCTTCAACACTATGTTCTTCAACTTTAGTATTATGATTAGGCAAGATCGAGTTCTTTCTCGATGAGCGTGTACCAGTACTTTTATCTTTCCAGTGTCGAGCTGCCTCCCTAAGACATTCTTTGATCTCTCTAATTCTTTCTAAATCGTCTTCATCAAATTCTGTCTCATCTTCAATAGATTCATAAGCAGTTAGTCCCTTTGCATTAGATATTGTAGGATCTGCGCCATGCTTCAGTAGATATTTCACAACATCTATATGGCCATTTGCTGCTGCATCGATCAAAGGTGTATCTTTAAACATTTCAAAAGAAACTAAATTTACATTGGCTCCATGCTGGACAAGTAATTTAACACAATCCAAATGACCGTTCAATGCTGCCTCATGTAACGATGAATTACCTGCATTATCTTGATCGTTTACATCAATTTCACCTTCTTCAATTAGTTTCTTTACAGTATCATATTTGCCTTTATCGCATGCAATTTGAAGTTTCGTTCTCCCTCCAGAATCTCTATATATGCTTTTCCTGGTTTTTGATGACATTGTTGATATATTTGTTGTATGGATTTTTGGTGTACTTGAACTTTTCTTTATTAGCTTGCTTCTACTAGGAGAGGAGGATATATGATGATGTTTCGATTTAATTGGCGATGAAGCATCATTAAGAATACTACTAGAGATGGGATTATTTTGGATATCATCAATATCTGATAACTCAGAATCTGATTTATTAGATATGTTGGACCTTGATTTGTTACCAGGTTTCCCTTTAATTTCATCATATCGTACTAACCGTGTTAATCTGGGTCTTGGTGGAGAAGCCGGTTCAGTAGGGGCATCACTATACACCTCTTCTTCATCTGAACTTTGACCAGCTTCTATATCTTTTCTTTCAATCTCAGTTGGATCTGTAAGCATTGATTTTAACTGGGTTCTGGATAAAGAGATTGTGGGATTGGAATCATTTTCGATATTCTTATTTTTATTCACTTCTGAGGATGATTTATCTTGTTCTATCTTTGCATTAGCTTCTTCTTCATCTGAAACTTGAGAGTGAGAATTTTGTCCTGTAATTTGATCTTCCTTATGATAACTATGTTGGTGTCTCTGTTCATGATTATCTTGACTATCTCTACGTTGAGTTCCGATGCTGGCTTCATTGTTGCTATCCGTTATAACCAAGTCAGCAGGATGTTCAGCAGGATGTTCAGCAGGATGTTCAGCAGGATGTTCAGCAGGATGTTCAGCTTCCTGTTCAGCCTTTTGTTTTTTTATTTGTTCTTGTTCTTGTTCTTGGATATACTTCCTCTCTTCAAGCCTTCTAGCTTCTTCTCCCTTCTGCATTTCAAGTTTTCTGGCCTCTTCATCTTTCTGTTCTTGTATGATTCGAGCTTCTTCTTGAGCCTCTTCTTGAGCCTCTTCTTGAGCCTCTTCTTGAGCCTTCTTCAACTTTAAGGCTTCTTCCTCTTGTTTCCTTTGTATAGCCAATGCTTCTTCCTCTTGTTTCCTTTGAAGAGCCAATGATTCCTCCTCTTGTTTCCTTTGTATGGCTAATGCCTCTTCCTCTTTCTCACGCTGAGCTATTCTCTCTAACTCTTCTCTTCTGGAACTAACATTTGAAAGATAGGAACTTAAGGACTTCCTCTTAACTGTATGTTCCTTGTTCTCAGACATTGCATCAATAGTATCTAAAGCCACAGAATGCAGATATTACAAGACTTCCTTCCTTAATATACTTTATCAACAAATATCATCTTCTTCTTAATGTATGCTTCTGTTTTCATCTCATTTTTAACCTTTGATGTCAATTTTAAAAATTCGCTTAAGCATATTTATGGACCCACTCACTACAAATGCTAACAAATAATGGCAATGAGCATAAAGGAACAATGAAGAATGGTTAATAAGATTAAACAAAGATACTTTTCGATCTGATTTTTGAATGTAATGAAGTATTAATATTTATGGCATGTTTCTTGCCTAATCATTAGTTAAGATCCATTAATTAATTTATCCTTTTTGACCTTTTTTCCTTATTGCTTTATGGCTCTAATAAACCTTATTATATTGCCTAATTTATACAATGTATTAAAATTAATTATATAATTTACGTAACTTCATTATTTATGGCCAGAAATGGTTTGCTGTACCATCTGGATAAGATGCAATTTCTGTTGATATTGTAGACAGTTTTGGTTTTATGCTTTGATGGTTTTCGTGCATCAATAGTTGATTATTTGGATTTGGAAACGAATTATTTCTATAAGTTTCTGATGGAGTTTCAGGTATATCTATCGATGAGCTAAGATTAGTTGTTGATGATGACGAAAGGAATGAGTTATCATGAATCTGCGGAGATGACAACGATTGTGAATTCAGAGTTGATACATTATTTGGATCCAATTTTTTTAATAATTCACCCCATTCCATTAATTGGAAAATTAATCCCATATTTGGACTGATATCTGTTGCCACTAATTTCAATTGATCATATGCTTCATTTAAGCCTAGATTTCTATAACGCATAATATATGCAACAACTAAAGAAGCTGAACGAGAAACACCACATTGACAATGAATTAATATTTTTTTATTTTGAATAACACCAATATGCATAATTTTTGTAATATGGTTTAATTCAGATAAAATTTTTGAATTGTGAGTCCATGGAATTTGATAATAGTCAATGGATGAATCATTTGGAATTGATGATTTTAAATTCGGTATCTCTTTGGCAACATTAATCACTATATCGAATTTTGAAATTGTCTCCAAACTTGGTTCTGAATAAAGATAAATATTGGGTTCCACTACCAATAGTGGACCTTCTGGATATGCATTTTCTTTGTAAACTTCTTGTTGAATAAAATCTGAATTTGTATTGTCATTGTTATTACTGCGAATAGAATTATTCGAAAATACCCATAGATTTTTTCTTGTTGAAGTTAAAGGTGTTCCAGTTTCCATTACAGAGGGAAATATAGCTTGAGACCCATTCCTATTTATGATTGTTTCGGTATTTAGAACTGATGTATTGATGGAAAGTGAATTTCTTGATAAATCATCTCTTGTTAGCCGTTGAGGACCAATATTACCATTAGTAACACCACCAGAATATGAAGAAGAGGAAGAGGAGGAAATTGAAGAAGAAGGAGAAGAAGAAGATGGAGATAAATTCCTTCCATATAGACTAGGAACTGTATATATTGCAGATTCACTTTTCCTGCTCATCAAATGCGGTACCAAAGTAGGAGAAGAAGATGACGATGAAGATGAATTTTTAATGTTCAAAGACGTTTGATGTTTTGAACGTAACTGAGGTCTTATGGAACCATCAGTCAAAGGTCTTGACATGTTTAAAGACCAATCATCATCTGCTGAAGTGAGCAAACTTTCACCGGATGCAAAACTACCATTCGGCACAGTTTCTTCCAAATCTAATGAAAGATTTTTAGTATTCCTATTATTTAAAGATCTCAAAGAAGTAACACTAATGGTAGAAGTATCACCGGGAAGTATATCCTGAAGACTACTCATTCTTTGTAATACAATGCAACGCAAAGCGTAAAACCACCACCTATATATCCTATTAATACAAAATTAAAACTTGCTTACAATCGTTCCTATTGGAAACCTACCTCCCACCAAAATGCCAATTATAAATAAACTAAGACTAGTATAGTAATCTAAAAGAAGGACACACACACACGCACACTAGCAAGCCAAAGTTTACTTCTTTCTTTAAAATGAAATGAAATGAATTGAAATAACTTAAAATAAAACAACAGAGTTGAATAGAAAAATCAACAACAGAATTAGAGACTAATTAACTACCTAACTAACTCTTTTTAACTAATCGTTCAGTAAAATGAATCCTATACCAACATATGATTCGATTTCTAATGTAGTCCTTATATTTAAATAGATCTAATTTGTAACAATAGAGAAAAGTAAGATTGAAATATCTATGAACTATAAACCCCCCACAGATACACAGATACACATATATACACACACACACACTACAAAACAGAATTACAACACACCTCTAAACTAAAATTAACACTCCTGAAGTTTAAAATCCAAAATACTTTAAAACCTTTCAAGACCAATTACATGAAATTAATCCAATACAAGATACCATCATATATTATAATATATAATATATCTGATATGATATGATATGAAATTATATGGTAAAAGCTCTATAGACTAAACTCAAAACCTTCAAACAACTGAAAAAGCAGGTATAATGCTGAAAGGCATTGGAAAAAATCAAGAATCTAACATAATGTGCTATATTTGGCTGGACTTTTGACTAAAACCAATGCAATACAACGAGAACAAGAACAAGAACAAGAGCAAGAGGAACTTCGAATTGACAAATTTCATTGTTGCTTTGCTTTGCTTTGCTGCATTGCATGAATTCAAGAAAAGAAACAGTTCTACAAATTGCTTGGTTTTAACGAAACAAGATATGACAAGATCAGAGAGCAAAGCAGAGAAGAGGGTTTTGTAAAGTTGACTGGATTAATCGAACTACAAGTATTTTTAATTTAATTCAAGTTTTTTTTTTTTTTCATTACAGACAAGGTTGCATTACTTTACTTCTTTTTACATTTGTAAGAGCCAAGGAATGTTTCAAGACGAGTGAGATTTGAAACTTTTTAGTATATAAAAAAAAAAAAAATTAAATTAAATTCACAATCTTGAGTAGGAATTGAATGAATGGGGTGATTTTTGAAGGTTTGATCTTGTTTTTGAATTTCTTTGTTTGGTTTGTTGGATGAATCAATGAATCAATGAATCAATGAATGAAAAAAGCAAAAAAAATTCTTCCAAATTTAGGATATTTTTAGATTGTTCAAGATGTAAAAAAAACAATTTGATATTGTTAATAAAGTTAAATTTTTGATTCATGGCTGAGAGAGATCGATTTGGGTTAAGTAATATCAAGTATCGTTTCTTTATTTGTTTCTTTTTTCTTCCTCTTTTCTTCCTTTCTTTCTTGTTGGACCTGAATGTAAGGTGAGAAGAGTAAAGTAGAGTAAAGTAGAGTAAAGTAGAGTAAAGTAGAGTAAACTAAACTAAACTAAACTAAACTAAACTAATGTGTAATGAATGAATGATAATTTGTGTGATTGTATATGTGAGCTATCCTAAATGCAAAAATATATTTAATTATTTATATATTAATTTATGTATTTAATTATGTTAAATTTTTGTTCTTGCTTCTTCCTTTCCTCCCGTCGATCTAAATTCTATTAATTCCAAACATTCCCGATCGTTTATCACTTATTGATTCTCCTTGTTGTTCGTATCAATTTTATTCCCATTTTGTGTATTTAATAATGTTCCATCATCATCCTGTCCTGGATGAACTTCTGCATTTTTCTGGATTGAGATTAACCTTTCGCTATTGAAAAACGGTATCTTATACTTCAAGTTGCCCTTAATTATCAACTCGTAGTCATGCTTGATTAGTAGCTTCCATTTCTCAACATCATCCATCATCGAGTTCACGTTTTTATATCCCTTGGATATTTCATGTTTAGCATCATTAGCTCCTGGGTTTAATAATTTCAAACTAGATGATGAAACCCCGTAATGTCTTCTGAAAAACTCCCCTTGGAATTGCAACGGCGATTCCAACGATTGTACAGATCCCAACAGTATTGTCTCCATCGATGGCGAGTCATTCTCACCTTGACTACCTCCATCATTAATATTTTTAATATATGCACTTTTAGCAAATATATCGATGTCTGCGGCAACGACGCCAATAGTGAAAAAGCCAGGATTGTACGCACCAGCAGTAATATCAAATACTAACTCATCGCTGCTGCTTATAATGTTATCCATGAATAAGATGTTAAATCCTTGTAATTCTTTGTTAGTAGCCAACAAAAATCCTAATGTGAACCCTAACGTCACTAAGAATATAACAGCAAAACTGAAATAAATGCAATTACGAAATTTAGACAATGTGTATCTTTGAGTTGTAAAATTATGAGGTGAATAATTTGTCTCATCTGGAAAATAACGTCTCCCTGGACTTCTGAGAGGTGAGTTTTCATGAACATCTCCATGTATTACACTAGCCTTCGTTTGGAATCGATCAACATATTCAGAAGGTTGAGGTTGTGTAGAAAATGTATAGTAATCCTGAAATCTGGGATTTTTATTTAATTTACCCTGGTCTTGGTAATATTGATATGTGTTATATATCCTTGGATCATCTTCTGCATCATCTAATTCACTACATTCATCATCTTCTTCATAGTCTGAAATTTGTGGACGTGCCTCTAAGTCACCACCATGATTATAATAAAACATCGATTGATAGTCATCGTCTTCCTCATCTTCATTTGGTTGAAGTGAAATCTCATTTTTGGAATGCCCGTTTCCCTTTAAGTTCCCTGTATTATTTTGGTCATCCGTAGTTTCACTATCTTCTTCTTGAATAATACTAGGATCCTTAAAGTGGTCATCATGAATACAGCCATCCCTTATATAATTAACTTTCTTAGGTTCGAAATAATCATTTACAGGCTCATGTTTGATTACGCTGTTACTCATTGGTGAAAAATTTGATTGTTCTATATAGTCTTCGAGATTGACATGATCTGGCACTCCAGAATACCTTCTCAAAGGAGCACCGTTAGTATCAAATATCTTAGAAGCAGTTGTTCTTAACCTTCTCTTGCTATTTGTACGGACAATTCCATTATTGGCATTACTTGGAATTCTATGCCTTGACACCGAAGGTTGCCTCATAGCAACATTAGACATCGAAGCCTTTCTAGATGATGTAGTACTTGTAAAGCCATTATTTCTTTGTCTCGTTTTTGAATTTGCTACTACAGGAAAATTAGAATTCTTAACGGTAGGTGAATTTACGCCAACATTAAATGTTGGAGGTACATTCATTCTTCTAGTAGGTGGATGATGACCGGAGGAATATGATTTAATAGATTGGATATCATGTTGTTTGTTTTGGGAACTCATAGATCTCAAGCTTGGAATATCATCAGGAATAGTAAATGCTGCTTGAAACGATGGCCCCAGATGTGAAGATGTGCTTTGATTCGGAGTGCCATTAAACTTGCTTCCTAAGGCAATCCCACCAGTACTTGTATGTCTGTGATTTTTCAGTTTATTTAAAAAATTTTGATTGCTACTATTTAGCAGCGGCACACTCATTTTTGGTGCAATACCATAAGATTTATTGGTCCCATTCGTATGAGAATATTGTGATTTAGAATGATCACTAAACTCATTTAGCATTTCTTGAGGATTCGCAAGTTTCACGTTCTTGCTGGAATTTGCTGTTGATTCATAAACAAATGTCTCTTCAGAGTCACTTATTTCGTTTTCACCAACAGCAGATGCTAGTTTCGCAGCAAAAATATCAGCCTTTGTAGGCTTTTGTAAGGAGTCGGTATCTTGGGATATTGTTGGCTCTTCAGACATCATTGATGACAGAGGTGCCTTTTTCTGTAGATCCGGCCTTTTATCTTCTAATAAAATTTCCCTTGAATTCATCATTGGCATCGATGGTCTTTCTAATATTTTATTTGGTTTTAAATCTGTCAACTTATTCGAAACAATATGTGGGACTGGAGACGGTACAACTGCTGGGCTATTGGAATTTGAAGATTGTGAAGATAAATTATTATTGTTATTAGTAGCAGCGGCAACAGTACCAGTAGTGGTCAATGCTGTTACATTTGCATCCTCGATATTTAATTTTGATTGCCTACCACCATACGCTGTTCTATTCGCACTCTCCATTGATTGTTGATCACTACTTGAAATATGCCCAAGTATTGGCTTTTTTAATGTCTCATTTATTTCATTATCGCTTGGTTTAAAATCATTTGAAATCTCATCTATTAATGATACTCCAGCTCCAGTAGTGGTAGATGTCACAGTAACAGAACCCAAGTTATTTCCTGACCCTACAAGTACTGGTGAAGTTATTAGCAAATTGCTCTTTTTATTTCGTACTGATTGTGGAGCATGCATAGATAAGGGATTATTATCGATTAAATTTCGTTGAACTTGATGATCATTACTGCTTGCAACAGTACTTACAGTTCCACTAGAAGCCAATGAAACTGAAGACATTATAGGTTTACTACCATTTATTTGCGGTGCTATATTTTGTTTTAATGAAATGCCGGTATGTTCCACTTCATTGGATGCATTAGTTTGATTTACATCTTTTGAGACATTAGAATTATCATTATTATATCGTTCCTGGCTAGTATTTGGAATATTAGAAGAGGATCCTCTAGCAATATTAATACTACTTGCATTAGGTGTAGGCAAAATAATATTTGATACTGGAGCCTCTACGGTTTCAGTTTCCACTATAAAATTATGACCTTCTTCATTCATTATTTCTTGTTTGTATTTATTTTATATTTTATTTCTTCCCAAACGGTTTGTCCTTAAAGATTTATCTGAACCTTCCATGTATTTATACTTTGAATCTATTATTCATGTAATTTATGTCATTCAAAACTAGTGACACCTTAGCTATTTTATAAACGCTTTCCTTTATTGTTCAAGAGTAGGATAATGGCAGAAAACAAATTAAAAGTTACAAATTACAATGAACAATATAACAAATGAAATTCGATTAGTTGAATAACAATTGAATCTTAAATTTTCTATCAAAGCAGCTATCAGGCTTACAGTTAATATATATATATATATATATTCAAAAATATCAGTTTAACTCTCCCTTATTGTAAGTAGCCTTCAACTAATATGAATATTTTATTGTATGGGGACTCAAACAGATTCACCAAAAGCTAAGGGTTTTGTTTATAAAACTTTAAACCAACAATATCAAATGGACCGCTATTACTGTTTAAAGCAAATTCAAATTGTTTTAAACTTATTTACGAGTACAGAATCGATTAACACTTACCTTTTTGATATAACCATCACCGCTGTTATAATGTTTCCTTTGGGAATTTTTAAAGCTTTTAATAAACCGAATTTGGTTATATTACCACTGCGGCAATTACCCGGTCACATCGCTCAACTATATCACGTGATCTCTCTTTTATTTTAAAGTTAGCAACCATCATATCGACCAATATAAATCATCAATTTCAATCGAACTAATATCAAAAACCTTTCCCAGAGAGTCCAGCTTTAACAGCACACTTGTATCCATATCTTAATAACATACTAATTCAAAACAAAACTTTGATACCACCTTTTGCTATTTATTTTATTCAATTACTTCTATCATCACGATAGTCACGTGCGTACACGTACAAAACATTTTGTAATCAGAATATTCTTAACCGCTTATCTTACTTACCATCAACCTTTAGCATTATTTGAGAAGTTAAATAACGAAATACATTCCATATTTCAGAATTTATTTGTCGTTACAGTGATCAAGAACACATGTATATCTTTTAAGAATTTATTCATTGTTCAATTGGGGGAATATAACATTATACAATTTTGTCGAGTGGATACAATTGTATAATACAGAAACACCTGTTATCAAAAATGGGTATATTTTGGGTAATAATGGAAGGTCAAAATATATAATATTAGTCTATACACCCCTCTTGTATAGATATGAAATGGGTTAGTCTTTAGAATAACAACCAACGGATTGTTTTAACTGGAGAGGAATATACTATATGAATCCTGAATTAGTGGAATAGGTAATTGTCAGTTTATTTGTATCTACTGTAGATGCTATTACCTTTAATAGTTGGGCGGCAAATTCCAACCACAAAGAAGAACTGGATGCTTTACCCGGCCTCTAAATAAACAGATTCTGAAAATTAGAAATCACATGACCTAATACAATATGATCATCATGGACGATATATCGATGCCCTACAACTTTTTTTTAAAAAAAAATTGATTTCATAAATGAAGAAATTAACAATAATATCCCAACTAGAATTCGAAGACATTAAATTAAAAGGCCTTACTGGATAGACCAAAGTGTTAAATAGTGATTTTCAATCTGGAACTCCAATTGGTGGATTATTAGATTGCTAAATTGAAGTATACAATTTTTAAGAAGGTATTCTACAAGAAAAATACCAGGTACATCCCAGTCCCCCTAATTTCAATAGATATTTCCAATTTTTGAAATTGGTTTAAATTTTTTATTACTTTACTATAAAGTTACCATTTGAGTTTCAACAATTATACTCTTTATGTCAGTGGTTGGTGATGACTTAGAAACTGTTGTTTCAGAAGAATTCGGCTTCAAGCCTCTAGGCCAAGCTGTTATTTTACCATCTTATGATGAAAAGTTGCCTTATTCTTCATTGCATAACTTAGATATTTCGAACAAGAGAGGTTTATATGTGGCCACATCAGGAGATAAAACAGTAATTGGTAAAGTTCAAGATTTAAGAGATTTTGTTTCGTCTAGTGAAGTCACCGCTTTACCACAATTTTTATGGGAAAAGGATATTACAGGCGTTATTGCTGTAAAGTTTTACAATAATTTGGTTTTAATTCTTAATACAGATGGACAATTGTCATCAATAGATTGTAACGATTTATCTAAGGATTTGGAAAATATACATAAGTTTGAATCAGGGATTTTAGAATTCAAGCTTTCAGCAAATACTTTATTTTTATTATCAAATAATTATCAGTTGTTTTGTTATAACATTAGTGCAGATGAGATAGTGCCAATTACAAATGAAGTGATCGCACTTGATGTTTTTGAAAATTTATTAGTTGCGATAAACAGTAATGGTATTATAAAATTCTATGAAATATCAGGTGCTGAATTGAATGAATTCGAATCATTTGGTTATCCTGATCAATTGAAAGAAGAATTTAATGATGAATATAAACCAATTAGTATTACAGTGTTAGACAAAGCAAGATTCCTTGTGGTATTTGGTGTCGATGTAGATACCACAGAAGATATGATTTCATATGACCATAAGATGTATATCGTTGCCAAAAAGGAGTCTGAATTCATTTTTAAGGAATCTTATGATATATTACCGGCTTTTGGCTCAGTTTTAAGATATCCAACTTACTATAATATATATTTGAAAGGTCTGATCAAGGAAAATCAAGAGTTAAACGTTTTGGGTTCTGCATGTTCCAGTGAGTTGACCATTTTGGACAAATTAGATATAGTTCAACCCTCTCAAGATAGTGAAAGAGCTGTTTTACCAATCAATAAAGAAACTGATAATGATACAAATCCAATTGGTATAGCTATTGATGTTTGCACAGATGGTCTAATTGGAGAACCTTGTCAAGGTGTTGATAAAATTGACCACATGGCTCTAATATATATTTTGACAAATGAAGGTAAACTGATAATAGATGGGTTGTATGATTCTACAGCTATCAAGAATGATTCATATAATGTAAATTCCTTAAAGGCAAGAATAATAAATGAAAATGAAGGTGAAAATGACAGTATCAAACCATTTATTAAAAACGAAGTATTAAAGGAAAATGCTCCGATATTATCATCTGCGAAAATTTCATCAGGAACAGACGATAATAAGACTCCAACATTTAGTCAACCTAGCTTTGGCATCCCTAATAGTAACACGTTAGAACCTTCAAATTTTGCATTCGGTAAACCAAGTTTCGGAAGCCCAGCTTCCAGCTCACCTTTTTCTGCATTCTCTACTACCGCCACAGAAGAAACCTCCTCATCAACTGCATTTGGTAAACCTGCATTTGGAGCGCCTTCATTTAATTCATTTAAATCATCAACTGAGACAGCCAATCAAACATTTGGCGCTCCATCATTCGGAACTCCCTCCTTCGGTTCTTCCTCTTCAAAACCTGATGGTTCAACTGAATCTTCTGTATTTGGAAAACCTACATTTGGACAATCATCATTCAGTGCATCGGCCTTTCAGGCTAAAGAATCTTCCTCCGGACCTACATTTGGGCAAAGTTCTTTTGCCAATTCAACTTTTGGAAATTTAGCAGGCTCGAACAAATCAACGAATATATTTGGTTCGGCTTCTTCTGATAAAGCTGACAATCCATTTCTCGGTGCATCAAATGGAAATTCCCCATTTGCAAACTTAATGTCGAACAAACCAGCTGTTGATGTTGAATCACCATTTTCAAAATTTTCTATCTCAAATAAAGTTGAAGAGATTGATAGTAGAGAGACAAATGATATTCCAAAAGAAGAATCTAGTACATCTGAAGACTTAAGAGATTCTACAGTTGAACAAATGCCTACTATTTCAACTCCATTGGCATCTAAAGATATCTCATTAACAAAACAAGAAACCTCTGACGAATCAGCTGGAATTACAGCAGATAATAAGCCTAAGGAATCCGGGTTTTCAATTTCTTCCCTAACTGATAAAATAAAGAAATCAGCAAATATATCGGAAAATGATTTAAATATTAATAGTTTCACGAAATCTCCATTTGAAACAGAAAAATCAGGTGAATCCTCACCTTTTTCTAACTTTACAAATGATTTAAATAAATCTCAACCAGCATCATTTGCTATCAATTTAAATGACAAAAATAAGGAATTACTTCAAGATGATATGCAAAAAAATATCTCCGAATCAGAAGCAGAGATTGTTGATATCAACGAAGAATCTTCATCAGTGGATTTACCTAAGATCAACGATGAAGTTTCCAAAGAATCTAATAATAACTCAGAGGAATCTGATGCAGATTCGATAACGACTCAAGAATCATACGAAAATGTAGAAGCTTTTGAAAAACACTCAGAACAAGAGTCTGATACTGAATCTTTAAATAAGACTGAATTTAATGATGAACCAAATAATGAAAATGTGGAAGAAATAAAAGACAATGAAGAAATTGAAATTAGAAAAGAACTGGAAGTAGAAGAGGCATCTACTAAACAAGAACCAGAAACTGATAATGAAGATGATGTTGTAGAGGAATCTGTATTAAATCGTGAAATTGAGACAAAAAATGAACTTCAAAATGGTGTACCAACCGAAGAAGAAAATGAAATTAATGAAGAATCTGAGATTGAATCAGAAGAGACTAGTGAAATTGTTGAAGAGAGCATAGTTGTAAAGACTATTGGAACAAGCCCAGCTAATTCTGCAAATGCTGAAATTCAAACTGAGCCTTTACTTGTATTTGATAAGAGCACACAATTTGAGAAGGAATATTCCACTGTAGGACATCAAACTGATAAAATTGAAACTTGTGACTTTAACATTCAAACATTTGAAGATGATGAAAGTTATGTAGCTTTATGTCATAAACCATCAACTTTAAAACCGTTTTTCACAGGAGCAACCATTAAAGGAATGAAATATTTATCAGATGATCCTAATCTAAGAATAGTTGAATCAACATATAACTTCATTGAAGCAGAATTGCTAGTTCTTTCTTTAAACTTAAAGAACATGGATGAATTTCTGGTTGACCAATCCACAACATATATTGAGAAAAGAACTGATAAAACATTAAATAACATTTACATTTGGAGACTGAATGAGTCTAAGATTTTAGTCGATATTCTATCCCAAAAAGTAGAATCGTGTGCTTCACAATTTTCTAAACAGGATGACTTATTATTGAGAGTTGATGAACTAACTGAAAAAATCAAGAAGAATGTTGATGAAAAAATCAAGTTTAAAGAATTTATTAACACCTTGGATGAAATTGTAAATGGGAAGGAAGAAAGAGTACGTGATCTAACGTTGTATCAATCAACAGTTCAAAATAATCTACGTAATAAAATTCGAGTACTTTCTGAAAAAATCAACCGTATAGAGGAAACTGTTAACATTTTAAAGATGTACACAGTTAATAGTGATAAATTATCCGATAACCCATTAGTCAGTAGGTTAATTGCAGAATCTGTAAGTCGTGGAAATCTCTTGGATGAGATTAAAAGTCTAAGGGGTGATTTGAATAAGTTTAGAGCAAATTCAGAAGGAGCATTTACCGATGAATCTACCTCAGCGGAACAAACTGCATTAGCTATTAGAAAAGGGAATAGTTTAAATTCAATTAAGGTTGCAGAAACAAGTTTACGTTTGAACACCAAGCAGCAACTGGGTTTATTTTTTGAAAAGATGGTATCTGTTCAAGAATAATCGGCCAATCAAAGACTCAAGATATAGAAAGTATCCCAATAAATGATGTCTATATAAGCAGTATAAATATTTTAGTAATATTAGCCTAGAGAAAAAGTGGAGTATAGGCTTGAAATAGATGCATAATATAATCTTAAATTTTATATATTGTTTATAAAACGGTGATGCAGTTATTTGACAAAAGAGTATAGCACAGCTTTGAATTCTTTGATTAATGCATCGTTTTCTTTCTTTGTTCCTACTGTTATTCTTAAACAACCAGTGCAACCAAGTTCATTTCCTCTGAATCTAATAACTACTTTAGAATTTGTTGCTAACTGTAAATATAACTTCTTAGCCAATTCGTTATCCCCATTGTTAATTCTTACCATGATAAAATTTGCATCTAAACCACCTACGTATGCTCGGTTTACATAATCTAACGATATTAACTCATTCAATAAACGATGTTTTTCCTGATTTACATTCCTTGCATTCTCTATCATATAATTTAGGTTTTCTTCCTGGACAGCCTCTATTGCATACTTTGAAGTTAAAGATGATATGTTATATGGTGCCTTCATAGCATTTAAGACACTGGAAAATTCTTCAGAAGCAAACGTTACACCTAATCTAATACCAGCTAAACCAAAGGATTTTGATAGAGTTTGTAACACAGTTAAATTTGGATATTTAGTAACTAATTTAGCCATTGAGTAAGTAGTACCTTCTGCATCTGCAAAATCGATATAAGCCTCATCTACCACAACTAAACCATTGGTCCAATTTTCTAAAATGAATTCGATATCCTTTTTGTTGACCAGTTTACCAGTTGGGTTACCAGGTGAAGTGATAAATAACAGTTTAATTTTAGGGTCATTTTTCAAAGTAGATAAAACCTCTGGAACATTCATTTGAAATGAATTATCTTCAGTTATTAGTGGGCACTCTACAATTTCAACATCGTTAATATTTGCACAGACTGAATACATGGAATACGTTGGAGGAAGTGTTAGGATCTTATCAACCTCAGGTCTGCAGCATGCACGAATTAAGGAATCAATACATTCGTCAGATCCTACCCCTAAACACAGATTGTCTTCAGTCAATGGTTCAATACCAGGAGTCTTATCCAATCTATTTCTAAAACCTGCAAGTAGTGTCTTGAATTCAACCTGATGAGGATCTGGGTACCTGTTTAAATCTGTATCTCTAATTGAGAGTGGAATTGGGCCACTGGCATTTTCATTGGCGTCTAATAATATACCTTCAGTGAAATCATCTCTCGCACAGCGATATGGCTTTAAATTGTAAATTTTTGGCCTAACAATATCTTGTAAATTGAAACTCATTTTGTCTTTTTAACTTTTAACTCACTCTATAAAAATATATCTGTATCCTACCTGTTGATATATACAGGCAATGAATAATATTATGGGAGACTTTTAGTAACTGTTCTTGTGAAATTAGAGAAGTCTTTAGTACAAAAGTTTTCTAAAAAAGTTACTGTAAGTAGCCTTTAAAGTAACCAACCCTGACCAAGAATTCATAACAAAATTAAAATATATTTCGACTCCTTAAATAAGACAGTCCTAAAATTAAATTCAAAGCTTGAATTGACTCATCTTACTGTTACGAATGGGTTCAGGGTTGATCAAACTAAACCTCGTTGATATATTTCGAATAGTTGTTAGTCATAGGCGAATTTCTGTATTGATGTTCGAAATTAATTTGACTCTGATCTTATATAAAGGTCACATGGATCAATGAACCATCTATAACTGACCCATAAACTGTATCATATATAAAGTCAAGTAAATATATTAAATTAGATGGTTGTCATACTCAACCAAAGTATCTGGTTCTCTTCCTTGCTATTTCTAGCTAATAAGAACCCTTCCTAAACTAAGCAAACTAAACGAACTAGAACAGCCATTCAAAATTAACTAAAAGAACCAAGAAAGTTTGGTAAAGCTAGTGGTAATGACTCCATATCTATGAAGTAGTTTAAAACATCTAGTCCCTTCGACTGAGGTTTAATATTATTGTTTTTTGTAGTAGTAGATAACACCCACTAATCTCACTATTGCCTGATCTTGAAGAAAGTAGTTAGTCTACAAATGCCTACAAATTTTGACAATACTTCGAGACACCATCTTGAAACAATAGCACGATGTAAATTGGACTATTGTCCTACTTGTTCAGGTAATTCGATCTATACTACTCTGAGCACTAATCAAATACTTATTAATATTAGTTATTATTGAACAAAATGACAGCGACAATGAATATTTAACAGGTAAAACAACTTATTGGGATTTAAAATCGCTGTGTGGCTAGACATTCAGTGATTGATACTTTAGTTTTCTAACTTCATAATCGATATACATATATGTTTCCTTTGCCATTAATACTGCACAAAAAGGTCTTGACTTCCACAGCGTCACTATTAGGACATATTAATTTCTGATTAATAAAAGCTTGTCAATATTTTGTAGAGTTATTCTGTATATAACACTCATTAGAGGATTTCTTTGCTTTGAATATATCCTAAAATTTCAAGATAATGAATGAACTTGATCTGATAATGACACCAAATATTACCGATTATATTAATCCATCAGTTCCAAAAGAAACCGAGGTTGTCAAGATCCATAAACAATTAACTGACACCATTGGAAATTCTACCTTTATACCTTCAGCTGTTTCAACAGTCGTCCCAATGGAAACTAGATATAAGAATCAATATACCTTCCAAGTTGGAATTCCATCAGCGTCTTCAAATAAATACATCAGAAATTCAAGTAATAAACCCGATGGATTCATGTTCATCTTAATGGGGACTATTATTTGTACTATTATATTGTTAATGATAGGTTGGCTTTTGTTTCGTAGTTGTATGGAGAGAAAGAAGAAACTCAGAACTACCGATATTGAAGACCTTGATAAATCTGACTCTCTACATTTCCCTTATAAATCCTCTAGACTATCAGGGATCCCAACCCAAATAGGATCATATAAGCAAGGAACAAGCATTGATAAGAAATTCCTAGATATTCTTGATTCTAATTCTGCCGGTAACAACATTTCACCAGTGTCAATTAATAACAATGTCAGTTATTATTCATTTGTACCAACAGATGGTGGTGAAAGTGTACATTTTATAGTGGATAGTGGGTATGAGGAAGATAGTGAGGAAAGAGGAGAAGGAGATTCGTTGAATAGTGACATTGCAATTAGCAATGTACCTTGTTCAACGGAAAAGATGACAGATTCATATAGGAAAGATTCATTGCATGTATCCGTCTCTTTGGAGGCTCTAAGGAACGACGAGAGTGGAATGAATAATGAGGTGGACAATAAGAATTCCAAAACAGTTAGTATATAATTAGTAAATATTAGACTTAGTTTTCATTACTGTTTATTTTTTTTATGATTTTATTCTGTTTTTCATGTATATAAAAAATTACAAAACATCGACATTCTATATAAAATTGAATTGTTATTGACAAAAATAAGTATTTATATTATAATGTATTAGACGATGAAATACCAGGTCAGTTCAACCACGACTGTGAATCAATTAAATTAAATTAATCAGATGTAACCAATTTTACAGAAGGGTTGAAAACAGATAACTGGTATCAAAAGGATGAACTTCAAAGAAATGACTTTATTAAATAATGAGCAGAGTGATGGATATATGAAAATGAGGTGAAAATAAGAAAATAAACTGGAACATTCTGTTAGTGTAAAAGTATATTGCTTTTCAAATATAAGTAAGCAATCCTTAAAATTGACAGAAATCAATTGGAGTTGGAACACTTAATAATATAAAGTAAATTAAAAAAAGGATATCTTCATGAAAACGGAAACAAACTTTTGGTATTTGATATGATTTAATATTATGATTATTACTATTATTATTATTACTGTTATTATTATTATTATTATTATTATTTTACATTATAGTACAACTAGAACTTTCTTCCTCATCCTTTATGTCATTCCTTTTGCTATCGCTAGTTAAAACAACACGAGTAGCTTCAGTGAATGCCTCATTTACACCTTTATTCAATTTCGCACTACATTCTAAATAACGCAATGCACCTATCTTCTTAGCCATAGCTAGACCTTCCTCATAAGTTATTAAATCTTTTCTGTTATTATTAGTACCATCAATATCTTCATCTTCTTCATTTCTCAAATCACATTTTAATGCAACCAAGACCAATTTAACGTCATCACAATGATCAGCAATTTCACCAACCCATTTATGCTGTACGTTCTCTAACGAATCACGAGAATCGACACTAAAACATAACATAATGGTATCAGTATCAGAATAAGATAATGATCGTAACCTATCGAATTCTTCTTGTCCTGCAGTATCCCATAAGGATAAAGTAATATGCTTATTGTCAACAAAAATATCATGGATATAATTCTCAAAAACTGTAGGCTCATACACCTTAGGGAAATAACCTCGAGTAAAAACATTTAACAGAGATGTCTTACCACAAGCACCATCACCCAATATGACAATCTTCCTTTCAATTGGTTTCTTAGAAACAGAACTGGAACCACACAACATTTTCTTTCTCTCTCTTTCGTTCTTCCTTTACACCACTTGAATTCAAACCAATAAATAATAAACCAACTACAGCAACAACACTAAAGATAACCTTTTCTTGCCTCTGACAAACTAACTATTCATCCTTTAAATAATACCTTTCACTACTTGTTGTTTGTTATTTATGGTTACGTTTTTTTTTATTGATCGATATTCTTGATTCGAAAGCCTTTCCATATTAAAAAATTATCCGAACAAAGCATAGACCATACAATAACGAAATTTGGTACTTAAATATAGTAGCAAATTGGTGAGATAACGATGCAACAATTGATTTGATTTAATTTGATTTGACAGGAATATGATATAATGATATTATGCTATTATGCTTATGAATATTCTTATTTGTATATAAGGTTTATGATTTTTAAATATGTGTCTGAATCTATAAATATGTTTTGAATAAGACTAATTGAATAATGTAGAAATAAAAATGGTTGATTAGTATGCGAATTTTATGAAAAGGAAGATGGAATCTTGATTTGAGTAATGATTGGGATGGGACATATGCTTAATTGGCTTCCATTGTGCTTTGTGCCTTAAGTTCAGCTTTATTAGCTCTTTTTTGTCTCCATTCCATACCGTACATTACTGGGATCATGACTAAGAAATTTGCAACGAAAAGAAAACCAACAATTAATGTGAATGTACCACCAACTGTGATGGAACCTTTCATTTTCGCAAAACAACCCATAAACATAGCACTTAAACTACATCTGATGAAATTGAAACAACTTGTAGCAGTAGACGACTTCCCTGGATAAAGATCAACCAACAATGTGCTAGATGTGGATAATGTACTCATTGCACAATATGAACCAAAAAATGAAACGATTAATATACTTTCGACTTTTAAGCCCTTATCCACACACCAACCAAATAATATAAATGCAGCGACAGCAATGAAATTCTGTGGTAATGCTGGTAGTAGACGTGCTTTGAAAATATTGAATTGTTTATCTTCTGGAATTTCTTTGGCTTCCTTCATTGCATCGAATTTTTTTAAACTCTTTTTATAATAGATATCAATTACTCTACCTGTAATCAACGATCCAAGTAAACCACCCATACCAGCTGGTAAATAACATACACCAATAATAATCAGTTTATAATTATAAGGTTCAATAGCTAATTCTGAAGAAATTGATGATAACATTAATGTCCATAATGCAAATTGTAAACCACCTGGAAGTAGTGATAATACAATTTCCGGTTGACAGATGATGGTGAATGGCGCTAAAAGGTTTAGCTTTGGCTTGTTTTGATCCAAGGTTTCATAATCTGGATTATCATATTTGAATCTCTTCTGGAAGCTTTTTAATAAGAAAATTGGTGCTCTATTGATGATGTTTTTAGGTTTTATAGACATATTACCCACAATTGTTCTCTTTGTTTCTGGCAAAACCAAAATACCTACAAATAGACAACACCCTGCACCAATTGCCAGGAACCAGAAAATTGCTCTCCAATCCCAAGCTGCTGCTAATGCTGCACCAATCAAAGAACCAAATGCTTGACCCAACAAGACTAAACCTGATACAGCACCAACAAATGTACCTCTTTCTGCTTTCATTGTGAAATCACCAACGCATCCTGAACTAATTGCAATGATTGGAGAAATACCACAACTCTGAAGACATCTTAAGAAAATAATAACACCATATGAGTTAGCGCAAGCCAAGGCGATAGATGCAACAATGTAAACTAACATACCGAATAATATAACAGGTCTACGCCCATATATGTCGGCTAAACCGCCACAGACGGTTGGTGAAATACCTTGAAATAATAAGTAAACCACCACAGTGACGTTAACTAAATTTTCATCAATATCGAATTGTTTTTCCAATTGTCTTAAAGCTGGATAGTAAATTGGCGAACCTAATGAAGACCAGAACCCACACATAGTTAATAACCCCACCATAATCCACTTTTGTGAATAGCTGAATAAAGTATATGGTGCTACGTATTCTTGGCTGTCCTTTATAGTTTTGACATCATCGGCTGATTCCAGATCAGATTCCTCTACTTCACGAGTTTGAGTTCTTGACAATGTACCGTCCACTTTATAGATACCGTCGCCATTACCATTGATAACACCGTATGTGTAATCTTTAACTTCTTTACCTACTCCATAAGGCTCTAATTGCTTCTCGAGAGAAGTCGTGCTGCTTTGCTCACTGTATATATTGGCGCTGTCTAGACTATCCCTTGGCCTCTGATATTCCGTCATTGTTATATCTTTAAATTGATTATTCTGCAAGCTTCTAGAGGATTGCAATATTGAAGAGGATTCTTTATTGCTTTTATCATTCAATGACAATAAGAGGAAAGATAGATATGGAATTAAAAGTAATTTAAAAATACTGTGCTTCCAAGTGATTTCAATAGAGTGGGAATGAACTGACTGATAAATAGAAACTTTACAGAGACTAACTCATCTTTATATATAAAGATATCATCTGTATATTTTTTTCTTGAATATCATAAAGATGTGTCTGGTTAACAAAGTTCTGAACAAAATAACCTCGGCCATACTATCTGCTTCTTCAATTTAGAGATATCTGGCAAACGACAAGTATTGTTCCCGTAGAAAGTCTTTTGACTCTATCAAGGAGCCGCCCTTCTGATGGATAGATATGGTGAAACTCGATGAAGATATCAAGTAGTTGAATAGTTGTATATTATTGACAAAGCCATTTCCGAAACAATCCTCTGCTCGTATTTTTTTTTCTTTTTTTTTTGCCAGCTAACTGTTCTCTGCGTCGAGCCCTGAGGGAATCTTAAATGAAAAATTCTTTAGTTCAAAATTAGAATGAGAAAACTAAGCGTACAACAAGGAAAAATATGATTCGTGGTTTTTCCGAACTGAATTTCGTTCCTATCTTTCAATTTCTCCTAGATACGAGACATTGTTTCCGGTTTGATACCGATTTGTTCCGGTACAGAATTTACTTCTACGGAAATTCCTAATAGGTAGTCTCTTTTTCATCTTTAATACAGTGATATCTCGGACAAACGATATGGTTGCTAGTTTAGTACGGCGATGATCTTCGACCTGAGCTTAAGTTTTTGAGTGTTAGCGAGAAATCACATGAAAAGCGCTAAGTAAGTGACTTCGGAATGAAAGAAGATAAAAAAAGAAATTTCAAAAACAAGCGAAAAATTCGAAATATTGGTATTGTGCACTTTTCTAACCTCTATCTTGGTGAGGTTCAGTAGCCACAAAAACAAAAAAAGAAAAACAAAAAGGAAAGAAAAAAATAAAAATATTAAAAGCTTTTGTTCCGTTATTTCGGAAAGGAAACAAAAATGTCCTCTTTGGGCTACTGCATTCCTCGTAAATCTCGGAAAGTTTCGGATTGTTCATCAAAAATGGCGAACCAAGATCCGCTTAGGGTAAAGAATGTCTAGGACAAATATCCCAAAACCAAGAAATATAAAATGCTAATTTGTCCTGGACATTTTGTTTTTACCTTAGCATCATTGTCTTTATCCCAAGCCTTCTTATTGTAGTTGTGTCAATAAAGTTAAATCATTATGCCATCAACTTATCCTGTGAGAACAGAATCGATACAAAATAGAGTGTTTGATTCTCGATATTGTTTAAATTTTAATTTGAGGTTCTCTCTTGATTTGTGCACCATTCTTAAGCCTTCTTTGGAGTTTATTCTTACAGCAGGATGTCAACAAATGCTTAATTCTTAATCTTGTTAGTCACTCTACTCTGCTCTGCTCTTGGACTGATCAAAATTCATTAACTATTTATTTTCCCCGAAAAAGATCTAATACTATCTATAGAACCCAACTCATTCGGAACAGAAAAGGGATGTTTGTAGGGTAGACATCGCTCTGCATGATCGTTTGTTCGTTGGTTTGTTTTGGTAATTTGATTTATAACAATTCATAAGCTATAACTATCTTTGTCCTTAATTTTGGATTACATCCGATGGTAGATGTCACAATAAAGACTTATCTAAAAATAGTAGAATCCAATATCTTCAATAAAGATTAGTTTAATATCTGCGTACCCACATATTTATCATTAGCGGGGAAATTCACTGATGATATATAATTCTTGGAATTACAATAAGAGGTATCCGATGTTTAAATCATGTTCAAACTATTTTGAGTACTTTATCCCATACCAGTAAACAAATTTAATCATGATTTCTTTTCTGACTATCCTTGATTTTGGGAAGTGCAATCAAAATCCAAATACTGGCCATGGTGGCTGACTCTTCTGACACTTGAGAATTTTTTTTTTATTTGGCCCTCCCGTAATAATGATTCCCACATGTGCTTGTTTCTATGGAAACCAATATTTTTAAGAGATAGTTCTTGAAACTTTGACCACATATTATCCCTTGAAGTATTTTTAGATTTATGAATGAAAGTGGCATGTAACGCAGAATAGATAGCTATCTTGTTGTAGTAAATTTCAGAGGGATGTAAAGCGGAAATAAACCTCAAGTGCTGGTTTTAAATCAGTTGCAGTTCGTACTTCACTGTATTGAGAAGAAGTGAAAACTAAATTGTACAGTTGCTGTAGTGGTCTATACAAGACTGTCGAAATGAAATAGGTAAAAGGAGATCATTCGTAAATTGTTCGTGACTATTAACTTTAGGGGAAATAAACTAAGTTCTACTTGAATCTTGGAAATTGGTGCATTTCGAGTATTAACCAATAATTTACGGCTTTAACTTAAACTTGTTTTTAGCTTTTATGTTTTTTTCTACATCAAGTATAAATTATTTCTACAACTTTCTACAATTTTAATTATTCTTCGTGTTAAGTTTATATTGGAATTATTATCGAAATAATAATCCAATAGAGCTGCAACTCTGCATATACAACAAACTTAGAAAATTCGTAGTATAATCTATAATTAATTCTTGTTCTCCAGAAGAATTTGTTTCATATTTATTTTGTATGAATTGTTACTTAAAAACTGGAAATTTGATTTGAAGAATAGAAATCACTTCAGTGATGTGATTCATGGAGAGTATTTTAAGACATGTTGGGAAGAATTGTATGGAGTATAGAAAATGTAATTATTTTGTAACAGAAAAGTATGAAAAAAATCCATGAGATAAATCTAGTCTCTATTTTTTGTCTTCGTGTAAAAAGTTAAATGTCCTTGTGACAGTATAATTACCAAAGGCAAGATGATTTTAACATTCTGAAATTTAAACTGTTTGAATTACATTATATATTTACTTAGGGAATAGCATTCAACCTAAACTTGTAAATTAAAAAAACTATTAAAATAATAATAATATGCTTCTTAAAAGTGTTCAGACCATACATCTGTTATTATTTGATTAAATGATGTTCATGCAAAACTTCGAAAAAGATCATAATAATACATAATTAGAAAGGATAACATTTTACAAAGCAGCAATAAGCTTACTTGACGAGAATTGGGACTCTTTAAATTTACAATTATACCTTGCTTTAAAGATATTAATTTTTCAGTATAATACTGTTTGAATGAATAGTAATGTAATTAGGTCAATATCCTGATACATGCAATAAGATTGGCTATGGGAAATGATTAAGTTGGAGGAGGATGCTTTGGAGTATGTATTAGAAAATTCATTTGCTTTTGTACTGTCAGAGGCATACTTCTATCAGGAGATTTTGATCTTGAATTAACTACAGGATATGTTCCTGAACTAAATGACCTTCTATGATTTATAACTCCTAAATTTTGAGATTCATTATTGGGTAGGTAATGAGACTGAGGTGACATTGGATTTTTCTGACCAAATAGTTGATGTTTCGAAATCGACTGTTGCTGTAATTGTTGGTGCTGTTGAGGCACTAATTGATTTTGATGCAATTGCTGTTGTTGATGGTAATGTGGTGGATAAGTATGTGGTAATTGTTGTTGATGCTGAATTGTACTTGTTTGATTAATTTGAGGTGAGTCTGAATCTGGGTAAACCACCACCATCTGTTGACCATATCTTGTTTGATAATACCCAGGAGGGTAAACTTGACTTGAATATTGAGAGCTCATATTACTGCCATTAATGATATCTCTTTGACTCATAGACCCTTGCTGTACTATCTTTTCTTGTACGTTACTTCTTAAACTTTTATCAGATAGAGGAAGTTGTGTATTCATGGAATTATTTGAATTCGAACCATATGTAGAAGATAATGGTGTTGTAAGGGTTGATTGTCTTTGGACAATAGCAGCTAATTGTACATGTTGTTGAGAAGCTGGCTGGGTCTGCTTGGGGGGGAAAGAATAAATATTAGGTCGAGAAAGAAGTGATTTAGATCCTTGTGTCTGTGATTTTTGGTTTTCTTGTTCTTCATCGTAATTATTTCGTAATTGATATGAATTCGACTGTTGGATGTTATTTGTTTCTTTATTTGGTACACTTGAAGATGACATAGGCGGTGAAGTTGATTCCAATTTTCGTCTTTTAGACTTCGGTGAAAAGTGTACAGAATTATTATAGTTATTATCTACCAAATTTATTAATCTTTTCATGGTTTCATCAGTAAAGGAATTGCACTCAATGCAGTTTTTAATAATAACTGATAGTTTTTCTAAATTAGACTCTTTCAGAAGTTCGATTTCTTTCCTTTCTCTTTCCAACCTTATGGCCAAATAATTATTAAAAACATCATCACTGACATTTTCTAGATCGGTTGCTTCACCTAGACCAATATCCTTGAGAACAACTTCCTTAAAGGAAGGATTGGATTGCTCGGATTTTTTATTTTGATCGACTTCATTCACATTTTTATTTTGCAAAGTAGTTGTTGTTTCAATGTTGGAAGTAGTGCCAACATCCGGTTCTGTCGTACTACTCCCCATTATAAAGAACAATTCAGTGGGTGATTAGTGTCAAATATTGAAAGGTATCCTTATTTTAAAAATAAATTCAATATTGGGAGTTAATTTAATCTAATTTACTTCTATTATGATTTTTATGCTGTTATTTTTTGTTGTAGTTATTTTTTTAATAGAATTTTAATATACTATACGCCTCTTGTACAATTGGCCTGCGTCTATGTATTATTCCTATGTTAGTATTACTAAAAAAATAATGACAGCGATTGATTGACAAATTTAATTGATGAAAAGTTCTGTATTTTAATTTTCCAAATTATTTTTATACCAAATTATTTATCTAGAGACATCCTACTCATCGAAAAAGGTAATACAGGGTTTTTCTAATATCCAATTATACAGACAGACGATGTAAAGCGCAAAATATTAGCTAACTTGGCAACGGGAAAAATTGTAAAACTTTAATTTTGTCATAATACTTTAAAGTATTTATAAGAATGATATAATGTAATCCAAAATTAATTAAATATTGATAATGGTGATATTATTCAAAAATTGCAATAATTTTAAAATGTTGTAGTATTTTTGTCATCGATATCGTTGTTATTTTCAAATGTATGAGAAAAAGGATATTTCAGAGAAGTTATGGGGATATTATGAACCCGAATATGAAGGTACAGGATAGGTAATCAATTGTTGATTCAATTGCAAAATATAATAGGTAAAAACACACACACTTGCACAGACAAAGTAGGAAACCTGAAGGGAAATAATAACATAAAAGAAAATAAACATTAAATTTAAAAGAAAATAAAAAAAAACAACTTAAAGATTAAAATTATGGTAGAAAAATAGGTAAGAAACTTGAGACTTGTTATAGAAATTGTGTAGTTAGTGTTTACTAACTCTGTTACCTGTGTTAACTCTATCCATCCCATATGTGTTCCTTTCTTTAAATTTCTACCGCGAGTGTTCTGAATCCATCACATTAAGATATGAAGACAGACATGCAGTAATATTAACCACTGTAACAGTTATCGAACTAAAATAAATATATACATATAATTGATCTCTGGTATTACTTGAATAGAGAGTTCAACCATATACATATATTGGCATATCGACTTACTGTAAAAGAGCTGCAGCAATTATTATCTCAGTAATTTGTCAAGTACAAACCCGAATCAAGGTTTTTTTTTATAAAACTTTTTCCCATTAGAAGAAAACCTCACAATAATTAATTGTTAATAAACCAAAGGGAACCCAGTTGTTCACTTAAACCTATCAACCTTTAAAACTTGAAGTTAAAAACCAAAACAAAAAGAAGCTCAAACATATTAAAATAAATTACAATATTGAATATACTCGAAGAAGTAAAATTGATGATACCACTAAGATTTAATGCAGTTGCGGTTGTTGTTGGGTTCAGTTTAACAAACTTATCTTGAAGTAATCCTCCTCTTCTTCTACATTTGGCTTCTCACCGCGATTCACCACAGTTTTGACACTATCTAATATCCTTTAAAACTTCCAATCATTTGTTAAGTATTGATTTTTGTTATACTTAATCTACTCTCTCCTGATAATACTCGGTAGAATATAAACCAGGATACCGGAATGTTCTTAGAGAAATGTCGGAGGAGGCCGAATTTGTTGATGAAAAATTCTTTGATAATAATAAGTTAATTCGAAAGTATAAATGCATAAGCAATGGTAGTACTGAAAGTTATTACTCTATTGAGTTGAGTTTACCATACTTGTTTGTTGGCATCGGTTTTTTCAGTTATTCCTGTTGTTAATGCTCTACTTACCATGAAAAATTTTTAACTTCCAGTTGATTTCTACAAATTTTAAAATTTAGCCGTTAATATTGACTACAGAATTCTGGGTGTCATGTTTCAAGTGTGGAATGTTTCACAAATAAAATAAGCAAACAGAAAGGTATATGGTTGCCCCCTATAATCTCGAATTTATGCATTTTACTACATTATTAAATTTTCATTTGATTCAACACAAGTAAATTTGAATGCTACCAACATTGGTCAAGTGTTTTCAAGCAAACAAAGAAATAAACCAAAAAAAATAATATTTGGGATATAAATTTATTCACTCTTTTGTATACTATAATGCCGGCAGCTTGATTGTAAGCTTGTAGAAAACTATTTGACACAACCAAAAATCTAAATTCGTTGAAGTTTTAGGCAAAAATAATTTTGCAGGTTAACTAGAGAATTCATAAAAGCTTCACTTCACTATAGAAGGAGTCCTTCAGTTCTTTAATTCGCTGGCACTCCAGAGATATCACAACTTTTAGATCCCCTTGTTCTTCGTCACGGATCTTTTTCTTAGAGACAAATCACCAACTAATTTCTTAGTCTTCTCTTTCTTTCCTATCCTACTAATCGAACTTGGACGGTCCTTGAATTATCATTGTAGTAGATTCTGTTTGAACTTAATATTTCAAACCATAGAACATAGAACTTCTGTTTTTTCTCCAAATTAGGTAATTATGTTCATATTCTGACAGAATAATGATACCCGCCTCTGTCGGGCTTGAAAATACCTTAAAAACCTTCATCTTAAACATTAGACGCCTCATTTTAGAAGTATATCTTTAATCAATTTAGGATTATGTAACCACTTAAAACCTTCGTTTGACTGGTTTAATTTAAAATTTATCGTTCTTTCTGTATGTCCTTTCCAATTTCACCTGAATGTTGAATGAATAGATATTCTCTTTTATCATTGTAAGCAATGATTCTCGCCAATAATAATATACAGTATGTTATTGTGTATTTCAAAAATTATTGTTCGTTAATAGAATTCTTTGACTCTAAGTATAGGTGCCATCACAAGAAAATACTAGCTCTAGAACATCTAGCTCGCCGGTTTTTTTCTCTAAAATTCTGACGTTAATGTTAAACTATGCAGCAATGTTATGTAACAATGTCTGTTGGAGCCACGTAAGTTTTTATAAAGAACGAAGTATAATTGAAACATATTAAGTTTTGTTTCATCTTTCGGCCCCAAAGGGCAATCCTTTAAATTCAATTTCTTATTTTGAACAAGCTTCGTATTATCATTATCTTAAAATAAATTCATTGAAATAAATTCTCCACTTAATACATATTTGAGAAATTTTGTAATAACAAAAATTCTGTAAGTAGCAAAAATTTGAAAAGAGGCTCTAAATTTTTCATCTCATCGATGTCGAATGTAGCTAAAAGTAAAGGAATTAGAGTATTATTTTGATTAGCATCAGAATTTAGAACAACCTCAAAATGACTTAACACCCGGCTAAGCCATTTAGGAATTTCTATCCATCAACTTATGTCATTAGGTTTGAAATTTCTGGCCAATTTCAAAATGGATTTGAAAACAAAGGTAGATCACCAATTTTAACCATATCTAGTAAAAATTCATGATTAATAGCGGCACTTTTTATAATTACTTTATTACCATATTAATTACTCGTATTAATATTTATCAGGAATTGGAAATAGGTGAAGAGCACACGCAGTTTGGATCCGAATTATTTTGATTAATTCCAACATTTTGTAAGGAAATTGGAAAATGGGGACTGGTTTAGGCAATTGTTTGTAAATATGGTATTAATCTGAGGTGAATTGTGAATTATACCAACAATGTCACTGGTCAGCCAATTGATATAAGAGCAGTGAAGTATTGAGACAAGACCGGTTAAACGAAAACCTAACTAACCAGTCAAAAGTTTGTATTTTGATGCAAAATTAATTAAACCTCTAGATATGAAACTTTATTATTTTTTCCCACTATTTCCAACAATTGTAACCAACTGCCGTAAAAATCATAGCAAATATATATATGCTTTCATTGTACTAACATGACACCGTACCACCGTACTCTTGAATCGTAACTTGTAATATAGTAGCAATTGGGTAGTTCTAAACTTGTGCAAACCTCAAATATCTTACCATAATTTTTGGTCATATGTTGTTATAACCGCCTCATATTTAAAGCAGGATTAAATGAAGAAACATATGCTTAAACATAACAAAACTGAAAAAGCATCTCTCAATTTTTATCCAATCAATTCCAAAATATTTATCGCCATCATAATTACCATCATCAATAACAAATATATATATATATATATATTCATCCAATGGATTAGATATCCTATCAATTTGATTCTCCTTAGTCCAAGTAAAATATGTTCTTAATAGTTAAGTTCGAATTCCAAATTTAAACGGCTTCCAAGAATGTTTGAATGGGATCATTCTTATGGATATGGAATTGACGAAACCAGCGGAAATGAATGTAATTTCTGTAGGAATGCCTTAGCATAACTAGATCTCGAAAAGATCTCTTCAATTGAATTGAGGTGAACTTTGATGGTCTTGTTTTATATATCTGGATCTTGGGTTACCATTGTTACATTTCCCTACAACCCATTAACATTATCTGAATGAAATATCAAGCAATCATTTCAAAAAGAGTTATTGGGGGGAGAGTAACTAGTTATCATGATGACAATATTTATACCTCTAAAAGGTATTCTGCAAAGATTTAATTAAAAGTAGGTTATACTTTCGATCCTTGAATAGTTCAACGTGTATAAGGAATGATTAGAATTTGTTGACAATGTTAATAATGTTCCGATACATTGTCCATTGTCTGTTGATTGATCTGTAACGTCTCTCTTGTGAAATATTTCCAAATGTCATTTATTATCATCAACAGTGTCAATATTCAAGTTCAAAACTTATATTTCAGTTTGGTGTAGCTTCTTGACTTTAAAGTTAATACATTCTTGAACAATTCGAATTGGGTTTCGAGACTTTGGTGTTGAAGAGTTAACTTTGTTTCTATTTTTGTATATAATTTTGATTTGATGTAGTCGTTTATTACTGTGTCTTGACCTGTATTCAACTTAAACTAACATATTAACTCTGTAACGTATTATTTTCGTTTTTTGGACGATGCATCCCTGCATGTCATTCCTGAATATTGCTGTTTGGAGAATGTGAGGTATTAAATCTTAAGTATTAAGATTGTAATGAAAGTACATTTTCGTAGAACTATTTAACCTTTGTTGTGTTTTAGGCATTTCATGTTTGATTCTTGAATTTATGGTTGAACGTATGTTTTGGAGGAATGAATATGATTCTTGGAAATTTGTATTACATAATCTACTTTAATATTATATAGCAATGGAAGTATCATTAAATACCGTCAACAAAAGACAATGAGAGAGTGTTTATTCTCTCTTACTTTTGGAGCTTAATGCTGTGAAAACCTTGCCCAATTTGAATTTCTTGATTAATGCATATTCTAACAACCAATAAGGAACAAAATATTGAACATAAGACATGAATCTGGCAAAAGTACCTCTGTAGACGTCCACTGGATCCTTAGAGCTCAATATGTCTTTGACTAACAATTCGGCATATTCATCAGCAGACATTGGATTGTTTCTCTTTGCCATCAATTGTCTATTTTGGAAAGCTTCGATACCTTCCTCAAAATTGAAGATAGAACCGGATGGCAATGGTCTAGTATCAGCAATGTTGGTGTTAACCCCACCAGTGATAGCGTTAATGACTCTAACATTGAATGGCTTTAATTCTAAATGTAAACCACGAGCATATTGATGAATAGCAGCTTTACTTGCACTGTAAATACTACCAAATGGGAAAGTAATAATACCAGCAATGGAACCTGTGAAAACGATAGTACCTTTTGCTCTAATTAAGAATTTTGATAATTCACGACACATGTTTACATGACCAAAAACGTTAACGTCAAAACATTGTTTCATAGCAGCATCAGTGACATCCAAAGCTGGGAAAGTACAACTTTGACCAGCATTGTTATATAAAACATCTAATTTTTGATCTGGCAATTCCTCAGACAATCTTTCCCTCAATTCCAAGATCTCTTCTTCATTTGAAATATCGATCTTTGTAGCAATGACTTTATTTGGATATAACCTAACCAATGGTTCGATTTCAAGAGTTCTTCTAGCACATGCATAAACTTTAAACCCTTTTGAAGCCAATTTTTGAGTTACTGCAAACCCAATACCAGAAGATGCACCAGTAACTAAAGCAATTCTCTCTTTTTCTTCAGACATATCTCCCAAACAATTGCAATTATTCCCTAACTTAAAGATAAACTTTTCACAAGTTCTACTTACTCTTTTATGAATATATTACAAGATCAAGAAACACTAGGAAACAAAATTTTTAGTCCTGAAATCAATTAAAATTAAACTTCAAGAAGACAAACTGAAACTAACTAAAAATAAATTAAAACTACAACTACTCTATTTATATTAATATCCAAGTTTCAAATTATACTAATGATTAGATCATTTTCCTAAGTTTTATATCAACTTGAAAGAATCTAGATGGTTTCCCATTTGTTCTTTCCATTTTGACCTTTATTTCCTTGTAGAGACATCGTTTCCAAAGGTGAAAAAGTGATGAAATCCATATTGAGCGATGAGACAGTGACTGAATTGGGCGATCAAAAGACTTAGTTTCTCCTATTACAACATTCGATGATCTCGACAATTTAACGTAAGGTTTGTTGTATTTGAGGATGAGGGTTTTTGGGGGAGACTGACTGTTGGAGAGGGATAAGTTTTACTTCGAGGTTGCAGTGGGGAGGGGGAAAATTGTAGTGGGGTGGAAGATTAAATGCTGCAATATCGAATCCTGATCATTCATCGAGTCGTGATTTAGAATTGGTGATATTGGTTTTGTTCAGAGATTGTAGTTAGCTTTCATTATTTAACGGGAATAATTAATTAAGGAGAAGAGAAGATAGGAATTAAGACTAAATTAATAATATAATGTTAAATAAATAAATAAATAAATTACATAGAATATTTTTTTTACATAAAACGATTACAAAAAAAAGAAAACGAGGATAGGATAAATAAACTGTAGATAATTCATGATAAAATGTAATAAAAGCAGTGATTAATTCGTTAATGATCCCTTAACTTTTTTTTTTAAAAAAAAAATTAAAACATATATAAGGGTAAGACGTTAGACATATACCTGGTGAGGATGAATTCGTTACTATATTACATTTAAGATTGGTTGAAAACATCCTTCAAGAATGATTCTTCTTCAGCTAAATGCAATGACTTGGAACCAGCAGCAACTGCACCACTTGGGTTTCTACCACAGTATCTCACAGCATGGTTCTTGTAATTGTTTGTTTCCTTCAAAGTAGTTTGTAATCTTGGAGATACGTAACCCCAGGAACCCATGTTCAATGGTTCTTCTTGGCACCAAACAATTTCTTCTAAGTTTGGATAAGAGTTTAGAGTATCACGCAATTGAGCAAATGGGAATGGATGCAATTCTTCGATTCTCAAGAATGCAGTGCTCTTATCGCCTAATTCTTCACGTCTCTTATGCAAAGCAGTGTACACTTGACCAGTCATTAATACCAATCTCTTGGTCTCTTCCTTTGTAGCAATTGTCTTACCGTGTTCACTATCTTCAATGATCCATTCGAAACCACCTTCAGTAAACTCCTCAATATTGGATCTGGCCAATGGATGACGCAACAATTGTTTGGAGAAGAACAAAATCAATGGTTTACGGAATTGACGATGTTGTTGTCTTCTCAAAATATGGAATAAGTTGGCTGGAGTAGTTGGGTAAACAACTTGGAAGTTACAGTCTTGGTGTTGTCTTTGTAATTTTAATTCAGATGGGAAATATCTTGGATCTTCGTTAGCCAATTGCAAAAATCTTTCTAATCTACCAGAAGAGTGTTCTGGACCTTGGCCATCATAACCATGTGGTAAGGATAAGACTAAACCAGAACGTTGCTTCCACTTTTGTTCACCACCAGCGATAAATTGATCAATAATAACTTGGGCAGTGTTGGCAAAATCACCGAATTGGGCTTCCCAAACAACTAAATAGTCTGGAGAGGTTAATGAATAACCATATTCAAAACCCATAACACCGTACTCAGATAATGAAGAGTTGGAGATAGTAAATTCACCTTGATCTTTACTTAGATGTTTCAAAGGAGTATAAACAGCCTCTGACTTTTGATCGTGTAAAACAGCATGTCTTTGAGAGAAGGTACCTCTTTCAACATCTTCACCTGAAACTCTGACTTGGTAGCCTTCTAAAACCAAGGACCCATAAGCTAATGCTTCACCGGTAGACCAATCAATACCTTTTCCTGTATCAACAGATTTACCTCTATTAGTTAAAATTCTCTTCAAATTCTTATGAACTTCAAAACCCTTTGGCCATGATGAGATGGCAGAACCAATTCCATTCAAGGTCTCAAGGTCGACATTAGTTGGGTTATGAGGCAAAATTTCGGTGGCCAATTCCTTTGGAGATTTGAAATTTTCCCAAGAAGCTGTTAACCATTCCCTTTGGCTTGGAACGTAGTCCTTGGCCTTGTTAAATGCTTCTTCAAATTTTTCCCAAACTTCTGTCTTTAAATCATTGATATTAGCTTCACTAAAGCTACCTTCCTTGATTAATTGTTCACTGTAAACGTCGATAACAGATTTTTGCTTGGCGATCTCCTTATACATCAATGGTTGGGTGAATGAAGGTTGATCAGTTTCATTATGACCATGTTTTCTCCAACCAACAACGTCAATGATAGCATCACTATGGAAAGTATTTCTCCATTCAGCTGCTAAGTTGAAAATGTAAGTAACAGCCTCAACATCATTAGCGTTAACATGGAAAATTGGTGCATCAAATGTCTTGGCGATATCAGATGGATATGGAGTAGATCTAGCAAATCTTGGATCGGTGGTGAAACCAATTTGGTTGTTTGTAATGATATGAATAGTACCACCAGTTGAATAAGCTGGTAAAGTTTCAAAACCCATAGTTTCATAAACGACACCTTGACCAGCAAAAGCTGCATCACCATGTAGCAAGACACCAATACACTTGGTTTTTGTTTCTAGATCATCCTTGGCGTCCAACAAGGCTCTTGTTCTACCTAAAACAACAGGATCTTGTGCTTCTAAATGAGAAGGATTAGCAACCAATGACAAATTAACATGCTTACCTGAAGTAGTTGGTCTTTGGTAGTTCATACCTAAATGGTATTTAACATCACCTGAACCTTCAATGTCATCTCTTGTGCTTGTACCTTTGAATTCTGAAAAGATAGATTCATTTGGCTTACGAACAACATTTGATAAGACATTTAATCTACCACGATGGGCCATACCTAATACAACATCTTCAACACCCAATTCAACTGCACGATCGATTAAAGTCTTAATACCTGGAACAACTGATTCTAAACCTTCAAGACCAAATCTTTTATCATTTGGGAACTTTGTTGATAAGAAAGTTTCAAAAGAGGTAGCCCAAGTTAATCTATCTAAGATCTGTCTCTTTTGTTCTACAGAATAGTTAAATGGGTTTGGTATTTCGATTCTCTCTCTTAGCCATTCACATTTTTGTTTCGAAGGAATATGAGTGTATTGAATACCGTATGATGAACAATACAATTTTTCCATTACAGAGATTATATCTCTCAACTTCATTGTAGTTCTACCATCTCTAGCATATCTTGGTAAAATACCTGGACCTAAGTTAATTTCTCTGTCTAAATCCTTTTCTGTGAAACCGTAGTATTGAATAGTCAATTCTGAAGGTACTGGCTTTGATTTGTCATCACCAAATGAAATTTTTAGAGGATCAATGTGAGCTTTTAAATGGCCTCTAACTTGATAGGCTCTACATAACAATTGAACTTTTAAGTGTAATCTAACATTTTCGTCAACATTTTCTGATAAACCACTACCAAAAGGTACTGATTCGGTACCAGTTGGAGAACCTATTAAAGTTGGTGGAGATTGGAATGCTTTTGATGCAGGAACATTTAAATTTTTCATATTTTTAAAATAAGCATTCCAAGATGCATGTACAGAAGTTGGATCCTTTTGCCAAGCTTCGAACATTTCATCAATATAACTTGAATTTACTGTTGACATAAAATCATCTGAACTTGAGGTAGAAGACGATAAACATCTTCTTGAAGAGATCAAAGGTTTTACCAATCTTGGAGCATTTCTTAGTGCAGGATTGGTTAAGACCCTTCTTGAAGTACTATACGATGTAACAGATGAAATTGCTCTTAACATTTTGTAATTTTAATTATTGTATCTAATAGGAGTAATATATTTAATAAATCAGGAATTTGAATTTTGTTTTCTTTTAATTGGAACAAAAGAGTGTATCTTGTTGTAAATTAGGAATATATTAGTGTCTGTTAATGGAATTTTTACTCAGGATGAAATTTTTTGGTACTAATTCTAATCTAACAAATGGGCAATTGGTGCAATTACGTGATTATTAGGGACCAAAAATGATTGTTGATTGTTGAATTATAGTAATTTAGTGATGGTGATGTGGAATTCCAGATCCTGGGATCTTGGTTACTCTCTATCTTGTAAAGTGTGTTGTATTACTTTATCAATCTTACTTAAACACCAGTCTTCTTTAATCAATAAATAAAAATTATTGTAAAGAAAAAAAAGCAACCCCTTATCGAAATTAAAATGCAGCCCAGTAGAGAGTTTCTTAAAACACAGGAAATGCAACGAGATTGATTATTCTTAAAACGTTATTAATCGATTGATGATTGGATTAATATGGTTTGATTAAAGTGAAAATCTAGAGAATTAATATGAATATGAATATTATTATATTTAAATTTAAATTTTCAATAAACCAAAATTAAAGTGTATTTATTTATTCTATTTTGTTTTATATTATTTTTATATTATTTTGTTTTAGCTTTTTAAAATATAACTCGTCGTGTTATTATGGACAAATATATCTATTTAACTAAAACTATCTTCTAGATTCTTGAATTTTGGATTTTGTTTCTAATTGGAAAGGTTTGCGTTAGAGGAAATAATCACAAAACAATGTTAGTTAAATAAAATTCAAATTGGAGTGTGAAGAAGAAGGATGGGGGGTTAAATAATGGTTTTGAAAAAGTAGCCGAAAGGTAAGGGATGGTTGCTATTGTAGAGTAAAAATATAGGTATTTTAACAGAAGGAGATTTTAAAGGAAAAAAGAACTTCGTAAGGCCCTTGAAAGTTATATAATTCAAGTGTATATATATAGGAATATAAATATAATTGCTTATGAGTATGGGAATATATATATATGTGTTTGTTTCTATAAGCTTGTATGTAGAGGTGTTTATCTGTAAGTGGATGTGTCTAGAGGTTTGTTTCGAAGTTGAGTTGTCTATTAAAAAGTATCGGAAATGGCAGAGGGAAAGAGAGTTTTTTTCAAATGTACTTGTCTTTGATCATTTCCAACAGAGAGGATTACCTAAAGAGAGTGACCTTTTTGAACAGGACCAGTCAGATCTTGAGTAAAGATGTAGTTCATGAGTTTGGCTAATAGAGAGAGATGGCAACAGCAAGAAAGAAAGAGAGAGAGTGTGTGTGTGTGTGTGTTTGTTGGTACTGGATCAATAGAGCTAGACAGAGATAGAGAGATAAAGAGACATGCAGTAGGCGAGAGAAGTAGGACGAGAAGAGAAGAGAAGCGATGCGGCATAGAACAAAAATAAGAGCAGTAATGAAATGACTCCATTGGCTATCAAGTTCCTTAACTTTCAATAACCTTTAATGAAAATGGTGAAGTTTTCGTTTCCTGGTACTTGAAAGAGCAAGAGCAGAGAAAAAGAAAGCGGGAAACCAATGAGAACCGAGCACTAAAATAAAACATCCGTCTCTTTTTCTTTTTTTTGCCTTTTTTTTCATTTTTCATTTTTCATTTTTGTGTTACTTTAACAAAAATCACAAAAACACTCAGTGGGGGATAGGAAAAGGAGGGGGGGCAAGAAGGCAGAATTGATCCCAAATACAATAACTTTCGAAACTGAGATTTTTGGTCACTTTCTTGCATTTGCAGTTTGTATGTAGTGTTTTTTATTTCTTTTTTCCTACTTCTTTTTTCACACATCTGAATTGAATCGTTTCAACACAAACTAAGCTATACTGTACTATACTATACCATTAATTATTAATGGCCACAAAAACTGGATAGACGAAAAACCCAATAGCGTCCAAGAGAGATGGTGTGAGTGGAAAGAAGGGGGAGAGAGGAAAGAGAACGGCAAACGGTATGGTGATTTGTATGGCTTCTGTTTTCTTTTATCGTATGCATATATGTCTCACTAAATACGATTTTAGGGGAGTTGTGAGAAAAAAAAGGAAGAACAAGCGATATCGCTCGCTGGATGTCTCATTTTACTCATGAGGTTTGTCTTGATATGTAATGTCTCCAGTAGCATGAGGGGAAGAGACGCCAGCCAGCTTGGTAAAATTTTGTTGAATGGCTCGGAACCGATGCCGGGAATTGTCTCTGGAAGAGACAATTATGCGTCGTTCTCTTGCTTGCCACACCTGTCAGTTGTCGATTATATTGTATATTGTTTATTGCTCTATTCAATGTCGTTATATCTCAGGGGCCGACGGGAGAAACAGATGGGGGAAACGAATTAAAATAAAGAAACCAAAGAGAAAGAATAGTAATAACGGCAACCACATAAAACCATTTGTGTGTCGCTATGGGGAGGAAACTCGGTCAGTGAGAGAGGGCAGCGGCATTTCTCGAATTGCGTTCATCGGAATTGGATTCTCATTGGTCAAAATCAAATTCTTTGTTCAAAGGAAATTTTGAATAGAAACGTGACAACTTCCTCGTGTATATTGATAGATTTTGGGTTTATGGATTTACGTATGTTTCTTTCTCATCTCAGTTTATAATTAATTATTTGCATAGGGGACAGCGCTAATGATGGCTACAACAGTATGTGTGACTAGTTAAGTTATAAAATGAAGGAAAAAAAAGAAGAAACAAAAAAGAATTATCTATAATTGGCTTTATTGTATTATTGTTACAGGCTTTTTAATATTTATATATAGATACATTTATATGTACATCTAACAACGGTACTATTTACGTGGGAATGAAAAGGCGGAAAAATATATATACTTCAGTAATTCAATGATCGACTATATCTCGGTATAATGTAATATAGTATAGCATAATATTTCTTTCATATACCACCCTAATTTGAGTTGTCTTTGAACCATTTATCGACGTATTCGTCCAATTTAACTGCGTCATTGTAAACCCAGGATCCAGGCTCGTTGTAAAACTTGGCATTTTCAAACATTATATGTAGATCTTCGTGAACTTCTTGAATACTCTTATATTGACCACTTTTACAGCTTTTTAAAACGGTATCAATAGCAACAGGTTTCTTAATAACTGTGTAGTAATCAGGATATAATCTCTTGGAGGGTAGCTTTTCAAATATTGCCGTTAATTGATGCTCGTCTCCTTCGTCGAGAACTTGGCGCATGGACTTCACCAATTCGTCGATTTTAGGTGTAAATTCGCATGAGGAACTCTTCCTTCCTTTCTTACCTTTAGGTGTATGATTAATTTCAGCTCCTCCAGATTCAACCTTAGTTGTAGAGTTCTCCTTCTTACCCTTCTTCACGTTGTTCACCTTTTCAGTAACATCATTGGCAACAACCTCATTAGTTGCAACTTCATTAGCTACAGGTTCATCGATTACAGCTTCTTCACTAACATTATTTTCTTTTCTCAATTTTAGCTTAATCTTTAATTTAGGCTTTTTAGCTTCTGGTTCAGTACCAGCAGCAACTTCATCCTCTGGGGGCTCTGATGGTAATCTTCTCTTTCTTGGTCTACCAGGTAATCTTTTAGGCGGAGCAGGTTCAACTTTAACTACTTCATCTACAATTTCATCTTGCAATAATGGTTCTGGAGTGTTCTCAATTGTACCAACTTCATCGCTGTCTTCAGTTTTACGCTTTCTTTTTTCTCTTGCAGCACGTCTCTTATGAATGGCTTCTTCTAATGTAACGCTCTCATCTTCAACAGCTTGTAAGAATTGTTCTTCAGTTAACCCATCATCATAGTAAACTCTCTTCTTTTCTCTAACTCTGCCAACTGCAACAGGTTCGACTTGTAAATGCTTAGTAATATCTTCAGTAAATACTTCTGGAAGTTCATCAGATTGAATTAATCTTGGCAATGCTTGTTTCAGACCTTGGGCCTTAGCTTCAGCCTTTTCTGCTGCCATTCTATCTTGATCAATTTTATCAAATAACACTTTTTCCTCTTCGGAACGAGCTAAAATCTCATTCAATTCCTCATCATCCATTTCAGCATCGTCTTCTTCATCTTTTGGAGTTTCATTTTCAAGTAATCTTCTTAAGAATGCTTCTTGTTCTTCTGCGGTAGATTTGTTATCAAACTTACCTGCTTGGATAACCTTACCATCAATATCCAACTTTTGCATAGCCCTTTCAAGAATAACTTCTTCCACGGAATCAGTTGTAATCAATCTTAAAATTCTGACCTCATTCTTTTGACCAATTCTGTGAGCTCTATCTTGTGCTTGTAAATCTTGATGTGGATTCCAATCTGTATCAAAAATAATAACAGTATCAGCGGTTTGTAAATTCAAACCCAAACCACCAGCTCTGGTAGATAATAAGAAACAGAAATAATCGGAATTAGGGGCATTAAATACCTTCAACATATCCGTTCTGTCCTCAGCTTTGGTTGCACCATCTAATCTCATATACTTTAAGTCTCTCATTCTTAAGAAATCTTCCATAATATCCATTACTTGAGTCATTTGGAAAAAAATCAAGACTCTGTGACCAGAAGCTTTAAATTTTGGAAGAACACGATCTAGTAACTCAAACTTACCTGACACACGGTACAATAAAGTAGAGTTTCCTCTAGTAGGATTGACAACACCTTCAACTTCATCAAAAACGAAAGGATGATTACAGATCTTCCTTAGTTGCATAATCTTGTTATTCAAACCTTTAATACCACCCTTTGTAGCACCTTCAGTACCAGCACCAACAAAAAGAGCATTGTGGTTCAACATTTGTTGGTACAGTTGATGTTGTAAACCTGATAACTTACATTTAACAACCTTTTCGATCTTATCAGGTAAGTCCTTTTCGACTTCTTTCTTTAAACGACGTAGTAAGAAAGGTCTTAAAACTTTATGCAATCTTCTGATAATCAATAACGCCTCTTCTTCTGTCAATTCTAATTTCTCTTGACCACCGGTATTAGCAAATGGAGTATTGAACCATTCGTCAAATGTTTTAGCTGAGTTGAAAATTTTTGGTAGAACGAAATTTAATAGTGCCCATAACTCTGGTAAATTATTTTGCAATGGGGTACCAGTCAAAATCAATCTGTTCCTAGTACGGTAGTAATGTTGGATTGTATATGATAATTTAGATTGAGCATTCTTCATTCTATGACCTTCATCGATAATCATGTGGGCCCAATCATATTTGGACAATAATGAACGGTCTTTAATGATATATTCATAGGTCGTTAATAGCACATCAAACTTACCTGATCTAATTTGGTTTTGAAGAACTTTTCTCTGGTTTGGTGTACCTTTATATATAATTGTTGTTAAACTTGGTGCCCATTTTTCAAATTCTAAAGTCCAGTTGGTGATGGTTGATAATGGAACTATGACTAAAAATGGACCTGTTTCTTTCTTAACTTCATACAAATAAGTGATTAAAGAAATGGATTGAATTGTTTTACCCAAACCCATTTCATCTGCTAAGATACCATTTAAATGGTTATTATATAAAGACACCATCCATTCTAAACCTTTGATTTGATATTCCTTTAAGGTACCACCAACAAGAATTGAAGATTGCTTTTCTATCTTTTCCTTAACTCTATGAGCAACTTCATAATAATCAACATTTTCTCTCTCTTCGTCCGTAATAGGAGTAATTTCTTCACCATGAAGGGCTTTAGCTTCATTTTGTTGCACTCTAACCGCTTGAGATAAAGAATCCAAGAATGTGTTAGTTTGCTTCAACAATTGTGTAATTCTTGTATCTTTTGTTTGATCCAATAATTTCAAATAGGCTTCTTCATCGTTAGATTTCAAAGCTGCTAAACGCTGTTTGGCAGTCTTTTCAATTCTCTTTTGTTCATCTTTTTCTATTTGAGTATGTAATGATTGGAAGATTCTACCAAATTGAGCACCACGATCACGTTTTGTCCATTTATTTTCCAAGTTTTCTTGAACTGTTTCTATTATATCATTTAATTTCTTCATATGCAAATTACGTTCAAGCTTTCTTTTTTCCAATAACTGTTGTCTTTCAAGTTCTTCTGCAAGTCTGACTGTTTGTGGTACATTGACTTTACTTCTGACTTGGACTGCTCTTTGAGCTGCCATTGTAAATGGGGAGTCACGGAATTGGGGAATATTATGATGGGCTTGATTTGTTACATTGTGTATTAATTTTTGTCTCAATGACTTTTGTTTTGTTAATAACTTCAAGCACTTCAATTCAATTAATGCACTAATTTTCAATTTATCAATACTTGAAGGAATATCACTTTTGGTTACAAATTCTAATGCATCTTCTAAATCATATGTACCTAAGTTTGCAGGCAATCTTTCTAGTTCGCCTATTCTTTTAGCTATGCGGGTGGATATATTTGATTCAATTTTATAATGTCCTAATTTATTTTCTGGCATGTTTGAAATTTTTGAAGACAGACCCAAAGCTTTGGATTTTGATTCAAAATCCAATGAAATTTTTATTGGTTTGAATAACTTTGAATTCTTTGTTTCATTTATTTCATTAACGTTTTCTTCATTAACATCATCATTATTGTTGGTAGTAGTGGTAGTACTGCCATTAAAACTTTCTTCATTGGGGAAGAAAGATTCTAATAGTTCTTCAGGGAAGTCTAAATCTTTTTCGATAAGTTTCAATGCTAATAATTGTTTTTGTAAGATTTCATCATTATATTCCATTGATTGATCATTTTTAAAGTTTCTCAAATCATCCAGATTTTTCAAATATTGATCTTGATCATACGAGATTTTACGCAATACGTTTTCGATGGCGTTAATTTCGTATTTGTTGTCATCAGGATAATCTAATATAGCTTTGTATCTATATATAAGTTGTTGTAACTGTCCTGTGGTGTTAGGCAATGGTATTTTAATATCTTCTACTTTTACAGTAATTTTTCCGTTTAAAAGTGGTTGTTCCGCCACTATTCCAGTTTGCAGCTGTGGTTGTGGTGGAGTCGGTTGTTGCTGTTGCTGTTGCTGTTGCTGTTGCTGTTGTTGTTGGACAACATTGGTGCTTGGGGTTGCAGTAGTTACGCTCATGTTCTGTTGTTGTGTTTTTTGTTGCAATATGTTTGTGGATATTCTAATCGAAACAAATCAAATCAAATCAAAACACGGTCGGTCTATAGCTAACTTGTGTGCAAGAGAGTGTCTCTGATTGGATTTATTCTTTGTGTACTAGAACCCAAAAGGAATAACAAATAGTATTTCTTTGTCTCCTCACACTAACAATAAGTATAAAACAACTTTTATTTATTACTATTCTTTGGATGTCACCAAATAAAAGTTTTGCACCAATTAGTCTTGGTTTTAAATTATCTTTCTAATAGTTTATTTGTAAACGTAACGTAGTGTAATGTAATGTGATGTTCCTGTACCTCTTTTCTATATGTGTCGAAGTCACTTTACTTTACTTTACTTTACTCTACTCTACTCTACTCTACTCTACTTTACCGGCAGTACGCTAACTTGTGAATTTATTTTTCCTAGTGTATTGTATGGTTTGGTATACTGTGTATAAACTATCTATATCTTCTGTTATTTTTCTCTAAAAGAAAAATTCAAAACCTCTTTTTGTCTTGTGACTAGCAGTAAGTATTTCAAAGACACTGGACTGAAAATGGCTTTGAAATAGTTAGATCGGTTTAAAAAAACAGGAAACAATAGTATCTTTTCGTGTATAAACAATCTGATGTAAATTTCAATGTTTAAATTTCCATATGTTAACGTAGTGGAACGAAATAAGCTTTGTAAATTTCAATATCAATATCAATATCAATATTGGTTGGGTTAGGTTAGGTGTATAATGTTTTATTTTTTTTCCTTTAGCTCTCTCTCTCTTTGTTTGTTTCTTCTCTCAGTTGGGCGATGGAAAATTTCGTCCAAAAAAACAAAAAAAACAGGAAAACAGGAAAAAATGATGGCCAGAGACAGAGAAAGTGGTGGAGAAGCACCACACACCACCTAAACATGTATGTGTCATTGCAGACGGAAAAATGGTCGACGACAACAAACGTTCGTGGTGGATGATGTTTGGTCACGTGTAATAAAAAGAAACGGTATTGTGGTGTTGTGAGGGTAACTGTCATGTGACACATCTTCAACCCTTTGGTATGAACTCTTTTGAGATGAGATGAGATGAGATGAGGTCTGGAGATTAGGTGGTTTCGACTGAGGTTGTAGTGTTTATGTTGCATACTGTGTTATAAAGTATGTTGGTTCTATAGGACCCTTCTAATTGTTTATTGTAATACTTGGTCATTGCAATTGATTGATTATTAGTTCATGGATTTTGTTTAAATTCATAAGGAACCGGATCTGGTTCAATCAGGATTCTTAACCAAAGCAATTGACATATTCCAATTATTTAAAACATTTTCACTATATAAAAGAATGTCCAGTTTAAATATATTAAATAACATATCAAATAAATATTATAAAGCTTGTTTCGCTGCTTATGTTGGCGATTTTGATAATTTTTATAAGAATTTCATTGGTACTGAATTAGTATATTTTCGTGGATATAAGGATGATGAAGTTAAATTGGGAGAGCTTGATTTAAATAATGCTTTAACTTATTATATTTCCAGAGGTTGTAGGTTTAGTTTTACATTTGCTTATAAATTACGAAATTCGGGTATTGCTTTGAATAAATATATCTTGAGGAATATTTCAGCTAGATTTATTATGAGTAATTATTTAGATGATGATGTAGTTAAAAATTATGTTCCTGCTTGTATTTGGTATCCTAATATCCCCTTGAAAGAAACTTGTTTGAAATTGATTAAGATAAATGATTTATATAATTATTTAGTTTATTTTATATGTGTTTTTAATAGTTGGAATGATGTTTATTCTAGTTTAAATTTAGTTCAATTGTTTCGTTCTAGTATTTCATTGGCTAAAAAATTCAATAATTATGGTATGTTGAATTTTTGTAATGAAGATGATATAATTGATTCTTCTTTTAATAATAGTTTTATAAAATTTGGTAATCATTTAACGTATAATAGAAAAGTAAAAGATGTAGATAGTGATGATATTTATATTAATCATTTTTTCTCTCAAAAGGTTTTTACTAAATATAATATGAGTTTAATTCATGATGAATTATTAGAGTATTCTTGGGATGAATATGATTCTGATTGTTATATGTTAGATAAATTTGATAATACTTTAGGGTTGGGATTTTTAGATTATAATCAATTGGATCAGAATATAATTTATAATGAATTATATGAAACTTCTTTGAATTTAGAATATTATAATCTCACAATTGATCGATAAGGACAATGCTTTAAATAACAGTTTATTTGCTTGTTATGTTGTTAAAAATTTAGATGGTTTTCCAGATATTGTTATTAAGAATGCAGTGTCTAATTTATTAATTAACGGTGTTTTTTGTGAGGAATTGGTTATAAAATATAAACCCTTTTGGTTGTATAATAATAGTAAGATTATTTGTTCTGATTTTTTGGGGGCTTATTTATTGAAATATTTTAGTAAATATCAGGTAGTTTTGTTATATATCATAGAAGGGTATAATTATTATTATAATTCGATTAAAGATGAAATAGATCCAGATATTGATGTATATAAATATGCTTTATTTTTTAATAATGATGAAATTAAGTCTCATCAATTGGAATTGGCAAATAAAAAAGGGTATTTTCTAAAACATCTTGATTTTGAAAATGAAGTTGTTTTAGACACACCTCTTAAACTTTATTTGGACGATATAGATCTTAATGAAACTTTAGATCATCATCCGTTATTTAATTTTGATAAATCAAGTTTTATAGACATTAACAACTTTGCCAACAAATGATATTATATAGCATATTTAAACTTATTTAAATTGGAAACATGTATCTTCTTTATTTATTTTTAAAGTACTGGCTATTTCATTAATTTCAGTACCTGTTTTTATTCCTTTGAATATAGATCGATCCAAACAATCCGAATACCGCTGTCACAACATCTATTAGCTTGCCTATAGCCAGTGTTGTATTAGCCATTAAACCAGTTCCTGGTTCTAAGTGTACGGCCAATACACCAATGACACCAAAAACAATTTCTAGAATTTTTAATATTTTACATTTTTCTAAATATATTTCTTCTAGTTTACATATATCATAAGTGTGTTTAGCAATATCTCTATTTTCACCATAAACAAGTAAATTACGTCATCTCCTAAAAATTCTGCAATTTCGTCATAAGGAGGACCAGCTGTACCGTCAATATCTTGTTTAGTACCCTAACTAGTTCAAACAATATCCCCTTCATTTGAATTAATAAAATCTAAGCCAGAATTATAGTCTTTTAAAACATCTAATGAAACGTCAGAATTAACAGTACCTTCATTGACTCCATATTTAATATCAGAACTCAAATATTTAGCAAAGTGTGTAACTCTATCGGGGGTTATTAGTGAAATCAAAAATAATACCACAATTATTACTTGGATCACCAGTCATGTGTAACCCATCTATTGATTCTTATCAACATATATGAGACCGTCAGAACCTACCCATAATAGGAACTACTTTTACCATTCTTCTATAACAATCAGCATCCACCTTGAACATTTCTTTTCTTACAGGTACACTATCCGTGTTACTATAGCTACTATACAGCATATTATGTTAGTGCTCTTGCATTCCAAATCAGATTCACGTGATGTCCCCGATCTTGCCCAAGACATCCAAAAATACCATCTATAGTGCACTCTGTACTGTATGGATGGGGTTAGAAGCCATCTCTTGTCCATGATTTATATTCTCTAGCAGTGGTCATTGTGGACGGTAGTTTCTTTTTTGCTTTTCTTGTTTTCAATCTCGTGATCACGTGTTCGTTCCCAATGATCCCTCGATGTTGGAAAAACTAATTAGCCGAACTGTGATATCGAAATGGATTGGTGAATTATCACCACCAAGAAAAATGAGATGAGATGAGATGAGATGAGATGAGATGAGATGACCTAACTTGATTGCAGATATCAATATATATACAGTTATATATATATATATATAGATGACACTTTTCAAGGTTCAGATTTAGGTAGAACAACATATATTCGTCATTGATACAGATAACCAGTAATCTAACTTGGTGTCGTGGAATTTGGACTACACTATTACATCACTAAAAATGTCATCTACTGGGAAAGCTACAGAACTGCAAGCCACTATGGCTGTCAATAGCCTCCTTTCAAACATCTTACCTGGTGCAAATAAAATGAGAAAATCAAATGACAACAACAATAATAAGAAAAATTCAAAAGGAACTTCAAAAGCACAACTTATCGATCGTAACCTGAAAAGAAATTTGGAAATTATGGATTTGGATACCCATAAGTTTACTAAAAAAAATAAAATTAAGAAAAATAAGAAAATTAAGAAAAATGTCATAAAACAAAATGAATTAAAAGAAATTGCAGATTTAGAAATCTTTAAGAAACACAAGATTGAAAACAATTTGACTCTAAGTGAAAAAAAAAAATTAAATAAAATCATTTCAAAAAATTTAAATAAGATTAAATCAAGAGAACTAGATTCCGACGATCAAGAAGAACTAGACGACGTCCAAAAATTTATACTGGATCAAACTTCAAATTCACAATCATATAATAAATCAAAGAAGAGAAAAACTAGAAGAAAGGAATTCAAAGAATTCAAAAATCCTGATAAAAATTCATCGATGGACCATAGATATCCTGGTTTGACACCAGGTTTGGCTCCTGTTGGTTTAAGTGATGAAGAAGATTCTAGCGATGAAGATGATGATAGAAATGACTACTAATAGATAAACTTACTCACTCACATATATACCTATATTTATATATAATATCTGTATATGAACAATTTCTGTACATTAATAAAAAATTCTAATAAAAGTCAAGATAGATACACTATTCTTTTAAATGCATATATTGCGATGCGTCGAGATAATCAATGTTGTACGGTTGGCTGCCCTAATTCATAAAACTTTTGTCTAGCATTCACACACTGTCTGCGGACAATTCTTTTGGGATCATCCAAAATAGGAACTAAAGAACGCAATACTTCATCTTTAACTGCTATTGAATAATTTAATGGTACAGTGGCGGCAAGTATTTGAAGTAATTCTAATGCTAATAACCTAACTTTAGCAATGTTAGAACTATGCTTATTCAATAATTTCAATGTTAATGGAAGGATAGAGTTGAAATATTCTGTGATCAACACACCGTTTTTCTCTGAAGAATGAATTAATGTTTCTAATGCTGATATTTTAACTTCGGAGTTAGGCATGTCTAGCGCTTCCAGAATTAGAGGGATAAGTTCTCTTAAAAATGGTTCCACCAAAGTATTGGAAATATGTTTTAGGATCAATGATAGAGCTGTCAAGTAATTACTCTTCAATGAAATATCAGATTGCTTTTTAAATTCGCCTAAAAGAACATGGAAAACATCATTGAAAAACTTTTGCTTATATAAAACTTTAATGTTATTACTCCACGATACGTTCTTATACGTTTTGAATGAGTCTATATCAACAACAAATATTTCAAATAATTTTGCAACAAAAGAGCCAATTTTCTTATCACTCAATAATTCAATAAATCTTCTCAGATATTCTGGTGCTATCTTTGAATTCTTCATAATTAATCCCTTGGTGATCCAAATATTAATTTCTAGGTTTGGAATCTCTGAATTATCCCATCTGATGAAATCATTAATAAATGATTCGTCAATCCATTTATTGCTTAGAACCATCAAAAATTCCAGGTATCCGAGTTTCTCAAAATCTGTAAATTCATCATATCGGCTGGATAAAAGCTTTGCTGTAGTTTCAAAATATATTGTAGAATCATGGAATTCGATCTTCTTATCTAAACTGGACAAAAGCTTTGAGTACAATATCATATACCTGGAAGGTTTTTCTAGAATCTGATATTCCTCAATTAACAATGTATTGTATTTTAAAAAGTCTGACTGGTGTAACTTACGAGAACATTTCAATTGCATAAAAAAACAAATTGTTGAAAGTAATGAAAAGTTTAAATCATCTTCGTAAATTGATTTGTTTTGTAAGATGCTCTTAAACACTGAGTCTTGTGTGTGTGCTTTGATAAAATCAGCATCATCTTCTGTAATTATGGTTGTGTTGTTCTCATATAATGAGTACAATGTAGAGATTAGAAGAAATGAATAGTCCTTTGTACCTTCTTTTGTGCTAATATTACATATCTTATCCGTAATGTAACAAATGCTCTCTTTTACCAGGATATGCCTTGAATTAGTATAATCCAGGATAACCTTACATATAATTTCTTTGGATACTAATTTATCAGAACCAATTGTTATCGTATCTGATGGGTTATCTGGTAACAAAGTCAGCATTCTCTTCAATGAAACTTCAAATACAATATTTTCATAAAATTCACTAATTACCTTTAAGCCTTCGAGTGATGCATAGTAAATATTTTTATTTCCGTCTGTAAGTATTGTTTCTGTTAAATATTGGACTATAAGCGACACCTCTTCGGAAGTCAAATATCCCTTCATTTTTACCAATTTGGTGAATTGGATTACCGCCAACGTCCTTAAAGTAACTTCAGCATCTGAACTTCCAGTCAAAGCTTTACTTAAAATCATTAATAGCTCATCTCTGTAAGGTTCTAGAGAATTCTCAGCGACTTTTTCTTCAATTGTTTTCAAATTAGATGAACCATATACGGAGATATATGAATCAAAAAAGAATGAAAGATTCATTAAGATCAATTTCAATTTAGAGACTTCAGAAGTGTTTGTCAAAAATAAAGGTAACACACTCTTAATAACCGGATTGAAAGCTTCTTGGCTAGTACTAGCAATTGCTGCTAGAATTGTGCAACTTTGCTTCAAATCTTTATTGTTACTAAAGTTTGGTTTTAACTCTTCAAAAATATGTTTATAAAATTTTTCAAAAGCACTTATTTCAAAATTTAATAGGGCTGAACTTAAACTTTTTATTACAGATAGTGCCAAGATGTATGGATTATCTGAACTTCTAATATCCTCATTAATTTGGTTAGGTAGAACAACTCCGACATCACCACCTTCACTATTATGCATTAATTCAAACTTCAAAGCGTTCCAAATTGGTAACCACTCTTGAAGACACAGTTTACCCCCAAAATTATCAATACATGCAGATAAAGTTTGTAAAGTATCACATTTAACATTTGGTGAAGTAGCAGTCAACTTATCAATCAAATTTCCAAAAGCATCTTCAGCAAACAGTGGAGTGGCAGCAATTGAAGATCTTAAAGAGAACTTTAATTCTTCACTTGATATATTATACGGATCATTTTTAGGAGGTGTAAAGGATATAGGAAAGTAACAGAATAGAACGTCAAAAAGGTCTTCCTTAAACTCATCGATGTTGTTGAAGGAAGTAGTGATAATTTTATTCAATCTAAAGGAAATAATTAAATTACGGGGATCTTTTTCACCTGATGCTATATGCAAAAAACAATTGATGTATAATTTAGTTAGTTCAATATTATTTGTGTATTTTTCACCAAATTTGGTATAAATGTCTTCCAATATTTTAAAAGTTTTATATCTTATTGCCGCCAGATATTTGTCATTTGAATATTTTTCAGAAATGAGGCCCAAAATATCTTTACTCATATCAATTGAGCTATTCTTCATTGAGATCAGGGAATCGAAGCCTCCTAGAACGTCATTCATCAATGCATCATCTTCGAACTTTGATTTATAAAACTCAAATATGACTGGGACTTCATTTGGTGATAAAAGTTCCTTATCCAGTCTCTCTAGAATGTCAGAAAGGCAACGTAAAGAATTTTTTCTACTAGATTCTTCTTCAGAAGTGAATCCATCCTTTAACGCCATTATAACAGCTATCAGCTTTATCTCTTTCGAGTTAATGGATTTTGCAATATCAGAGGAAATTTCCTCTGCCTTAGCATCATTATTACCGAGATTAGCAATATAAGACGTAAGCACACTGTCCAATTGCATTTTTAGATTCTTGAATACTTTGAGGGTAATCTTGTGAGGCTGTGTATATCTAATTTCAACTCTTATAAATATATCATAAAAGTAAGCTCAAGCAACTGTTTAAATTTTTTTTTTATATGACTAAGCTAATTTTCATGTAATGGGAAGCTTAAAAAAAATAAGGTTTTAACCATAACATGATAAAATGCCAGTAGCAAGAGACAGAAGACAGATAAAATTAGACAAATGAGGTTGGCAAAATTGATTATATATGAACATTATACTGTAATTGATTAATTATAGTTGGTTGATCGATATACTTTGAATAAATCTTTCCCTTAGAGTCTTTGAATGTAATGAATTTAGTCAACTATAAGCTTGATGACTTCAACAGATTATAAACGGTTTAAAAACCAGAGAGAAGTTTCAATGGGAACCCAAGTTTTTAAGGTTCTGGTCTCTTAGTAGTATTTTTTATTCAAAATTTCCAATTGCAACAAATTTTTTAAATCCTTTTCGTTAATATATTTATTGAATTTAACATTTTGTTTTAAGAAATATGTATTCCTTACATTAAAATTAAAAATACTGTTGAAAAAGGTTAATTGGAAGAATATTTTATTAAAAAAACTATATATCAATATATAATTCAATATCTTATCAAATGTTAAAATAATAAATTTCCAACCTAATAATTAAATGCATTTATTAACTTTTGAGTCTCTCTAATTATTGTTCCCCATTTGGTTTATTCCAACATTACCAGAACCCGATGGTTCTACTTTATCATAAAACATAATACCTAGTTGATTAAATATATCAGTCATGTAGCCATCAATTGGTGGTTGTATTGAATTTTGACCTTGTATTTGATCCTGGGTTTGTATTAGATTTTGCCTGTCTTCTGGAATTACAAAATTAGTTTTAGAAGAGGCATTTGATATTGTTTGCGTCAATGGGTTATTGATCTCTTGTTGATTGTTCACCAAAGATTGATCAAATACAAAAATATTGTTCATGCCTGCAGTTTCCTCTTTTATAATCGGACTTTTACTTTCCTTAATGGAAGGTGGGTTTAATTCTGGAGAACTTTGATTTGTTGCAGTTTTGAATAATGTAACAATTTCTTCTGGAGATAAATTTGAAACTGAAGGGATTGGTGAAGGTGTAAATGCCGCAGGCTTTAGCTGTGGCATATTCCTATAATAATCGTTACTATTCATTAGCGGAATATTCGAATTATTATTCTGGTAAACATCAGGTGAGGCACTTTGGATATTTTGTGCCACCTGAATATTTTGTTGTTGAGAATTATTCATCGAAGTTAACTTAATTGTTTTGGAGTTTAACCTCTCGAACAGTTTATTTAACAAATTATATGTTCTATTGGCAGCAGAACTCGAATCCTTAAGTTTAACTAATATTGATCTACCTATTTCAGCATCTTGTAAAATCCCATAAAATTCCTTTGCCTCCTCTTTATTCGTTGGCTGAGCTTCATGCATGTAGTACAACAGGCCCGCAACAGAATAGAATAATGTATAATTCCCATACCAATAAGATCCGGATAATAAACCCTTCGATATCATGTCTTTGGCTAAATGAATCACTGTTCTGGATACAGTAATTGAGTTTTTGGCCCTTTGCAATGATAAATTATCTGGTTTAGTTCCCAAATTTTTAGATAGGTAATGAATGAAAGGTCGATATAGAATAATTTGCACTTGTAAAAAGGTCAAATGTAAAAGGCTTCTTCCACTCATCATTTTATCAGATACTGAACTTGGTCCTGGTTTCAATTGCTGTGGCAAACTTTGTATCCAGTTTTCTAGACGCATTTCTAATTGTGTGACAGTTTCATGAGATACAATATTATTTGACTTCTTATTAGGGTATAATTCTTTAGTGATGTCAGCCAAAATCAACATAAGCTTGGTATGATAATTTGCTATGGCCGCACTTGATACCTCTCCATTTTGTTTATCTGGAAAATACCCTTCTTCTGTTATATTTTCATCTGAAAGTTCGACTGGTAAAACCTGATCAAAGTCAGCAGAGCTTAAAGATTTTGGTAACCCTAGCATTGAATTAAGATATAGGTCACATTTATAAATTGTGTAAAAAACCCTTTTTCTCATTTCAATATCTAGAGGGTTTAAATTAGAACTCTTTGGATTGACAAATCTATGTAGACCTTCTCTCAATGCGTTTCTTAATGCAATACCAATATATGAATAACAATTAGATAGCCTTGCCGAAAATTGCAAAAATAAGAATAGCATAATGATGGTTTGAATCGAAGTTAGATCTCTTGCGTTAGTTATATCTATCAAATTTCTTGCAGCGACAAAATATTTATAGCCTTCATCTTGAAAATATGCAGTTTCATCAGGTTCCTTAGTTTCATTTGCATTTGAATTTGCATTTGAATTTGCATTTGCATTTGTATTTGGTTTTGATTTTATTTTTGATTTTGATTTTGATTTTGATTTTGATTTTGATTTTGAACTCGAATTTTGTTTGTTAGTTTTTCTGTTCCCTCCATTCAGGGTTTTAGAATTTTGATTAGTTGCTAAGTTTGATGTAGAGTTTGGTGTTGAAATATTCATCTCATTTGGAGTATGTTCATTAGCAGTCCTATCATTAAAATTAAAACCTTCGTTATTATGTAAATTTTCATTAGAATCGTTGTATTTATTGTCATTAAAGTTAGAATTTACATTATCCCCATTTGATTTTTCTTTGAAGTTTAATTGATTCAATGAATAAATATTTCTAGTAAACAGGGCACCTACTGCCATTGTTGCATAGAATAACGGTAAAAAATCAAATTGTTCTACTGTAAAGTTCTCCGGAGACGTCTCGTATAATGAATTTAATTTTTTAATAAAAGTTGGTCTATGATAAAATCTAATTACGACACAACCATAGTCCCAACAATTTTTCATAAATAACAAGGCAACCTTTAATGGTGGTAGCATTAATTTTTGTCCAGGACTTGATATAGGATATGTTGAATTATTTGGCATGGAATCTATAAGTGGGGAATTTGTCATTAATGGCATTAAGTTTAAATTTGCAGATAAATTATTATATTCTAAAATAGTAGAGTTCAAATTTGAAATAAATTCACCTTTTTTATTTGAGAACATAGTTCCGAATATTGTAGTATCAATAGATTCTAAGTCTGGCAATTGTGGTAATATTGTTTTTAAGAATTTTTTATATTTCCAAATCATATTAATGTTTTTGTCTACCAAACTTTCTTTGTTCATTATATTTAAGCTTGTAATTTGGTTATGCATCATATTTAAGTTATTATTTTTAAAATTTGAATTCATTGCAAATGAATTTGGTTGTAGTGTTACAGGGATATTATCAATATTATTATTGTAGTTGTAATTGTCATTATGGTTGTTGTTTGATGGAATGTTCTCATTTTTATTTGCTAGGTTCTCACTGCTATTCTTCAAGTGTTGTAAATTAGAATTTGATCTCTTTGATGGTTGATTATAAGTACAGTTGTAAGAATAAACAGTACAATGTATACAGGGCTGTTGGCCATCACATTTCACTTTTTTCTTTCTACATTCATCACAAGCTCGTGTAACCCTTCTTCGTTTAGGCTGTTGCGATGAGCCAGTGTCACTTGTATTTATATTATTGTTATTTGAATTTATATCAATACCATGTTTAACTGACATTTTTTTTAATTAACTCAAAAGGCAAAATACGAGATAAAACACAGTGCCTTGTTTTTCTTCCTTTCTAATTTATATTTCTGTCCCCTTTGTTGTCGCTGAGCCAATGTAATATTGCTTTCAAATAGGTATTGATGTATATATTAATAAATATACTCTTGAATGGGTGAGTACCTTAAAGTATCAAAATTTCCTTTCTATATATCTATAGTTCTAAACTTCCCCAGACCTAGGAAATAATATAGCAACGGCAATGGGCGTGATCAATTAATATCAAAGTTAGCCATATATTCTCGAAACATATACTTATACCAACAGTAAAATTCGAGGAGATACTAACTACTAACCAAAAACGTTATCGAAATAATGTATGTATATAAATCAACAATGAATGGTAATGTCGAAATCTGATTTAGATACATGATGGATGATATAAGTTTAAATTCTCGATAATTTTTCTTTTTCTTTTCCTCTCGAAAAAAAGTTCTCGAGCCTGAGCCCAGAAGAAACCGAAACCGAAACTGTAACAGGAAGAAAAAAAAGAAAAAAAAATATCAAAACCAGAAATTCGAGAAGGCAGACGAGAGATCAGTGCATATTTTGTTTGTTTGTTTGTTTGTTTGTTTGTTTGTTTGTTTGTTTGTTTGTTTGTTTGTTTGTTTGTTTGTTTGTTTGTTTGTTTGTTTGTCGCTTTGTTTGTTAAAACTAAACTTAACGAGTAGTAAATAATTGAATGATAAAGAATGATGGTAGTACTCAAATGGATACAACATAGAGATACATGTAAGTATATACATTTAGGATCATCAGCCAGTTTATTAACTGATTTGGATTCATTCATCCATTAATTAGATCTGACTATAACACAAATGCAAAGATGAATTCACATACCTCTGAAGAACTTAAAACTAATAATTCCAGAGGCGTACTCAAGGTAATGGGTATCCCAGTTTTCAGCATAAAACAAGTTTCATGAGCCACCTGGCTACCACTCGAAAATCGTTATCTTTACTGTCCTATATGCCATACAAAAAATGAACTTTTCTCGGAGAATACAGTGCAGGGGGAGACCCAAATAACGAAATAACCATAATCTTGCCACAAACGAATCGAACCGAACCGAATCAAACCAGACCAAACCAAACCAAACCGAAAAGAGACGAAGTGGAACGAAATGAAACGAAACAAACGACTATATGCTTTTAGGCTTTCTTTTTTCTTCTTTTCTTTTTCATCCTTTTTACGTTTTCTTTTTCCTTTTCCATCAAATTACGAGAAAAATTAAAATTTCAGAGCAACGAGAATCAGGCTACCAAATATGATTTACTTCCCCTTTCTCAGAGGAAACTACTGAGACAGAGAGGACATGAAGGTGTACGGCAGTGAGAACAAACGAACAAGCGAGAGAGCGAGCGAAAGAGCTATGCTGTGCGAAGCCATGGCTGAGAGTCTTGTTGCTCATGTTATTAAATGTTCGCTTGGTAATAAGGAAGGCAGGTAGGAGGAGGGGCAGCATTTGTGTTGAGAAAAATTTGGACGGACTGGAAATGACTTGTGAGCGACCGATCAAATTCGGAAAAAAACGCGTCATCGTTCCCATTCTTGTTCAGGGTCTTCTCTCCCAGTTGTCAACTTCTAGGTTGGTTTGTTGCTCTTGTGTTTTCTCTAAAGAGTGTGACTATGTTTCCCACATCGATCAACAGAGATCTATTAGTCTATAACGGGGCAACACAGACGGGAAGAGGTATGTATGTGATTGAAATATGAATGGTCTATTATGCTATTGATCATCTGACTTATTTGCTTGTCTCACTTCTCCCCTGGTTTTTATCTATGTTTCGCTAAATTATTTGATTTTAGTTTTGGTTCGTAAGCGTTGCGGGTAGCCTCTTTCAAATTCCATCCTTTAAAGTGTTGATCAACTTGAAACATGTAAAAATGTATTTTTTATCATAATCTTGGATTGTAACACCCATTATTTAACAATTTGTTGAATTATTTTAAGAAACGGATTTAGGGATATGTAATCAAGACAATATATTTTTATCCTTTCAATATTGGACTAATAGTAAAACCAATTATCCACTCCAATCTGTATATTCAATTGATGTTTCTGGTGTTCTTCTTCAATAACACTTATTGTCTAATTTGGGAAGGCAGATACAAACCAGTAACCAGGGTATGCGTCTCAGGAGAATGGTTGCTACCCAATTGGTTTTGTGACACTGTCTTTTGCCTTTATTTTCTTTTCACTCTCCCGAACGCGTCGTGTGACAGACACTTCAGGGAAAATTGTCCACAAAAAGATATTTCAAAGGTTTTTGTTAATTTTTGTGTCACTCTCTAATCGACAAAAGACAATATTTACATCGTGTAAGTAAGTATATATCACACCATATAAAGAGAGGAAAGCCAATAAACTATACCAATACTATTGATTATTATTGTCTCTTGCCTCAGTTAAGACGAAAGGTTTCGATTTGAATGTAAAATGTATTGCATACGTTTTAGCCAGCTGACATGCAGTTGAGCATCGCAAGCTAGATCTGAACTTTCAAATTCAACTTACCATGATTTCATCCCATTTGTATTAACCATCAATAGAGATGAACAGTATATATCGCAAACATTTACATCTACACCCATATATATGTCGCATCATGTGACTGATATATAAATTGACATGTATGCTCTCGTCACATGTTTGTATCGACGTTTCCATCTGTTTTTTTCTTCCTTCTCCCTCTGTGCCCCCCATTTTTCTTTCCTTTATCCGTTGCCTATTTACCTATTCCTTTTTATTGTGTTGGTTGTTCGTGGACAGTGATGTCACCGAAACTGTTGTTCGATCTTTTTCATTTTTTCAATTTTCACTTTTCACTTTTGTTTTCCTTTTCTCTCTTCTCTGCGGTGAAGTCTGAGGCTCTGACTTGTATGGTCTTGAGCGTTTCTTTTTGTCACTGTTTATCTATTAGTTGTTACTGTTCTTCGGTCATTTGGCTCAATCAATTTATGAAAAATGTAAACATAAACAGAAGACAGAAAGAAAACAAAAATTAATTTTTTAATTAAACAAAATTATAACGTAAATTTGATTAATTAATATTATTGCCTAATTAAAATAAATTATTTATTTTAACACGTAAAATAGTTCACCTCATCATCAACATTAATAATTATACCAACCTTCAATAATTATACCAACCTTCAATAATTATTAAAATAATAATAATAATAGCAACAGTACCATTAATACTAATCATCGTTTCATTATTTAGAAATCATCGATAAGGTATTTCCCATCTCTCCAAATTAAAAAAAACATAATAATAATAATAATTATAATTATAATATTATTATTTTAATAGAATTTAGTATATCATACCACTTTTAATATCTGCTGTGTCATCTCTTTATATTCATACAAATTTATAAAAGGGAAAGAAACCTATTAATGATATATTAATTTCAATATATATTTGATTTTCATTTAAAATTAGTTAACAAACACTATATTTTAAATTGAAAATGAATAACAACAACAAGAATAGTAATAATAACAATACCAATCCAAATGATCAAGATTCTATTAATCTGAATAGGAATCGATACAACAATGACAGTATATTAGATTTGAATTCTTATAACCAACAACAACATCAATACTTGATCAACTCGATCATTTCAACTTTAGAAGCACCTGAACAATTTACAAACGTTTCCAAATTTTACTCAAATGATAAAAATGTAGCTGGTGAAGTTCAAGCTTATGCAAAAATTTCTGGTACTAATTGGACTTATTACGTAAAAGATTTAGAAATTACAATCGGTAGAAACACATCAGATCATAATGGTGGCCCAGAGGTTATGCCAAATCATAGTAATGATAATAATAGTGTCAACATAGATTTGGGTCCTGCTAAAGTCGTTTCAAGAAAACATGCAATGATAAAATTTAACATGCAATTGGGTGGTTGGGAATTATATTTATTTGGTAGAAATGGTGCAAAGATAAACTTTAAAAGAGTTACTGTAAATAATTCACCAATCCAATTAGCTTCTGGAACTATTCTAGATATCGGTGGTACCCAAATGATGTTCATTTTACCTGGTCAGGATTCTCTAATTTTATCTTCTGTGGTTTCCCATCTGTTACCCCAATTATCGTTGTTATATGATAACTCAAACTCCTCAAGTGGTAAACTATTAAACGATTTAATTAAAAATTCAGACTATTACAAACAGAATACAAATAATATACAAAATGTTATTAAGCAAAATGAAACATATCAAAATTCTATATCTAGTAATCAAGTTAGAACATTCAAAATGTATGGCAATAATCCATCATCTGCATCATCTTCAATTTCAAACCCTGCATCTTTTTATAGCAATAGCAATAGCCATAATCCAAGTTTATCAAATGGCAGTTCAAATTCTAGTAACCCGTTATTAATGCTATCTCCTGATTCATCTTCAAATAATACCGCCCAACAACATAATCAACCAAGCTACCCAACGTCATATTCAAGCACTTCAAATCACAATAATCAAACTTTCCCATCGCCAATTGATTTTGCTTCTGACTTATCTCGTGACGAAAATAGAAATGTAAAGCCTCCTCATTCTTATGCAACAATGATTACTCAGGCAATTCTATCGACAAAAGAAGGTATCATATCTCTAGCAGATATTTATAAGTATATCTCAACAAATTATGCTTATTATAGGTTTGCTAAAACAGGTTGGCAAAATTCTATTAGACACAATCTGTCGTTAAATAAGGCATTTGAAAAAGTCCCAAGAAAACCAGATGAGCCTGGTAAAGGTATGAAATGGAGAATCAGCGAGTCATACACACAAGATTTTATGAACAAATGGAATTCTGGAAAAGTATCAAAAATAAGACGTGGTTCATCAGTTGCAAGACAGCTTCAATTACACATGTCAAAGTACAGCAAATTGCCTTCTCCAAATGATCCTGCTGTAGATCAGCCAAGTAATTATAATCATATCTCATCTAAAAAGAACACTGGATCTAATAATGGTTATGTGTACTCAAATTTAAATCCTTCGCAGCAACAATACCAACAACCAAATCCTACAACACGATTACAAGCTCAACCAACCGTTGATTTACAAAGACATCATCAGCATAGTCAAAATCAATCTTCCTCATCATCAGCTTCCTCTGTACCGGATGGATTCCCAAATACATTATTATTGCCGCCACAACCTGCGACTTCAGTGGGTTCAAGTCATAACCCGACTAATAGCGCTCTAGTTTCCTTTAATAATGCATCAAATCCTAGCATCACAAGAACTCCACAATTGCCGTCCCTTTCTAACCATATTTCTACAAATTCGACGTCTTCATTATTACCTCCTTCTACTTCTACATCAAATCCAAACCACCCTTCATTTTCTGTATCAATGAATCATTTATCTCCTTCAGGAAGTAACCTAATGCAGTCACCAAGTAAAACTTTCCATGTAACACCGATGGAAGCATATACGCCGGAGAGAGGATCTACAAATCATTTAAGGTCTCCATCGCAAAATACATTAAGTGGAGGCCAATCTTTAGGCACACTTGGGAATGGAATTTTATCAAACAGCAAGATTAATAATAGTATTAATATGTTAGGGAACGACAAAAATTTACTGTCGACTAGTATTTTGAACCCGCCAACAAGTGCCAAGTCAAGTAATGACCGTAGTTCTCCAAATGTTTGGAACTTGCTTCAATTTAACTCTGCAACAAATACCCCTGCTTCTTCTATGAAGAGAAGAATTTCTTCAGAAAATGAAGCCAATGATAATGAAAACCATAATAACGACGGTAAAGGCGATGTTTCTCCCTCAAAGGCGGCACGTCAACTACCTACCAAGGAATTAATTTTGGAAACCGATGGTGCTAAAATTTCCATGGTTAATGAATGAAATTTACAGTTTTCTTAAATGTATGTATAAATAATTATCATGATTTAGTATATAAATATAAGTAAATTTAGATTTATATATATATACATCCCATCAGTCACTTTTTACATGTCACTTTAATGCCATTTAAATATTCACTAGTTCGTAAAACCACATTTCATTTTACAATTCATTATTATAGATTACACTCAATAAAACAACAACAAGTAAACAGAAACGTGATAATTATTTGATGACTTTTGATATAAGCAAGGTAAATTTATTAACACTTAACTGTCTTTATTTTATCCTGTTAAGCGGTAGTAAATGCAACATCTATTAAATTAGCAACGCCAAAGAAATAAAGGTGAACCCAAAACTGTCTCCGATCGGGTCCACATTTTCAATTTAGAGTGACTATTATCTTCTGGACACCCGTACATTCACAACAACATTGACACCCATACATAATAAAAATAATTTCGCGTTGTCTGCATCTTATAGTCTTCTAGAGTTTCTCACGATTCTCACCATAGTCGCGTTTTTCCACTGAACTCCAATTGCCAAAAATCAAACAGAAAGCGAACTAACGACGCGATGACGCAAAAACAAACCGTACCCACAGTTAACATTCCCATCTAATTTTTCAGTCCTGCCGCGGCATGTACCCACCATAAACTAGACTCCAGCTGAACCAAATCCTCCAAGCAGGCTAACCTTTCGAATCGATTCCTCTCTAAACAGAAACTTCTCATTTTCCACAATCTCCCTAAACTAGTTCAGTTTCATCCTCTCTAGGCAGGACCTCCTTCTAGAACTGTCCTCCCTCCCCCATTCCCACCAAACGTTTCTCCGTCACGCTGCCCAGAAACCTCAACCTCTTCCTACCACCACCATCACCACCACCGACCTGGCAGAACCTGGGCTCCCAAACTGTGTGGTATCTCTCTATATCGTCAAATCGAGTTATGCCCATTTTCCCACCGTCAATAGATATTCTTCCAGATATCCCATAACGAAAATACTGACATTGGACAGGCTAATATTATTCTATTGCCAGAAGGTAACAACATCTAACCATCATCTATCATCATTGGTAAAGTTTCATCAAATTAGCTGTGGAAACTAGCTGAGCTAGTAAGCAATAAACCTATTCTACCTAGTGTAATAATATGTTGTAATGCATCAATTAAACGCTGTTTGATGGGATATTAGTGAAAGGGCAGGTTAAAGAAAAGTCACGAATAAAGGTTTAATATATATGCTTTCTATATATTAAGAGGGTTTTTATTTATTACTGTTTGTTCAAACTACCTTATACAACCAACCAACCAAGAAGTGATGTCTACTTTCGAACCAGTCGTTGTTATTGATGGTACGTAGAAATATCGATATTTTAATATTATTATAACGTTTAACACTAGTGAATGGATAAAGCCAATTTGTAATTGATATGATATGGATTTAAGAGAACCGTTGATATAAAGCAAGTGATCCAAAGTCAAAAATAAAATAAAATAGAAAAAAATTGGTTACTACTTCTCAAATTAGAGAGTCAAGATGATTATTCAAATATACAGTGTCTGCAAAGAATGGAACCAAGAACAATGATTTTTATATCAATAAAGTGTAATTTTAGCAATCCATTATGTTTAATTTAATATAAAATTGATTATAGTGGTTAAGAACAAATATACCGTTGTATTTGTGAATTTTCATCTATTAATTTGATCCTGTGATTATGAATGAAATACGATCAATCTAGGTTCTGTATTTCTAGAGACTATTAATCTCATTACTATAGCGATATCCATTCCAGTTGTTAATTATTGTCTTTAATCATGTTTTTACTAACAAATCATTTTCAATTGTCTTTTTTTAAATAGGTAAGGGCCATTTAGTCGGTCGTTTGGCTTCTACTGTTGCCAAGCAATTGTTGAACGGTCAAAAAATCGTCGTTGTTAGAGCTGAAGCTTTAAACATCTCTGGTGAATTCTTCAGAAACAAGTTGAAGTACCACGACTACTTGAGAAAGGCCACTGCTTTCAACAAGACCCGTGGTCCATTCCACTTCAGAGCCCCATCTAGAATCTTCTACAAGGCTGTCCGTGGTATGGTCTCTCACAAGACTGCTCGTGGTAAGGCTGCCATGGAAAGATTAAAGGTCTTTGAAGGTGTCCCACCACCATACGACAAGAAGAAGAGAGTCGTTGTTCCACAAGCTTTGAGAGTTTTGAGATTGAAACCAGGTAGAAAGTACACTACCTTAGGTAAGCTATCTACTTCTGTTGGTTGGAAATACGAAGACGTTGTTGCCAAGTTGGAAGAAAAGAGAAAGGTCAGATCTGCTGAATACTACGCTAAGAAGAAGGCTTTCAACAAGAAGGTCGCTTCTGCTACTGCTGCTGCCGCTGAATCTGAAGCTGCTAAGAAGTTAGCTACTTTCGGTTACTAAATTTAATGATTTAAAAATTAGTATTAAATTGAAATTTTGACAACATCATTCTCTTTTTCCCATTACATGCAATTATATTTTCTAGTATTGTATTACTGATTGTTACTTGTATTTTTAGATAATTATTCATTTTAACAAGGTAGCAAAAATTATATAAGGAAATATTAATATAATAATCTTTAGAATTTTAAATTTGGTTTTTAAAAAAATATGTATTATCAAGTAAATCTATGGTAATTGTAACTAGGATGTTAGCCCCTTCAGTTACAATCAAGTTAAAATACAAAGTTCATTGATATATCTATATATGCTTATTTGAAATGTTCCTATAATAATTATTTAATCCAACCCCTAAAGTTTTCGTATATACAAAATGTAATGCATGTTGAAGGAATGGCCCTTATTAAATTTGCCATCAATCCTTTATAAAGTCCTCTAAGTCCATCTGCTTTATATATAAGTTTGGTTAGATTTTTTAAAGTATAATTTTGATCAATTGCATTAAAGCTCTGTAAATTCGATTTTAACAATTGAAATGGATAAACTGAAGTAACAGAAATCATTTTACTTAGAGACGTGATTAAAATAATTTCTGAATTTCTTAGTTTATCAGTATTATCAGTTCTAATTGAACTGAATTTGAATTTTAATGTATCGTAAACCATAAAATATATGGCGCCTTGGGAGACACCAAAGAATGAAGGAACCAATCCTCTCCATAATCCTAAATAACCTTCTTCAGCGAGTAATCTTTTGAATCCATGATATGTTGATGTATATGATCCTATTTCACTTTTACTAGTAGACATTATTCTTGTTTTTACAACCCAAATAGGATTTGTTAATAGTGTAGTAATTGCACCACTGATGACACCTGCAGTTAAATACATGAAAGAACTCATTTTCTGATCATGAATAATATCTGTATGAGTGGTTTCTTTATCAATTGAATCAGTAACACTACTCCCACCTTTGTAGTAATAATGATGATAAATAATATCCTTAGAGAACCGGTAGAACCCAAAATATAATGCCCATGCTACCGAATTGCCAAATACATTTATGCCTAACCCACGATAAACCTCTTTAATCATAGGATTCAAACCATTGCTATTACTAAACAGTTTTTTTAATACCTTTATATAACCTCCATCAGTTTTATATGTAGCCAATAATTGCAATCGTACTTTTATCAAATCTAATGGATGTACAACAATAGTAGTTATGGCCCCCGTAGTAATACCAGAAATAGCTTCCTTCTGGATGGATGATAGCCCTTCTGACATTTACCTGCTTCTATATAAAATTGAATTCAATAACCATCAAATATCACAATACTTAAACGATGGCTTAATCTTAAACCATTTCTTATATATGAATCATATCTAATATCTTTAAATGTTGAAGTGATTAAAGCATCGCGCACAAATAGTAATAGATGCCAAGATCAAGAGACATACATAACAACAAGAAGAATATTAATAATGACGATCATTAGTTACTTAAATTAATAATAGGAATTAAAATAATAAAAATTGGAATGTTAAATTTTCTCATAAAGTTATAATATAATAATTTCTTTAAATTTTGATTCAATCAAAACTTGAAGAATTTGTTTTAATGAACTAACTATATACAAAAACCAGACAAACGATATTATTGAGATATAATCATTTATCGAATTTGGACAAAAACAACAGTAGAATTATTATAGTAATAATTGTAATGGGTTTTCGATAATAGTCTTCAAAGCGTGCATGAATTCCCCACCTTTAGCACCATCAATAGTTCTATGATCAAAAGTACCTGTGATGGTGATGACATCATTGAAAGTGAAACCGTTCTTAGAGGTGACATCTTCTACTGGGATTCTTTTGGTAGTACCGACAGCCAAAATAGCAGATTGTGGAGGATTAATGATAGAAGTGAACATGGAAACGGCATTGTTCATACCTAAATTGGAAATACAGATAGTACCACCTTGGAACTCTTCTGGGTTTAATTTATTGATTCTTGCACGTTTGACTAGATCTTTAACTTCGTTAGAGATCGAAACCAAACCCTTAGAGTTGACGTTCTTAACTATTGGAGTGATCAAACCAGTTGGAGTGGCGACAGCGACAGAAACGTCTACGTTTTCGAATTGTCTAATGACATTTTCCTTTTCTAGCCAACATGTGTTAACTTCTGGGACTCTCTTGACTGCTAAAGAGATAGCTTTCACTAAAATGTCATTTATGGATAATTTGTAATCATTATTCTTGTTTGCTGGATCATTATTTAGAGATTGTCTTAATCTCAATAATTTAGTGACAGAAATATCAGAAGAAACGATATAAGATGGAATTGTTTGAGTAGATTCCAATAGACGAGAGCCTATGATATTTCTCATGTTTGAAATTTCGGTATCAGTGTATGGGTTTGAAGCTGCAATCATTTGAGCAATTGTTGAGTTAACAGAAGCAGAAGCAGATACTCCTCCAGCGACTGCTGGGGCAGCGGTACTGGCAGTGGTTGCTGCTGAAACTGATGAGGTAGCACCTTGACCAGATTTTAAGTATTCTTCGATGTCTTTCTTGACAATTCTACCACTTGGTCCTGTACCAGTGACGTTTTTCAATGCAATTCCGTTTTCCAAAGCCATTGCCTTTGCCAAAGGAGATGCTAAAATTCTTGTTCCTGTAGCAGGAGCAGATTGCCTTGAAGGTGTTGTTTGCTTAGCCACTTGTTGTTCTACAACAGTTTCGCTAGCGCTAGGTGTAGCAGCAGGGGTGGAGTCAGCAGGAGTAGGGGCTGTTTCTGATTCATTAGCAGGTAATTTAAAATCTTTGAAAGCCTGTACATCAGCTTCATCTTCTACGTAAATTGCAATTGGCTTATTAACTGGGACATCTTTGGCACCTTGATTAACCAAAATCTTAGCTAAATAACCATCATCTTGAAATTCAAAATCCATTGTGGCTTTATCAGTTTCGACTTCAGCTATCACATCACCAACGGACAATTGTTCACCTTCTTTTTTAGTCCAAGAAGCCAAATTACCATGGGTCATGGTTGGAGATAGGGCAGGCATATTGATGATAGAATAAGAAGGGTACGAAGAGTACAATCTTAGCAGATTGCATCTAGTGATGGTTGGAGCTGACCTGACGATTCTTAACATTAATTGAAAATTGATATATCTGGGAATAGGGGAAGAGAATTGAATCTATGATTAAATATGTATTTTAAATTCGAGTTCGGTAAGGTAAGGTAAGGGAACAGAGTGATAATAAAGTATCTGACTGTGCTTAGGATAGATATGAGAAAAAGGATAAAGGCAAAACCGAATTGTAAGTGAGAGAACCACGAAATCAAACGACAAACAGTTGATTGGGGAAGTGGAATCAAAATAAAAGAAACTTATAAACGTATCTGAGCTAGATATAAATCGAATAAAACTCTTGTCATGTTGATAAAATGGAAACAATTCCAGTTTGCATAATTTTTCAAATGTAAGCAATCCCATTATCTAAAATCCATCGTGTGATTTGTATTTATAGCAAGGAGACTCAAGTGAAAAAAGGTACGTATGCAGTGACATATATATGACATATTATTGTATGGGACAGAGCAGGCAGATTCCTACATAATGAAGACTACAATACAGACGAAGCAGCCACACCTTCAGCTGACCAGCTTGCAGATGTGAGCTCAGATTAAACAGCGACAAGGACTTATCAGGACATGGAGATGGCATATACACATACAGATACAGGGTAGAGTAATCAAGAAACTTAGATCAATGACAGACACTTCTCAGCGGTATAAAATTCTGTTTTAAATTTGATTTCCTTGGTAAGGTAGTTAAACGAAACCAGTCAATACGATAACGCATATTATATCTCATCATAATGAAGTGAATGTTCAGATAAACTTATCCGAAAATAACAGACATGAATCAAGAAGAAATAGTAGTTCCCCTCCACCATCCACTTGGTGACAGATTTGGGATGGTATTTCCCTAATTGAACTTGAGTTGAATCGAATTGGAACGAATTCTAAAGTCTAAAATCAGTTTTATCAATTGCAAAACGAACAATAAAAGAGAGAAAGCTAACTTGTTACTGATTGGTTCGTCTCGTCTTGTCTCTTTATATAGTAAACTAATAGTCGATGGCAATCGTGTTGTACGAGTAAAAATTTTCAAATTCGATGTGCGTTTTTTGATTGGTCACGCATCGCTAGCATGTGAGGGAGATGGGGTTAGTCGAGTAGGGCATTGGACATCTCAATTGACTGATATTGCAGTTGCAATTACAGTTGCAATTGTGTTTCGAATGGAGTATCTTAAGAACCACTATTGGATGCTACTTACACAACTTCTTCAACACAAGACACCAACCAATACGTGGAATGGAACCGACACACATAAAAACACTTTGATATGTTGTTTGGCAGTCACGTGCACTAGATGATGGTATGGGCCAAACGACGTCTGATCCATCCAACTACAAAAGATTCAACTATAGGCTTAAGCAAGACACAACGGGATAGGATGGCCCATTTGCAAACCGTGAATTGGCAAAGAACAGTAGACTGTCTTAAAACAGATTCATTCATTGATCCATGTGTATAAACAGGAAGCAAGGTCTGTTCGACATTTGTTTCACGGTACTATCAATATCGTAAGATCAGGATTCTTGTCTCAAGAGCAAGAGCAAAAATAAAAGTAACAGCAAGAGCAACAGCAATTGGACGAGGAATGAACAGTGGAGAGCCTACATGTATATGTATCTCTATCTATACCTATGTAGGGCTGTGTGACGGCATTAATGGACCCAAGCTCAACAAGAGTTGACAAGAATACACACAATGATTTGTTTGTATAATCGACATGTAGAATGAACAAACAAAACAAAACAAAACAAAACAAAAAAACAAAGAAACAAAGAAACCCATTCCACACACCTACACATGACTTGTGCGTTCAAATAGCAACATTATACCATACATAATCTATTCCTTGTTACAATTTCTGTTTTTACAAAAATCTCAACTCGTTATAATATAGCATAGCATAGCAGAGATAAACTCAAAACTAATACTACTCTCTATCGCCAAACCTACCTATGGGTGGGACCATCACTACTAGTTGCTCTTGAATATCGTTGTCCAATGGGACTTCTCATGCCAAAACTGCAAAAAAAGCAATGCACCATAATCCCATATCATCAAATGATTTGTTTTCTTTTTACCCAACTGAGAGAGAAACAGAACAAGACCTTCTCTCTATGTGTGTGTATGTGCTTGTATATATGTATTCTACGAAACAACTTGAGTTAACTTGACCATCATTCTCACTATCATCCATTTCATCATCGTCATCTTGCAACATAGTTTCCCAAGGCTTTGACTTGAATTGGATTTGATTTGGCTTGACTCGGTTAGTGAGGTTTACTACTTATCTCTTAACCAGATGGGAGGGGACCTTCTCCTCTACAGCCTGGTTTAAATGGATCATACACACGAGGACAAGAGGCTCTACTTGTATAATACCAATACCAGACGGAACGAAGTATACAGCAAATTTCACAACATTCATTCATTCACTCTTTTGGTCTTGGTCTTGGTCTTGTTTCGTTTCGTTTCTAACACACTCTCTTCCAGTCTAGCTCTAGCTTTGCTCGAGTATATCCACTCTTGACTACCCCTTCCACTTCGTTAACTCTGGGTTGTTTCTTCTCCCAATCAAACAACAAGAGCAACAAGTCCAACAACAATTTTTCATTTATCTTAATTTAGTAATAACGTAATAGCCATCATAGCTATCGGCACCATTTCTCTATTGCAATGAATGATAGACAAGTACTTTAGAAAACTTTATCCAACCGACTATCTACCAATTATGGTCTTGTAGAAGTTGGTTCTTGCTATTGAACTAAGCCGTTTCTTTTATCTAATTTTGAAATATTTCGTTTCAGTTTCGTTGCTAATTTAATACACACTTGCTAGCTAGCTACAACTTCAACTACCAATCCCCCCCCAACTGCCCCCCTTGCTAAGAGTATATTTGCTACAACTCCTTTGTCTTTTGGTTTTACTACCAACAGCTTCACCTCGTATTTGACAGCAACACGATTGTAGCAACCCCAGATTACAACTAGACCCACTAACATTAACACCTACTCTTACAGACTGCCGACATTTTTATTTCATTTCCTATTTATATAACATAACATTATACAATATATACTTATCTCGACCCAATTCAACTTAACTTAGCTAACAACCATTCATTAAGTTGTTTTTTTAACAATGACTTGACTTGTTCATATAAGACTTCTTTTAATTACACCTTCTTCTTCTTTTACTGTATCAATCATTAATCATAGCTATCTTGTCTATCAACATCTCTAAAGTTGAATACATCTAACTGCTACACCAACAGCCCCCCTCCCCCCTTCCTTCTGAAATAAGACAAGAAAGACTAACTTACTGTTGATTTATTTTTGTACTGTACTATTTTTAAAATAAGACAAGACAAGACATACCAAGCCAGTAACTGTTATAATAAACTAATTGTTTCGATTAATTGCTTTGCTTTGCTCAAGTCTAATCATACACCTTAAGTTTTTAAACAACTCTTCAAGACAAACTATCCTGTCAGTCAGTACCTTTAAATTTTTGTGAATATCATCATTTAAAACCATTACTGTAATATAATATATCAACCATTTTTATATGTGTATTCTTTATTGATCAAAAAGGAAGACCCGTTTCCAAATATACCAATAGACTAATTTATAATAATCGACACATTCCCCAAAATTACATTTATAATAACTACCAACTGTCCTTACAATGATAGATTCTCAGGATACTTCAATGATTTTCGAAAGAGATGTAGAGGACCCCCTGTCTCCTACTACCACGAATACAAACAACTACACTTCTTCATCTCCATTATCTCTTTCAAGACAACAAAGTAACACTAGTATATATTCAAATATGAATAATAATAACGCTAATGCCGCAAGTAATAACAATCTAGTTAACTCAACTACTCATCATAATTTAGAGAACTTGATCCCTCCTGCGCTAGATGCCAGTTGTTCAATTATAACCGACGAGAATACTAATTTGAACGATGTAGATTTAATATATTCAAGAAGACCCTCAACTATTGGGTTAGACATGGCACTGGGGAACAGATATTTTAAAGATTCCCACCAATTCTCAAATTCAAATTCATCTTCTTCAGCAAATTTGTATAGGTCCCAGTCTCATTCAATTGCATCCCCTTCTTCTCCACATTTATATTTATCAAGGACATACTCAAATACCAATAATAATAACAATAATAATCCTTCAAGAGTTGCGTCTCCTACTGATCCTCACCATAAATTATTGAGATTTTATTCTTATGCAGACATGTTATCTGATGAAATGACAGACTCTTCTTCTTCAGGGCCTTCACCTTCAACCCATAGACAGTCACATTCTTTGGCTTCTCCTGTAGCTGGAAAACAGTTTAACACATTTAATAACCCTTTCATTAAAAATAAGTCATTATCTCCAAATTCTTCAACTCCTCACCCTTCAGCTGCTTTCCAGTTCGATAATTCTAATAGTGATTCTACCTCAACTACAGATGATGAAAATGACATGGAAAATGATGAGGACAATAGAACTCTAGATCCAACCAATTTATCAACTTTAAATTCATTGTTACAGCATCCAAGACCAAATATACCCTCAAATTCATCAAAGCCTCGTCTATTAAGGGCTAGGTCCTCGTCAAATGCAAATATGAATCCGAATAGTGGTTACACTTCCTTACGATCTTCTGGTCTGACTCCATTATTTAGAGCAAGAACATATTCCTCAACATCAGGACTGTCTCCCTCTCAAACCCCAGTAATGTCAAGGTCAAGACGTTCTCCAAGCCAGTATTTCATTTATAATGAAGATACTCTGGCGCCATTACAAACTGATAATTTAGGTGAGGTTCTAAGGAAAAAAATGAGTCGCACTGCAACTGACACTCCAACTATCGATGGTGCATTGAATTGATATAATTTAATAGTAATACAAATTTATTGGATCATCTTTTTCTGAGATGTAAATATGTATTCAAGAAAAGAATTTTAACCCATATTTGTTTTGTTTCATTATTATTTTTTGTCGTTTGACAAATACTGTTATCTATCCATTTCAAAATCGAATCTATTTACTATTACTATTACAATTAATTTTTATTAATCTTTTATATTAACCTATCATATTGTTGTCGACCTTTCAAAAATTCATTTATTTTGTTACATTTACATGTACTTCAAAGCACTTAATTCTATGCACATTTAATACATTATTCTATATAATATGTATTTAAATTAAATTCCATTTACAAATAATCTTTTCTACCTGCAGTTCTAACAAATCTTCTTAATTTCCATTCCACATCAGCGTCCTTATTTTCCAATGTACCCAATCTTAATTCAAATAATCTCATTTCGAATCTTGGACCAACTTCAGCAACTTCAACACCTTCTCTAGTCTTTACATAGACATGCTGTCTTACACTTATATAATCACCTCTATTAGCAAATGTAATAACTCTGGAGGCATCTTTTTTAGGACCAGGTGGGAATAAATGCTTCAATACTTTAACTATTCTTTCACCTAATGGTGTAGTAAAATTATCAAAAATCAAATGTGGATTAACTTCACTTTGATTACCACGATTCAAAATGTCATGTCTTAATACTACATTATGCAAAGTAAAGAATGCTGTTGGACCATGTGGGAAATGTGATATCGTTATTGAAGTTGGCACACCTCTATGTTCATGCAAAACAACTAAATCACTGGTACCACTTCTAACACAAGCTTTAACTAAGTTTGGCATGATATAATTACCTCTATTTAGACGTACTGCACCTGGAAATAATAATTTGATTTCCTTAGCAAACTGAGATAATCTTGTACTTGGATCTCTTGAAGTAGTTACAATGACTCTTGGATCACTAATACCACTACTGGCGGCATATTCATCATCAACTTCCTCCTCATATTGCTCCCCACGTATCGTTTGGTCATATCTAAAATCTTCTTGTAACTTCTCGTCCTCTGCAATCTCTTTCGGTAGTGGTTTACCTTGAGCCAAAGCTTGTCTAATAATCTGTCTTTTCTGTTGTAATTGAGACTCTTGCAATTCTTGTGCCTTACGGTACAAATATTCCCTTCTTTCACGAGCTTGTCTTCTTAACATTTTGTACTACTCACGATTTACACAAATGATGTTCTATCCCACAGTTAGCACTCTTTTGGTGTATATATAGTATTTATATCATCATTTATTTTATACTTCTTTTCATCTTAGAACTAAGCTCATCGCAATTTCATAACGTTAAAATTTTTCACCGATGAGCTTTTCAAAATTATCACCAAATCCGGGTAACACTAAATGATACAAAGGATGGAACATTAAACGTTTCCTTTCGTTGACTTATTAATTGGTAACTGTTTTGATTGTTTGATTATTATTTTATTTATTTATTTATTGTTTATTTTAATCTGCTATCTCTACGATTTAAAGTTATTTGTTGAAATCTAATTGTATTTTATACTTTATAAAGGGGGGGCTAATAATCTCTCAAAGAGACTACTAGGGGAAAAATTCTACTAAAAAATTTCTATATATATAGATATATATGTATATGCATTGTTATCATTAAAATTCATTATTGTTACGGGTTCATTTTGTTAGTTTTTACTCTGTCTTCCTCTAGAGTATGCATGAGCCAGAGATTCTTCTTCTGTGATCTCCATTCTTGTTTTAATGTATCCATTATTCTTATTTCTTGACGGTATATCCATAGATTCACGACGTACTCCTAATCCCCTGCTTGGATCCAATCCTGATGCTGCTAACCTTTTTTGACGAATATTATTGGGTAAGAACATATGTGTGGATAATGCAGTTGGAAGAATAGTATGTGCTGAAGGTGGAGCATTGGACTCACTTGCGTACCTTTCTCTCGTAGTTTCTGAAGCTATACTACTAAAGCTTCCTTGTCTTGATTTACCATTTCTATGCATGAATGGATTGAAAGTGGTATTCATTGGACATGGTGGAGATACTGATCCAACTACATTGACGTTCGAAGTACCTGTTATTGGTTTATTCACACTCATTGGTGTATTAGCAATTTCTGACCTAGAACTATGGCTGTTATTACTACTTAGTGGATTTATGATATGGGACGAATTGCTGTTTCCATTTGACACCGATACGAACTTACTTTGACAACCATTATTATTATTATTATTATTATTATTGTTGTTGTTGTTATGATTGATATTTTTTTTATTGTCAATGTAACTATTAGAATTAGAGGTATTCTGCAGATTGTTCAAAAACAATCCACTCAATAAGCTTCGTTTCACTTCATGTGGTGAAGAATTTATCGAACTTATATTTTGTGGGGATGAACCAGTCGAACTCTTAGCAGTATTATTTGTTTTTGCAAATAATAATTTATCCCACTGCTTTCTGTAGTATTTTTCTTCTTCTTCATCATCGAAATCATCTTCATCATCATAATCATCATCGTCATCATAGTCATCATCATCATCGTCAGATAAAGTGTTCCAGTCTGATTCATCATCCTCACTAAAGAATAGTTTCGAACTCCTTTCTCCAGATTTTAAATTAGATGAGCTATCCTCATGCATTTTATTTTTCGTGCTAACATCACCAAATAAAGAATTAACCCTAGTGATTGGTTTACCATCATCGTTATCTTCACCAGTGTCATCTATATTATTATCTTCACTAGAATTTTTTGTAACCTCTTGTTTTGTATGTGAAATTTTTCTATCAGTAGTTTGGATGTTAAACAACGTATTGTCATTTGAAGCTGGATAAGGATTCGACTTTTTTCTTGTAATCAATATATTTGTATCGAAACCATTAACAACATTCTCTGGATCTTCCCTTTTCTTTACCACGGGGTTATTGTTATTGTTATTGTTATCATTATTAAGGTTATTATTAATGTTACTATTAGTGTTAGAGTTATTATTATGCAATTTATATCTTTCAATAACGTTTGGGCTTAATGCAGGGGTTGATTGGAATAATTTTTTATTCTGTTGTTTTAACGGTATTTTATCAATATTTGAAGTGGTTTGGGTGACTTCGTTGTTATTATTAGGCCGTATATCTAGATGGCTACCATTATTATAATTATTATCAGTAGTAGTGGTATTAGTTGATTTCAATTTCGACTGCAACTGCGATTGAGGTTGTTGAGATTGTAACTGCTTTTGATTATTAACAGGGTTAATAATATAATACAAATTTTTGACACCTTCTCTTTTCTTTGATCTATTTATATCTTTATCCTTTAATAAAGATTTATTCAGAATTCTCCAACTGATATTTTTCAACCTTTCACCTTGTTCAATATACGATCTATCATTATTCTTATTACATTTGATTAGTTGCAAATACAAGTCCATCGAATCAAACAAATGCAACCGTTCAGGAGTAAACAAGTTTGGACTTATCTTTAAAAATTTTTCATTCAACGAACCATCATTATACTGAAATGATTCCTTCGGTACTTTCGTCATTTCGAATCGATAGATAATATCAAAACCTACTACGACGACTACACCTTCTTCTACAACTCACCCTCCACTGACTATATGAAAACTGAAACAAAGACCTCTCTGTCTGTCTTGATATAGTAACTCTAATTCAAAACCTTTCAAATACAAAAAACCACTTTAACAGTGAAAAGACTCAGTAATAACAAAAAACTTCAAACTATATTAGCAAAAATAAACGGACAATATCTTGTGTTTATACTTTTCTTCCAATATCTCTTGTTATAAACCACAGCAATATATCAAAGATTCATATTATCACTTCAATATCACCATTCGATCGATAAACCTCTTCGTTCCTTACGTCTACGTTTAATTTAATTTTTTTTTTTTTGATTTTTATCTTCAGCTTCACCAGTTTTTTTTTCTGCTTGCTTGCTTTCTTGGTAATGCTTTAGCTTTAGCTTTGACCTTCCTGAAGATTAAAAGCAAAAAACTATACTGTAAGCAAAAGATATGGTTGACCTCTTAGTTGCCAAATGAACTGAAACCAAACCAAACCAAACCAAGTATTGTTGTCAATTGGTATAACGAAACCCACTCTTGAACAACAACAAAAAAAAAGATATTATATTATAATATAATATACCAATAGAGTATGTGTACCGGCAGCAGCAGTGCTATTAATCACTGAGTTTTAATCCAATATATGCGGAAACGACCTTAGGAACAGCAAGTGCACTCTAATATTTTTATTTTTTCCCTCTTTAACTCTGTCTGTTCTTTTGTTTTGAACCAATTCGTAGTGTTGTTGCAACAAGAAACGAATGTATATATATCTGTATATTTATACCAATACTATTCGTATCCTCTCTTCCTTCTGTTGCTGTTTGATTCCTGATTCGTGAATTTTATCTTATTCTATTTGTTCTGTCTGACTATAATAAACCAGTTCAAGTCGGCCCTTTCTATAATTTGATATAATACAGTCCTTTACTGATTTGATAATGATAATGATAACGACAACGACAACGACAACTACAACTACAACTACAACTACAGTTGGGTCCCCAAGTTCTTGTTGATGTCTGTAAAGTATCTTTATTTATACTGAATCCAAAACACACTGACTTTTGACCTTTTGGAAAGGAATGATGACGGTTATGGTCTTTGTCGTATCAACGCTTAGCTTCTGATGATGATGTTGATGATGGTGGTATCGTAAACTCTTTTTTTTCTTGATTGATTTTGATCGATCAATCGATTGATCGATTGATCGATTGATTGATTGTCTCTGTTTGTCTTGTTGTAGTTTGAAGGAGGGAAGGAGCCCTTTATGGATGATGATGATGGATTTTGATTAAATTGGTTGATTATATTCTCGTTGTCGTTCTTGTTCTTGTTCTTGTTCGTGTCGTTGTTGTTGTCTCTGTTCTTATTGTCTGGTTGCAAGGTCAAGGTTCAGGGGAGTGGTATGCTTGTTTGTATGGTATTTGTTTCTGAAGGTGGAAGGGGTAGTGTTCTTTTTCCATGATTAAAAAATGTGTGTGACTTATGGTCATGCAAGGAATGATGGCAGTTGGGGGTTCGTTGTTGCAAGTAGAAGAATGATGATGATGGGGGTGGCGGTGGTGATGATAATTTGTTTTTTCATTATGGTTGATGCTTAACTAAATATTTTTTTATTCAATATTCTTTATTTCCGCTCGTAATTAAAACTGAAAATAATATCGTATTTTGTATTGTATTGTATTATATTATCATAGTGTCTTATAGTAAGGCTATATCGCACTATCTTCTAAATTACTAAAATATATAGTTAAATACAAAATGGTAAACATTAGGTTAAATAATGGTTCGTTAAAATTATTTATGGAAGGGAGGAATGCATGATGAATGTATGTAAGTATATATTATTTATTTATTTCTTTAGGAGTTTTTATATTAGTTTTTTTCTTCTGGGGTCATGAACATGTAAAGTAGCAAATCTTTAATTCTATTTAGATTCATTCATATGGTCCCATAGTTTCCCAGCTAGTTTACCATGATGATTCTTTAATTCTTTATTGTTAGATAACGAATTATCTTCAATATATTTAGATAAAATATCAATGGCAACATCATAGTTCTGTTGTGCAACTTCTAATTGTTTTTTGGCATTGTGAGCAACAACATCTTGTTCAATGGCCTTGTGTATCTCATCAGGGCTGCTCTTTGAAGAAGAAGAGAAAAGTCTGCGCCATAAAAAATTACTCTTGTCCTTGTTTTCAAAATCATGTGCATACTCTTCCTTACATTTCTTCAACAACTCCCATTTCTCATCTGCATTACGTTTAGCGTCGTCCAATGATAAAACATTCTCAAATTGCAATTTAATGTCTTCAACTTCATCATTAGCACATTGAGCAGCACTCTCACCCCATCCTTTCAACGATTCAGCAGTGTTTTGTGCAACTTTCCTTTCAACATCTGGGGTCTTACCATAGGTTAGCCAGCCTTTGGACTTGATCTTCTTCAATTCATCCAACTTCTGTTGAGCCTCACTTGGACCCTCCTTGGCGCTTCTCAATGCTTCCAGCTTCTCTTCACGAGCAAACTCCTGGGCATTCTCACCCCAACCATAGACACTGTTACTTGCAATTTCATCCACTTTCTTGGCACCTTCCTGGTATACCATCTCTTCGGCGTCATCCAAACCGTTATGTGTCAACCATTTGAAGAAAGATGTCTTGCCATGAATATAATTTTCATCTTGCTGATCTAGCTTTGATGCCAACGAGTTGAAATCATCATTTGCAGTGTACCTGTTGTAAATTTCATTAGCCTTTTGTAGGTTAGCCTCCTTTTCACTCAATTGCATCTTCGAATTTTGAATCATAGCATCCAATTCTGATGGAGCGTTTGGTGTACCTTTCAAAGACATCAAGTCTTGTAATTTCTGGTTAGTCATGTCATACTCACCAATTGCAATGGCCTTGTTACGCTCAGCTTCTGAGAACCCCCAGTTGAATATGGTCTTGGAGTCGTGATGGGCCTTGCCAATAGCTGAATGTTTCGAGTTTTCCAAACTGTTGTTATTTGTCAAGGTAGCAGGTTTTGGAAGTTCCAATTTCTTGTATGGGAAACTAACGTCGTCTTGGACATTATTTTTATAAACTAGGTAACCTGCAGTTACAGCAGCTAGACTGCCAACTACAATTCTTGAGGACATTATAGGTAAAATTTATTAGCTTGTTTGATTGTTTGTTTTCAATAGATATTTATTGTACGGTAATATGGTGAATATACAATATTATCAATAAATACTCTAGTAGTTATTCGTTGTGTTTAGTATTATTTCAAAAACACAAACAAGAAATAAATATAAAGTACAATTAGAAGAATTATCAATTGAAATAATTTTTTTTATCAATTAAATATCATATCAATCAAGAGTCGAGTTTATATATGTATAAAACCAAGACGAACCCTGGACGTTGTGATGATCACCTCAAGTAGAGGTGAAACTTTTTTTAAAAATACTAGAGATAGACCAACAAGAGACAAACTCTTTTGAGGGATAGGAGTGTGTTGGGATTTAAAGTTAAGGATACTGATGTAATGTTTATGCAACGTCAATGTAGAACAGACAGAATAAGGACATCAAACAACAAAAGAGCGCCTTTGACAATGAAATCAAGAGTTGGGAAAGAGGGACAGTGATGTGGTGAATAGTAAAAAATTACAAATAGAGAGAGAGATGGTAAGGTAAGGTAAGGTATAGTCTGTTTAGTTCAGTTTAGTTTGATTTGATGAGTTGTGAAACAGAGGGTAGAATTGAAATTTGAAGTGAAATTTGAAGTGAAGTTTTAAATTTGGCGATGGTTTGAAATAATTAAAGTACAGGAATAAAGGAATAGATGGTATGTATTCGAGGGGGGGGATTAAACGAGAGATGAGGAAAATGGTGTGAATGAGACGGCGGGTATCCCTTTTTTATTTTTTGGGCTGATGCAAACGGGGAACAGATAAGGAACGAGATTAGGGGATTGTTGCTGAGAAAACGAAGAAGGGAAACAAGTGATGATATAATTATATGTGGTATAACACCGGTTCTTCTTAGAGGGGGAGGTTGGAACGTTCGAGGGAAAGGGAGAGAAAACGACAAACACAAAGACGCAAAGACGCAAAGACGTAGAGTAAGGCAGAGTAAAGTAGAGGAATATAATTTTGTGAATGCATCTCTCTCCATGTTTGTCTCTGTCTGTCTTTTCGAACCTGCAATGCGAGTTCGTTTTCTGCTTTGTCTTTTGATTTGAATGTAAGCGAAGTACTCCGAGTTAAAACACAAAAGTGAATATCGGGGAGGAGAAGCAGGGAAGGCCTGGAGTGCGGACAGAGGACGATGGTTTTCCAAACAGAAAGAGAAATAAAGAAGGGCGAGACCAAGTATTTTTTATTTTTTAATTTTTTGTTTTTAAATTTTTGTGGTTTTTACCAAATTGAGCTCCTTTCAGCCGAAATCCGGGGTTTTTCTACTGCTCTTGTGTTTCTTTTTCGTGCGGTCATCCGTCATCTGTTTAGTAATTTGTGGCTGGCTGATGTGATCAATAGAGAAAGCAAACCACAAAAAAAAACAGAGACATACACGCACAGAGACACATTGAAAGTGAGTCAAAATACAGTAAAAATGAACAGCAAGACAATACGAAGTGCGGGAAGAAGTGTCATTCTGTTTTTGTGATTCCCCCATTCCATCACCTACCGTCCAAACTAAACCGGCCAGCTGGCACGAACTTGTCTGTCTCTGATGGATAATTTTTGGGCGGAATGTGATGGTGGGCAGCTTTTTTTTTAGGTCACATTTTGCAATTATTTTGACCCAAAAACACGCAAAAAAAGAAACTAGAACAAAATACGAGCCCATTAGCTCTGGAATAGACTAAAACGAATGACAGAGATATGCCAATATTTGGGGGTTACCTATTGGGATATATGGTAAGATGGTTTTTTTCATATACAATAATAACAATAACAATAATGATACATCTTTGAAATTTGTCTGAACATTATTGATCATGTGACTTATTGTAATCACGTGCTATACAAAATAAAAAATCATATAATTTTAGTATAGAACATGATTATCACATGTGTTTCTAAACCTACATTATAATAACTGTGTACGACACAATTCATGCATGTGTATTAACCCATCGATTCATCGATCGATCGATCGAATGACTAACTCACATTGGTATATAATAACATATCTTATTTAGAAAGAACCTCATTTGCACCTAAATCAAACCCATCCCAACTCATACTCCATTATCCAATGTCAAATGTTAAAGTATTATTTCTAGGTCCGTATGGTACCTATTCTCACCAAGCTGCTTTACAGGAATTTGCAAACTGCCCGAATGTTGAATATATACCTTCTCCCTCGATTAACAATTGTTTCTCAATTCTAGAAGATACCGACAATTACAATATAGATTATTCTGTGGTCCCGTTAGAAAATTCAACTAACGGCCAAGTGGTATTCTCTTATGATATCCTTCGTGACAAGATGTTAAATTCATCAATTGATGAGAATTCAATTGCTAAAATTTCCTCAAAAATCGAAATTGTCGCAGAGCAGTACGTTTCTATATCACATTGTCTAATCTCATCGTTAGATATCCCATCAATTGACGGAGTCATTGAAAATTATAAGTCAGTGGTATTATATTCACACCCACAAGTATGGGGTCAGATAGAAACTTTTGTCGCCGATTTACGTACCAAAATTAAAGACATTTCAATTGTAGATACATCTTCGACCTCAGAAGCTGTCACAATTGCAATGAAAGAACAGAAATCTGACAACTCAAGACTACATTTATCAATAGCGAGTGAAACAGCAGCAACGATACATAACGCGCATATAATAAAACAAAAGATAAATGACATAAAGGGTAACACGACTAGATTTTTAATATTAACAAGACGCAATGATCCAACAATACCAAAGTATATCCCTCCTCAAAATATAATTCCAACTGAAAAAGTTTCAATTTTGTCATTCACAATAAATGACGATCCAGGTTCATTGGTGGATATACTGACAGTGCTCAAAAAATATTCATTGAATATGTGTTCAATCAATTCAAGACCTTACAATACCAATAAACTAACATCTAGAAAATGGCAATACGTATTCTTCGTAGAGTTTCATAACATTAACGAAAGCATCACAGACAGAGAGTCGTTCTACAATGAAATAGATCCACAATGCATCAAATGGACAATATGGGGTTCTTTCCCTAGAAATGAAAGATATTACTTGTAAACAAGAAAAACAAGAACAAGAACGATCAATTGGTATGTTTCGAACCGTCCTTGTCATAGTAATGACATCTCTTCCTTGAACATATATCCATTGTCAGAATACCTACTCAAATTCTGGTGGGTAAAAAAAACATTTCATGTTACTCACTTTTTCAGCCTATAAAAGACAAAGGTCGATCTCGAATTTTCAAAGTATAAGAAAATCAGAGAGAATTTTGTAGTGGAGTGATTCGCCAGAAGTGCAAGATCTGTTTAGTTTGGGGACTATATATATATATATCTACATGTGTACAGATGTAAAAGTTTATATAAATGTAAATGATGATTTGATATGATATGGTATGGTATCAATTGATGAAAGTTTGCAAGATGCTTGCATGCTGATAAGCAAAACGGTGTGTGATCCCTCCCCGATCATGACCCCATCGAGTACATACCAGACCCAGTCTAGTTGCATGGTAATTGAAAACTGAAATCATTGTTACTTTTACCATTTAGTTCCGTTCCATCTTACAAATACAAATACACATACACATGTGTGTGTGTGTGAGTCTATATTTTCAAGCTTGTTTCTCCAATTTTTAATGCATATGTGGGGGGTGGGCATGTCAGCCTCTCTGTATTACGTTGTTGTACATATCCAAGAAAATCGAAAACGTGATTCTTGGATCATCCAAATGCCTTGTCAGCCAGCGATTGCTGTTGATTTGTTTGATGTCCATCCCATCCCATTACGAGTTTTTACGACATCGGGACATTTACCTAGGTCACATGACATATCATCTCTTCTCTTTCTCCGGTTGCGGTCCAACGTGCTGCTGCTGCTGCTGCTACTACTAGGACTGTCTCTCTGCATCTCCCATCCCAAAATGAGGTGAGAAGAGCTTTTGATCAAACAGTTTCCCATAACAGGAAGAACCCAGAGGAAAAAGTCATCAAATGCGTTTCTTTTCAAACGTTTTGCATCATTTTGATATCTTCCTTACTATTCTAACAGTCTATGAGCTTCTTCTTTCCATCTTTTTTGACCATTTTAACATTAAAGTTTCACTTTAGAAACAGAAACCATCAAGCTCTATCTATCTCTCTATATCTCTATCTGTCTCTCTCTTTTGATACTAGATATCAAATAAAAAAAAAAAAAAAATTTTTTTTCCATTGTGAAGCTACTGTGAAATTAATATATTAATTTATGACTAAAAAATTAAAATTATATTAAATATTGATTGAGCTTCAGTTACTTTATTCTAATCCATTCTGTTTGATCTCCCCCGACACTGGTCATCAAGTTGCTGTTGGCTTTAATTATCGATCTAGCAGGTTTGAGCTCTTGCATTTGACTCATATTCTGTTCTCCATTTCAAGATCGATATTTATAAGAACATATATCTTTGCTCAACACACCAGGTTCAGATCTTGTAATTGTTTGTGAGGTCGGACTTATAGCAATACATTTTGGATACAGTAGATTCATATATATTTAATATATATATATTTATCAAGCGTTGATTCATCTGCTGTGTGTCAAAATATATCGAAAGACCATTTTTTATAGAGGCCTCCCCAACACTATCATATTATATTGACATTATAGAGAATAGGTACAAGAAGAATAGGATAGTGCTGACTCGAGTTTTAAATCACTATTGCTTGTATTCTAGTTTGTCTTCCATTGCTAACCTTCATTTTTTTTTTTTTGATAAACTTTCTTTACCTTCCTGTTAGCACACACGAATTGCTCTTATAGAGTTGAAATAAGTATTGAGGTAACAATGAGTGATTCAACATCCTCCCCGCGGTTGGAAACTTTGAAATCAAACCATACTTCGACAAACTCTCTATTTTCGTTGAGTAAAAAAAGTTATTCCAGTTTGTTATTGAACAATTCAAATTACTACTACGAAAATGAAGAATTTGATGATGTTGATGATTCCTACAGTTCCAAAAACCGCGATATATTCACTTATCCATATAATCAATATTCAAGTGGACTACTAACGCCAGCACCTTCTACTGAAAAATTGGATAAATACGTTTTCATCTTAATAGGTTTACCAGCTTCCGGAAAGTCAAGCATATCTTCACATTTGATAAAATATTTCAATAGTAATGACAGTACAAAACATTTAAGATGTTCAATCTATAACGCAGGTCAAGTAAGGAGGAATTTGTCTAACAACGGTTTGCCTATGAAACTAGCAAATGATTCCTCAGAGGATTTATTTAATCCAAAAAATTCAAATAAAAAGGAAAAGTTCGCCAAGATAACTTTAAATAACTTACTAAGAGATGTTAATAATGACGCTTGTGATATAGCAATTTTCGATGCAACTAATTCAACAAAAGCTAGAAGAAAGTTTTTAATATCTGAATTTTCATATTACAACTCAAATGTAAATTCGAGTTTTCATATCATACCAATTTTTCTCCAAATATCATGTAATGATATCAATTTTATACGGTATAATGTTCACAACAAATCCTTTAATGACGATTATTATGACAAGCCTTACAGATATTCGATATCAGATTTTGCAAAAAGACTAAGATATTATTGCAAACAATCCACACCGTTCTCAGAAATTGAATTTGAAGAAATCTCAAGTTATTTAAAAGAAAATAATTTAGAATATGAAGTACTTTATTATAAAATCTGTGATGCTGGCTTATCAAATTCCAACCAAAATTTTGTACTGTCAACGAGAAATCATTCTCCCTTTACTGATATGATACTATATCTAATAAACAGATTTGTTGAAAACTATTCAAATCTTTATGGACATGAATATATTACTAAAGTTAAACAATTTTTTGTAATCAGAGAAGAATTTCAAAGAAATTCAACTTCAGATATGAACTGCACAGAAAATTCAATGAACTGTCTAGATACACTGACAGAGATCGTCAATGAAGAATATATCAATTCATTGCAAGAATCTCTAATGGACAACACTTAAATTAAATTAAAACAAATTAACATTGATAGACACATTAATTGATGTCATTTACAACTATCATGTATTTTTATTGCATACACTCACTAATCCCACATTTGTTAACGACCTTTAATGACTCTCAACTCATCAATCATGAACTATACAATTGATAAATCGCTTAAAAACAAATGATCAAACTAAGAATTGTTTTTTTGTCTTACGTTTATTATATCCTTTGATACATTTCCTTTATACTTATTACCTGTTATTTATTTCGGTTGTCTTCTTACAACTTATTTATACAATTTTATAAATTTTAACGTTGACATTATAAGTTTAATTCAATATGATATTAATAAATTTACCAATATACACCCTACATATATATCTCTACCAATATCTTGTAACATGATCCGTTCTCATAATGCTTTTCTTTAATTTATCGTCATCTTAATAGTGAATTAACCAAATTCGGTATCAAATTCGGATAATATATATCTTGTGAG